CATTAAAAGCATCGTACCATAGTGATATATGTGTACCCATGTTTATGTAGCACAAATTACAATAGCTAGATCTTGGAAACAACCCAAAGGCCCATGGATCAAAGAGCAGATAAAAAAGATGAGGTCTTTTTATACAATGCTACTCAATCATAAAGAAGTATAAACTTGAGGCTTTTATAGGTAAATGGATGCAACTAAAGACCATATAAGTGAAATTGTATTGTCCCCCTAGTGTGAAAAATTGAAAGAAATTTTAATAGTTAAGATAATTATACTACTAATTTCTCCTAGTTTATTGAAAAGAAAGATTTGTGCTAATAATACTGTTTGGACAATAAAATGCTGATGTCTTGTGCTTTGAGTAAAGACATCACAGACAAGGTATTAACCATTGCTATACTCTAATTACCATGTTTGGAAGTTTGGTTTTTTTCTCTTCAAAAAAAAAAAAAAAAAAACCTTGGAACTGAAAAAAGAAAAAGAAATAAGGTCCTTGACTGATATGGGTGCCAGAGGTCAAGAAAAGGCTATCAACCTAGATGGAAATAAAATTTTAAAGGAGTCCTGGGAGAGGGTGTCCAATATTGTAGGTAGACTTCTATTCTTTGAGTATTATCTTTGTTGGAGTCAGTTTACTTTTTTGCTTATTCCTTTATTTTGATATAGAAACACAAAAAACTGAATGTAAGCAACTTCATTCCATTTCTTCTTTCACAGAAAAACATCTAATTGAACAATGATGTTGTAACTTAGGGAGCCACCAGGGGAGCAAATTTCCTGAGGCCCAGGTTGGAATTGTCGCCAAGGGGTAAATGGAAAAAAATCAACTGCTGTCAAGTTAGTGGGTGACACCTACATGATTTCCCATTTTTGAGGATACAGTCACAAAATCTAGGACTGTTCTTTACTATCTGGGACTTCTGATTCTCCATACCTTTACAACACCTTGATGTCTTCCCCCACCCATTCCAGCTTTCTATGGGTAATTTCCAATGATTAGTATACAAGGACTACAAGACTTTGCCCAGTGATAATTTTCAACCCTTTTGAGAAAAAATTATTTACAGGCAATAGAGGTACTGTCCAGGATATCAAAGATCTCCTAAGTTCCCTTAGAGTGGTTTATTAATTCAAAATCCTTTCAAGGGAGGATATATCAGACCTCATTAGGTAAGTTATAATCTGGCAAACCAGAGAACTCTCTAGCCCTGTGCTTTGAAAGATTCATGAGCTTAGGGGTCTACTATTTTCCTCTTATCCATGAATGCCAAGTTTCAGACTTCTTCAACAGGGTATATCTTACCATTGGGTCCCACAGAATACTGTGACATAAATTTTCCTTTTTGAGGGCTGTAGGGGTTTTGTAGCAACTGGAAAGAGGAGATGATAAAAGTCCTCCAAATTATAGTGAGCAATAAGCAGCAGAAAGGAAAAAAAATGGGCAGAAAACCCAGGTGAACCATTAAGAAGCAGAGGTTTGTTAGCTGGGCATGGTGATGCATGCCTGTAATCCAAGCACAGTGGAAGGTTGAGGGAGGAGGACTGCAAGATTGAACCTAGACAGGGAAATTTAGTGATTTACTGAGATCGTTTCAAAAGAATTTTTTTTTAAAGGCCTTTGAGATGGAGCTTAGAGTGAAGGTCTTGGGTTCACCTGAGTTCAATTCCCAGTACTGGAAAAAGGAAAAAAAGGTATGTTCTTGGGCACTGCACATAGAACATAGCTGCTGATGAGCTGTGGCAGTTCTGTTAGTATGGAAAAAAGGTAGATTAGACATTTTTATTTCCCAAACCATTCAGGGCTTTTAACTCAGTTACTCTGGTAGATAACCAAGCTACCCGAACTCTTGTGGAGAGGACACAAAACTTGAACATTAAAAAAAGCAGGATGCATAACAAGTGAAAAATTTGCTGTTAATCCAGGTGGTTTTGGGAATCAGGATAGATCTTGTCATGGTAGGTGGGGGACAGAAGACTGGCTGGCTTCTTGGAAAACAAGCAGAAAAGTAAGATGACTAGAGGGAAGAGCTTTCAGCATTGATCCAACAATGACGGTTGTGGCCCAGGCACTGCTGCAGAGCAGCCAGTGTATGACAGACATGTCAGCCAGTCAGCAGGCTCCTCAGGTAATAACCAAAGTAAAGGCAACATGCAGAAGGAACTAAATCAGGCCTTTGATTCTGAAAATAACTTATGAGAGATTCTAATTCTAGAGCCACAATTGGTTGGGAATCAGCGTCCAAAGAAAAGTCAGGCAGCGGTTTTGATGATGGCTTTGGCTCAGGCATGGATTCTAAATCTTCCGGATAAGGAATGTAAATAGTGAGTTATAACTGGCTGTTTCACAATGGTGGGAATTATGAACTTTTTTTTTTTTTGCGTTTACTGGATATCCGTTTATTTGTTGAACTATTTTAAGTGTGTGTGTGTGTTTTACTGGAATTGAACTCAAGGGCCTTTAACTGAACTATATCCCAAACTTTTTCATTTTTGAAAATTTGAGACAAGGCCTTCCTAAACTGCTAAATTGTCCAGGCTGGGCTCGAACTTGTGATCTTTCTCAGTCTCCCAGAGTGCTGGAACTGCAGTCATATACCACCCTCCCTGGTTTAAGTGAGTTTTACTTTTAGGTAACCCACATTATATGAATGTGTAAAATGAAATAACAGTTGTATTTACTTTGCCTTCCCTTTTACACTGCCCTTTCTGACTGCTATGAATATTGTATGATATGTGTTCTCTGTTATTGATATGTAAGTGTGCTGATGTAAACTGAAGCTAGTGGGCTAAGAACATGAACTAAAGCTTGTGGTATTCTTTATAGGAGCACTTGCAAGTAGAGTAAGCTCAGTTATCTCAAAGAAGGGTAGAAGTCCAGATAGCTGTTAATTACCCGTGAGAATGTTTTGATTATGCTTTTTAATAGAAAAATCTGCTACCAAAATGCTATCAATATCAAATTCATCCCAAGGAGGGGCACCAGAAGCTATTTTCCCTATAAGGTCAGGTTGTTTCCTTCTTTTCTTCCTTTTGATGTCCTAATTCAGCAGGAAGTGCCCAGATCTGACCTAAATCTCTCAGTGCTGTGGAATGGATGTCTGATAATGGGGTACTGAAGCCAAGTATTTTAAGATCCTCCAAGTACCTAACTCCATATTTTACTTTGCCTGACCCTTGTCTGTCTTTGGGCACTGCCTGCTCTATCCTGTCTGTGGTGCAATGTCAGGAACAATGGGGTAGGCTAAATACTAAACAACAAACAGTACAAGGCCATAATGTCAGAAGTAACCACTGATTTTCTTTAAATTGGCAGAACTGAAAAACATTTTGTGACTAGGTGATTAGGATCAAGTGTGCATCATCTGGCCAAAAATGTGATCCTTCATTGGTGACAAGGCACCCACTGATGTGCAATTACCCATATACATCACTCCTAAATCAACTTCAGGCAAGATGGCCCTTTAGCTGGTCCTCCATCTTGCAATAGCTCATCATTATATAATCCTTTTTCTACTGATCTTGCCTCGCAACTAAAACTGGCTTCTGTCATGTGGTAAGCAGACTAAAGCTTTGTGTGTTAACACCATCTTGTATTGCATTGGTCGGAGTTAAGGCACTGGGTTCAACACGCTTAAGGGGTGAAACAACAGGAAGCAGGTAATACTGGGATAGTAGCAGCCACTATCTTGGTTCTAACTAATGGAATCTCCTTGCTGTTATCTCTTCAGACTTTCTGTGTCTTCTTGCTTCAATCTGAATCACTTGTCTGTTTCTAGGAATTTGTCCATTTCTTCTGGCCTATGTAGTAGGTTCCATATGATCCTATTTTGTGGCATCAGTTGAAATGTCTCCTTGTAATTCCTAACTTTAATTGTATTTTTTCCTCTGAGTTTTGAATTTATGGTTTATTTTTTAAAAATGAATATAGCAATTTCGGCTCTCTCTTGGTTACCATTTTGCATGGATTATCTTTTTCTAACCCTTGACTTCAGCCTATATGTGTCCTTTTTCTAAGGTCTCCTGCAAACTGTGTGTAGTTAATTTCAGCCATTCTGTCTTTTGAATGAGGAAGTTAGTGCTTTCCACATACTGCTGGGGAGTGCAGGATGTTAATGCCCTCACTCTGTTAAGGACTTCTATGAGTTACCAACACTGCTTGGGCCTTGACCAGCATAAGAACAGAAGTCCCATTCAGGAAATGCCAACATATGCTGGTCAATGTCTGTACCATAATGATTGTGAAGATTACTTCATTTAAAAGTTTAATATTGCAATTCTATTCCTGAATATATATATATACTTTAGAAAATTAAAAACATTATTTTCACAAAACCTACACATGAATAATCACAGTGGCATTGCTCCTCAGGTCAAAAGGTGAAAGCAATGCAAAGGTCCATCAGTGTGGTCTATTCATACAGTAGAATATTGCTCAGCCATAAGAAGTTCTGACACCTAAGCTCCTAACACATGCTATAACATGAATACACTTTGAAAGCATTATGCTATTTGAAAGCTGATAGTCACAAAAGGCCACATATTTTGTTTACATGGAACACTCAGGATAAAGACAAAGTAGATTAGTGGTTGCCTAAGGCCAAAGGGGAAAGGAGATGATGGGATGTGGTGATTGCTATTTGGCATAGGGTTTCATCCTGAGGTGATAAAAATGTCCTAAATTAGATGATGGTGATGGTCATGTGATTGTGAATATACTAAAAACTACTCACTTTTATACTTTAAAATACATTTATGGAATGTTTGTTGTATGTGAATCATACCTCAGTGAAACTGTTATTTTTGCTCAGTATTGATAAAGATTTTAAGTTTGGTTCCCTGAATTCCACCAGCACCTTTGACTCCTTGGCATTGTAGACACTTCAGCACTCATGATCCTGTAGCCATTAGGACAGGGCCAAAGAGATGGTGGGCCAGACTCAAAGAGGGCACATACTCTGGGCTACACTGAACTATCTTCTGAACCTCATCCCCCAATCCAGGGACAGGGAGGTCAACCAGCTGAAGCAATGGATCACCACAATGATGATGTCTATTGCCAAGGAGGAGGAGACTGCTGCTGAGCTGGAGCTCAAAGCCCGAGTTTTCCACTTTGGGGAGTACAAGGGCGATCAGCAGGTAGACATGCAGTGGGTATAACCATTGGCCCAGGGTCAGGTGGGGAACTCCCTTACTTGTAGGTGAATGCAGGAGCAGCAGTTATGACAGCTCACGAGAGCTGGGGGCCAGGTACAAGTTTCCAGCCACCTTATAGGCTGTGCGAACCTGGCCAAAAAGTGCCTTCCGGCTACCCCTGAGAACTAATGCTATGCTAGCTCAGCAGTCCCATATGCCTGCTTTGTGTTAACTCCATAAATACCCCTCCCCACCCTGCCTCATTTCTATTTCTGTACTAGGGGTAAACCGAGGGCCTTCATACAGAGCTACATCTATAACCTTTTTTCAACTTGTGAAGTTTTGTGACAGGGTCACACTAAATCACTAAATTGCCCAGGTTAGTTTTCAACTTGTGACCCTCCTGCCTTAGCTTCCCAGAGTGCTATGATTACAGGCATGTGTTCCCAAGCTTGTCTTATCTGTTGCTTAAACTAAGTGTCCATCAAGGAAACCATGGAGTAGAGGAAGAGGTGTGTCCTCAGGCCGGGTTGGGAGTGTGAGAGAATTCTGAGGATCCAGAAGTTGGTAATATTCTAGGCAGCAGGAACTGGGGTCTGGCCAGCGGCTCAGCACATGCACTGACAGCAACTTGAGACCTAATTCATTCAGTTTCCAATTCAATATGCTACTGCCAAGTGCCTCTGTGTAACTGGGCCAGGAACATGGGAAGTGGCTTTGAGGAAGAAGGTGCATCCATGCCTCAGCTAGGCTTCACAGGATACTATTTCCCAGGATTGGCCTGGGCCTTTTTGCCTGCTACTCTTCACTTCTCACCCACAGCTCCTGTTGTAGGAGATATTAGCTGTTTTCTAAATGTCAGAGCAGGTTAAGAGAGGGAGTTTACCTGCCTGGGGACACACAGGACATAGTCCTGTGAAAGCTGGGGTCAGTGGAGGACTCCCTGGCAGGCAGGAGACTGGTTCTTGGTAGGCTTATCAGGGGCAGCAAGGGGAGGAGCTGAGTCAAGAGTAAGCCTCAATAAGGTCAGAACAGGGCTGGTCTGGTTAAGAAAACCCAGTACTCATATTGTTTTAACCCATCCCCTTAGTACTCACTCTGGCTGCTCTACCCTGGAGGTTAGCATGCCATGGCCATGGGTCCTGGTATCAATAGGTTGTGGTCTGAGGGCAGGCATAGCTGAAGTCTGCTTTGCTCTGCAGGACAAGCTACTAGACAGCCTGAATCATAAGGTGCAGGATGTTTACCGGCACTGTGTGGGCACCCAACAAGAAGCTAACCTGGGCACCGTGCAGATGCTCACCGTCATTGAGCACCAACTGGATGAGCTGCTTGAGAACTTGGAGCGTGTACCCCCTGCCAAGATAGAGCAGGCTGAGAAGGCCAAGGAGAAGGAGAGGCGCATGAGGTGAGCTGTTCTGCCTTGTTGCCCACTATTTCTACTCCTGCCCCAACCTGGCTTGGAGGCACAGGGTACCTATTGTCACTGCTCTACAGTGCTCCTGAACCAGGGAAACAGGCCCAAAGTGCTCCATGCTGTGAGATGGAACCCTGAGTCTGGTGTACTTGAGAGAGAATCAAACTAAGCTGGATTGTCAGTGATTGGCAATATGGATTCAGGGGACTGAGAAGATAGGGTCTAAAAGAGGGGAGCATGGGAGGGTGCAACCAGCAAAGCTTAGATCCCAACGACAGGGACATCAGGGAATGGCTTTAAGTGGGGAAGCCAGGGCCAGGTAAGATTTAGTTATTTTGAGCTTGATAGGAGGAGCAGAAGCTGGGGTTAAGGTTGGCTATAATTGTCGAAGGCACAGCCAACTGAAGTAGTTGCAGAATGTGTGGAGGCTGGGTACAGGGGTTCAGGAGCCCTCAGGACCCCTAGCTTTGGACTAAGTGTTGTGATATACAGAAGCCAGCTTGCTTGTCTAGTGGGGACAAGTGAGCATGGGTTGGTCTAGAAATGACCCCGTAAGATCTAGGTGAGATGTGGGTTATGGTTTCTGCAATTTATGGGCTGCCTGGATCATTTAATTGTCAATACAGGATCCTAGATACAGCCTCTGCCAGTATCTGTTTCTCCCATAAACACAGGTGGGCTTTTCTTCTAGGTCCCCAGCACTCAGCTTTGAGTGGGAACTGAACAAATGTTTGACAGCAGGAAGGAATCGGGGCCACTGTCCTAGCTGGGTACTGGGTCACTGTGACCATGAGGCTATGAGCAAAAAAATCAGGCATGTGGATAGTGAAATGTGCTTCTCAGGGGTGTCCAATCTGAACTGTAGATCAGCTCCCTGAAGGCCCGAGTCAGGTCTCAAGGAGCAGGAACCAAGGTCCAGATTCCCGGTCACCTTCCCCTGGGCCCAGGACTAAAGCAGTAGTGTTTTCGCTGTGGGCAGGTGGCAAGGCCCTGACATGGCAGGAAGAACAGAAGACTTGGTAGTATTTTCGTACATGGGACATTGCCTGCCTGACCCAAAGACCTGTAGGGATAGTTCGTAGGGGGTGTGGTAGTGTCTCCCAGACCCCTAGGTCCTACATGACATCTCTTGCCATCCAGGCTTCGGGAAGAGAAACTACAGTTGCAAAAGCTGTTGCAGGAGGAGCGACTGCAGCGGGCTCGAGCCCGGGCCCAGGCTGAGATCAAGAAAAAGGTAGGGATGGTGACTGAGGTCACTGTTAGGGATTCTAGAAGTCCTGCAGCTTAATCCTGTAAGACTTTGCAGGCAGTGTCGTTGAGGCTGAGAACAGGCAGCTACTTTCAGAGCAAAGCCAAGGTACAGCAGTATTTCTGCTGTCAGGCCCTCCCACTCTCAGGGTTGTATCTTCCAGGATGCCCTACCTGCTGCCAGCACTATGCCTGTCCTATGTCTCCTCCTTGTACAGCATGGAGTATTGCTCGAGCAGTACTCCTTCTGCTAGAGCAGGGTTGGGCCAATCTCTGGCAGAAAGTGTACCAGAAAGAGACACAGTCACCTGTTTCCCACTGCCCCACAGTACTACCTCTAGCACTCAGGCCAAGTTTATCATCTGTTGCTGGGGTTCGCTACTGCTGGTCCCAGGACTTTTGCCCATGGTGAATGATAATGGACAACCACTTCCCTTTTGGCCCTAATTGCAAAAAAAGGCCTGAAGCTGAGCATGATCCCGAACAAACAGATAAGCTGGCAGGCAAAAAAAAAAAAAAAAAAAAAAAGCCATCATTAAGGGATGAGTGAACACTATAGGGCAGTGGTGGTAACCTTTTAGAGCTTTCAATGACGCAAACAGCCTGCTGTGGCACTGTGCCATAGGCTTCCACCACTGCTATAGGGTCTTCTCTGTTTAAGGAACTGGATTCATTCAGCTTTGCTTGTTATCTCCTAGTATGTTTCCAGGTCACCCCTTCTATGAAGTACACTCCACATAGTAGGCCTGCTAGTTGTTGTATTAACTCCACACTCCCAAGCTATTTAAAAGTCCAGCCCTTGGCCTGCTGGGCTGACCTGGCTTGACAGGAATGGACCAGACTTTTCGGGGCCACTTCCCATATGCCTGAGGGAAAGGATATATGGGTTATGGTGACTACATGGCACTGTTAGTGGAAGGGGGTATACGGCTCAAGCTTACCAAGCTCCCTTCCTCTGCAGAGAGGCAGAAAATTGGTGTGCCGCTCCCATCCTCCAGTGCCCAAAGTAAAAGACATCTCTGATCACATACTGATGGACAAAGATGAGGAGGAGCATCTGTTCTTCTTCACTTAGCCTCTACCAGGCCACAGCTGGCTTGGCTAAAGGTGCAGAAGAGGTCAGCAGCAGAAGCAGGCTGGGTCTGAAGGGATCCTGCCTCTGCCCTTGTGTCTCCTTCAAGCTTCTGGAAATAAATTTGTTTCTTTGATATCTTCATGGCCTGATTAAAGAATCAGCCATTGCCTCCAACTATCAGCATCTCTCTTTAATCTTTAATCCTAAGCAAATGCCTGAGAAAAGGACTGTCATCTTGATTCTCATCTGAAACAGCTGGGAAACAAAAGCTAATCCATGCTGAAATGTGCTGTCAGCCTCAAAAGACAAAAGCCAGAGGTAAGATGACCAGATGAGATGATTTCAACAACATATACACAGTTGCTCAAATGAAGTAGGATGAAAACATTCGATCTGTGACAGTACAAAAACTTTTATTCTTTTGTATTACGAGTTGGGCCCATCACCAGCAGGAAGGGAGCCCTGGTGTCCAGCAGAACACTGATAGCCTGTACCAATAACTTGGTGGAAGACACTCACTGGGGACTGTGGGAGAAAGGGAGTAGCTCCTGGGTGCAGGTTCTCCTCCTGGAGGAGATAAGGATGCCTTGTTCTCCATGGTGTGAGTAGGGTACTGGATAACATTGTGAACAAGTTCAACCCTTCAACTTGGGTCTCAGACATAACACACAAACTTGTACAAAGGAACTATTCTCAAATGGCCTGTAATTCCTTTGGGGGAAGCAGCATCTGGGTAGGCAGCACCTCAGAGCAGGACACAGAGAGGATTTAACACTCAAACTAGGCATCCTTTACAAAAGCTGAAGTCCCAAAACCTGAGAAACCCAGAAAGGGAAGAGTTTGGATGACTTTATGTCTGAATATTTAACAGTATCTGAATAAACATACACTTCAAAAGGCACAAGGAAAAAATTTTTTCAGTCACCCATGTTCAGTTTGTTAACTAACAAATATGTGCAAGAAAACCAACTTAGCTGCTTTTGCAAGACAGACCTTATTTTGTAAAAATATAAGTGGACCTATTATATGCACATTTACAACCTCAACAGAAAACATATGTGTACCATTATTACAGTCTTACATATATAGTATTCATAACATTGCCTTAAAAACTTTGTCAAATTACTATTTAACATGAATACCCAAATACAGAATTTAGAAATTATTTTAAAAGTTTTAACTTTCCTATCCTCAAATTATGAGCTATCCATTGGCTCTAGAAAAAAAAACTGTTGGACACCAAGACACACTAATCATTTTCTTCCCAAACTGTCTTGTCTGTTTTGCCAGAATTTGGATCAGAATTTGGCTTCACTGTGACAAAAGGACAACTTTTGGCCTACAGTATGGCAAAAATGATTCATTCATGAAAACCATTCAGTGTTGAGATACAGCCAGTCACATCAGTTCTCAGAAAAGTGGGACTTCTAGATCCTTCTTGGGAAAAATACTGAAACACTGAAGCTGAAAAATTGCATTTGGATTTACTACAAAGTTGTATCTGAGCAGGGAACCTGTACTCAATGCCACTTCCTGCACTGGTCTTTTCTTTTTCCCTTTTTAACACAATGCATGCTACACAGCTCAGATCCAATAGGATCTGAGAAAAGGCTGTAAAGCACCCAGCTGAGCATGGACAAAGCTGAGCCTCACCAAAGCACTTTGCCTATAAAGGCATTTTTGAAGAGTACAGCTTCAACTGGTTCCTGATAAAACAGAAAGAAACATTTTTGATAAACGTACTCAAAAGTCTCTATAAGAATAAGGCTGGACTTCTAGGCAGAAACCAAGTGGGGTCTCCCCAGGCCCTGTACCATATCATCTGAGTCATCCAGGAGGCATAGCTGGAAAGTGGCCCTGATCTCATTCAGGCAGGGGCTGTTGTCACTGCAGGTCTCGCAAGTTGATAGTGCTTCCTAGCACCTGTGCAGTCTCAGGCCCAGCAATACCTCCAGGTGCTGGGAGCACCTCCTGCAAAACCAAGTGGAGCAGTGAGGAGGGAAAGAGGAGGAAGGCAGAGCAGAGGTTAGGTTCTATAGTCAGGAACACAGAACACAGCCCTGCAGCTTCTTACAACAGGCAATTAAACCCTGAGGGGCCAACAGTAATAAGGGACCTGACCTTTCTTAATTCAAAACATCATGTTCTTCTCTTATTTTAAGCCTGTATTCCTTGAAAGAAAACATGCCAAATTATCTTTTAAAAGAGGGAAAATGAACTCAATAACTAGAAGTTTTTCTAGATTTTTCCCCTATACTTACACATATTCAAACACCCATGTATCTTTTTAGAAAAATGAAAGCATTTTTGTTTAGTTTTGAAATGCTTTTTACATGTAGCACGTGGTAAGCAGCCTATTGGCTATCACATGTCTGAGTGTGCCATCAACAGCTGAGCAGGAGGTGAGCCAGTGCCATGCCAGCACCATCGAACCTGCCTCCCTCTAATGGAAGAAACACTCTTCCTTTGTCATCATCAGACTACAAAATGTGGTGAACATTTTTGTCTAGTTTATAACCTAATTTCTTTATAAATGGTCTCATGAGTAGATTTGCTGGGCAGAATAGACAGTTCTGAGGTTTTTCTGATATATGCTACCAAAACGTTCTCTATTTTACCTTCCTCCAGTTGTCTAGAAGCACAGCCCCTCTGCCTCCTGTAAGTGCTTTATTTGATAACTTGTTTTCAATATTATGTGAAATGTTCAAAAGCTCAGTTTCAATGGAACAAATTAAACTATGTGAATGGATTTAAAAAATATGTTTAAGTCAAACTATTAGAAATTTCATAAGCTACCTGCTTTTACTATTTCACATCCAAATCAAAATTATCCATGGCAGGTCTCAGCTTAACTACTTACTTAAGTCCTCTGAATTTGTTTGGGTCTTTTCTCTCTCAAGGTAAAAACTGAACAGGTTATTTCCCATAGGAGATAGTATATAGAACTTTAAAATATAAAATATTTAAAAGTACATTAAATTTCATCTTGTGTATGCTACAATGATAAGCAACTGTGAACTTCACTTATAACCGTGTCATTATTTTTTCCAAAAGGCAGGAAAGACACCAACCCAACCAAGGCTTCACAGCAGGCCCACCTTGGCAACTATCTGCATGCTACAGTAACAGTTTTAGTAAAAAGCAAGAGTTGGAAAGCATCCAGACCTGGAGGATGTAGACAGGCAAATCCATGGTGAAGTAAGGGTGGAAGGTGGAGGGCTGTGGGCTGAGGGCCAGTGGCAAGACTCCTTCACCTGAGGGGTCATCCTGGGAAGGCAACCATCAATAAGGCCTTTCACATGTTTAAACACAGCACACCATCGTTTCCTCTCTTGCCCTAAGAACACCCTTTACTGTGATGCTGAGTAGAGCCAGCCCATTCACATATTTTAGCTGCAGCCCACGGACCTGAAAGTAATTGCTATCAGGAGCTGGGGCTACTTGTTCCCGTCTGACCTTATTCTCACACCCTAATCCCTGTCCAAGGATCAGAAGACTAAGTTAAATTGGCCCTAGTCTTCTGCTGTTTTTTCCCTGCTTCCCAGTTTCTCCTTTTATCAAAAAAATCTTTCCTTGTCCTGAACTCGAATGCTCCCCTTCTTCCCACCTATGAGGTGTTCATGACCTCCTTATGGGCCCCAGTTTATCACCCAGACAGAAATCTTTCCGTTGTGCCCTGGCTTACCCACAGGCCAAAGGGAAGGGATCAGAGAAGACGAAGGGGCTGCTGAAAGGGGAAGGCTGCCACACTACCCATGATCCCAAGAAGAGGGACACTATTTCACACTTAGTCTCTTCTACATGTACATCTAGCCCACGGCTGTCCATAACTCCAACAATGAGTGTCTTAGGCTGCTGCCTCTCCCCATCAGAACTATTCTTCCACTGCCTTGAGATGTAGATGTCAGGCATCGTACACTACTGTTTTAATTACACAGACAGCAAAACTGAGGTCAAAGCACTTAAGTAACTTGACCAAGACTACATACTAGCTGGCAAGGGGCAGATTAAAGATTCAAACCTGGGTTTCTCTGACCTCAGTGTGTTTTTTCATTGAGTGACCCTTTAAAAACACCTTCTAGTGCCCTCTCCAACTTGCTCATTTTCTGCCCATGGGACTAGCTTTCTTGCAGTCTTTCCACTTCAAAATTCCTGGCCTTGCCTTCTTTACTTCTGACCTGGGTTCCATTGAGACATCCAAGTCTCCACCCTTTTCACTGCCTCCCTCTACAAAATCTGGCCTGTTTAATGTTTCCTCCAGCACCCATCCTCACTGCCTACTCCCTAGTTTACCCTTTAACCTGGCAAGTCTTTCCTCTCACTTTCTTGAGCTCTATGGACCATTCACAGCCACTCTGGCCCTATTTTGTAAGTCTTGCCCAGGACTATGGACCCAGTGAATCTTGCTGGTCTCTAAACTTTCCTTCTAAGTACTGTAACCAGAGTAAGCTCAGCACTTGGCTGTTCCTTAATATCTGTGGTTACTTTTGCTTACTACAGGGTAGTTGACAGCCCCCAGTTATGTCCAATGAAGAGGTGCTTGGGTTGTGGACATACGTGAACTAGATTTGTCTGCATTTAAATCTCTTCCTTCCCTATTCTGGCCCCTTAGAAGTGAGACTGAAAGTGCAGGTGTACATGGGGCTACTGAAGGGTTTGTGCTCAGCAAGTGCCCAGGGACCAGCCTAGCCAGCTTTAAGCGTCTACTGAGGCTCACAGAGATAGCTGGGTTGAACCTTCAGGGGCTCAGTGTATTAAGAAACAATTTTTTAAAAAACGGTTCTAGTTCCTGAAGCATAGGAAGGCTACATTTACCTGTGTGCTGGAAGCAGTCATCACAGGCAGGATGTCTGGCATGGTTTAAGAAGCCCCTTCACTCACATAGTAGTATAGGGTCTGGGGCAGGGAGGGATGGGATAATGTGAGGTATCAGCAGCTTTATGGCATCACCATAGCCAGTCTCAAATGGCCTCAAAGTCTTCATCCTGCACAAGAAAGCCACAGGGGGCCCTTGGCAGGGGAGGGACAGTCATCTATACCTCAGAGAGGTGGGGGAGATGGAGCACATAGGAGAACTAGACACAGGGTAATAATGCCACAAACCTGATGCGTCAGTCCTAACATAGGTAAGAACTTGCACGGATGCAGTGAGACAGGCTGGGAAGAAGAGAGAAGCGGGGGTTATTAAGCTGCCTGAGGTGTTAAACAGAACTTGGGGCAGTTTAGAGGGAAGTACAACAGTTCATTAGAAGTTGGTAGTAGGTGTGGGCATTGTACCACCCTCCCACCCAACCTGCCCCAGACCTAACCTATAGTGTGGCTCACTGGTTCCTACCTGTAGCACTGGAATCTGGATGCACTGCATCCCAGCCACTGGAGCCAGTGCTGGCCAACCTCCGCTGGGCATGGTGAGGTTCCCACACATGCAACTGTTCTGGCTTGCATGGAAGTGAGGAGGGCTGATCCTGCCATCTTTTATTTTTCCTCGAGTAGACTCTGAGGCTCCTAAAAAACAGATAAAAACCAGCACATCCAAAATATAATCTGTTGGTCAGACTCTTCCCTCAATCAAATTACACTACAGGGAAGACAGCTTTCTGGTTAACTGTCATTGTGAAGAACCTGATAGACTAAAACTTCTTCAACAGGAATGATCCTGAGGTAAAAGGTAAATTAATAAGGGCACCAGGATTCTGATTAAAAAATTTAAAAGATATATATACATCTTCTTGCCAGACAGCCATCAGATCTATGTTGTTCATTTCTTGAGGACAGAGACCTTGCTGTGCCCCTCTTAACTCCATCAGCTGCTGGCAGGCAGGAGACACAAATTCAACCAAGTGGAATTAGCTACATGGAGCAAGAGGAAAAGAAAGAAAGCAGTCTTGCACGTTCTACTGTTGGGCAGTGCCAGCCACATCCATGCTCAATAGCGGGCATGTTGAGCCCACTGTTGGTTCCCAAATTCTTCAGATTGTTATTTTTTGTCTAGTTCCCTTTACAAAATTCATCACTTCACTGGTCTTACAAATATGTTTTTAAAAATTAGTAAGTTCAGCTGGGTGTAGTGGCATGTGCCTGTAATCTCAGTACTTGGGAGGCTGAGATAGGAGGATTATTGCACATTTGAGACCAGTCTGAGCTACAAAGTAAGCTCAAGGTCAGCCTGAACTGCATAGTGAGACTTTGTCTCAAAAAAAAAAAAAATTAAATTCAAAGCAGGAAAAAACAGTCCTAATACCTAGGAATAACCATGTGAGCATGAGAAAGCTCCTAGAGTGGGCAGAAAGCAGGCAGTCAGGAGGTTCAATGGCTGGGCTCAAATCTTGGTCCATGGTAACCTTGGCCAAGTAAAACTGTGAGCCTCCATGTCTCAACCTGTAATATGGCATAAGTAATATATGATGAAGAGATTAGACCAGTGACAAGTGAATATTAAATGCCAGGGAATTTTCAGTGTCATTACTTTGTCCACAGTCCTGTCTGGACATTTATCCATGAATGGCTGATTAAAGCTACTGTGCATGACTATTACACAAATTATTCAGAATAGAAGAATTTAATTTTGTTGCACTTAACAAAATATAAACAAATGAAATGGAAATACTAAATTTCTGAATTTTTTTCCTGGAAATTTCTAATTGAGCTAACCTTAAAAGGAAAAAGATGGAGGCTCAAGCAGGAAAATCTAGTCAGACTGGATAACTTAGTGAGCTCTTGTCATTAAAAAAAAAAAGTCAAGTCTGGTCATATAACTACATGCAAAGGCCTAGGGTTCAAACCCCAGTACTGCAAAAAAACGAACAACCCCCCCCATCCCCCCCACCCCGCAAAACAACAACAAAAACAAAACTCCAAGAGGCTTTATTCACTTAGGTTTTTTTGTTGTTCTGTTTCCATTTCAAATGGGAACAGCTGACTCTGTTATCTAAGGCGCATTTTTCTCCCAGCAGGTTTTAACTTTCTGAGCACCACTTGCTGAGAGGCGACCTGGTGTTCTCACTCCATATGCCTGCATCTCTTGCAGTGCCTTGTGTCCTGACAGCTTCCGATACTGGATGTCTGAAGCCTCCATATTCAGCAGACAAAGCCTGCTGAGTATGAAGGACTTGGTCTGACAGTGCCAGACACATGCTGCACTGATTCTCGATATACACAGCTCGGTGCTTTCTTCCCAGGTGCCTGAACGATTTATTTAAAGTACAAATACTAACAGGTTAATTTGATGGTGATGGTGATGATAAGGGTAAGAGTAAGGTTTTTTTTTTTTTTGTTTTTTGACAGAACTAGGGCCTCACCATATTCTACTGAGCCTCATCCCCAAAACCTTTTGCATTTTGAGGCAGAATCTCTCTAAGTTGTCCAGGCTGGCCTTGAACTTGTCGTTTCCCTGCCTCAGCATCTTGAGTAGTTAGTATTACAAGTGTGCAGCACTGTACCAATTGAGGTCCCATTTCTGGGGTGCACATATTCAGCTGTCCCTCCTAGGGTGATACGGATCCGTGACACGTTAAAATACAATCTTTTCACTCATCTGCTCTACATAATCTTCTGACTATTCTTTATATATCTAATTTCTCCTTTCTAATTGCTCTACTTGTTTTCATACTGCAAAGTAGGCTGTGGTTAGGTCAAGGCAAAACACGTACTACTTCTTCGACAGTGAGAAATTTCACATCCAGCTCACATACCCTGAAAAGGATCTATAGTAACCAACGCTGGGTTTCATGGGTGCCCAGTTTCAGTGACCATTTTTCCAACTTTTCAAAGGACTAGAGAGCTGACTTAGTACACAAAATGGATGCCAGAGGACAGTGCAGTGTAACTCTCACTGATATGTTAGACCTACACAGTTACTGTACTAAGGACATAATATGCAATTCTACTTACAGGGAAAAATAGTCATGTTAATAACAAAGAGCAAATTTAAAATGTGCATCATTTTTTAAAAAACAAGTGTGGGGAAATGTGTAACATGGAAATATTGGAAGTAGCTTTCTCTGAGTGGCAGAACAGCAAGGGAAAAGTACATAGGGAATCCACACTTACTTTTTCCAGAATATAAACCAACATGATCAGTCCTATCTGTGTTGAACATTCACCCTTTGTTAAATGAAGTATACACATAATCTACTACATTTGCAATTCCAGGTAAATGAAGCCACTTTAACCAGGCTGCTCAGCTTTCCTGGATTGCTATGTTATTCTTCTAGATGAACTTAAAGTCAACAGGTACTTTTTCTGTTAAGCTCTTTCAGAATTTTAAATGAACTGAATAAAATATGTAAATTAACAATTTGTGCCTTTCCAGCCAAGTATACGGCAGGCAGGCTTTACCCAGACCTTATCTGCTCCCAGCAGACTTGTCATTAATAAGCCTGAGATGTTTTATCAATGACACATATTTTTCATTATCTTCTTTATTACTCGATTATTCTACAACAAAAGCTACTAAATTTATATACATAAATATGTATTGTACAATTAGTTACCAACTGATCTTTCTTGTTACGGATTGTGTGCCTTGACTCCTATGGGTTTTCTAAGTCCAATAATCAAATCAGTAAGTAATCACCACTTCCTCCTTAGTATTATTCTCTATAAACCTTCCATGAGAGCATCAAATACTGCTGGTTTAATTGCTTTTTAATCTGATTTCAGTGGAATTGCCTCTACCAACTCCACTGAAGATGATGAGACCTGCTTACTATTAGGGAAATCTTTTGGATTAAAGTTAAGATTTTTTTGATGTTTTTAAAATCAACATCAGCCCACAAATGCTATCAACTGCCTTGTTTGGCATTTATGAAGATACTGTGCTCTCCTCTGGGCCTTCATGCTGACAGACTGCCTAACCCTAAGCCACCTGAATTCTTGGGTTAGTCTCACTCATCTGGAGTTAATATGCTAATACGGTACCTCATTTCCACACCCACTTCACTTGTGACAGGGTGGTGACAGTGAGACTCCTGTGTACCAGATGGTTGATGGACTCAGGAACAATTCTGGGGCCAGTCAGCTTTCGGTTCAGCTCCTGGTCCTGTTCCCACTAGCTAGGTATCCTTGCATCTGTGAATTTCTCCATGCTTCAGGCTCCTCATCCAGAAAATGGGGACATCAGGACCTACACCCCAGAGGTATAGTACGGGACCTACAGTGAGTAACAAACACAAGGGCCTAGAATCATGCTAGGTACACCGTTGGCTATATTATATCGTTATAGGTTTTAGTTGTTGGCTATACTGTATCACTATAAGTTTAGTAAATAGGGGTGTATTAGCCTTGTGCACTAAATTTAATAGCTTTTATCTGAAACACATTTAATGATTAGTGGTCTATGTTTTATGACTTATGAAGCAAATATTCCTGCATCTTAACATGTGCTGGCACTGTATCACTGTGGTGATGCAGGCCATTGAGCTCAGGATGGCTCATTTGTACTCTAAGGATATGTATGTTTTTCAGCAACACAGAAGAAACATCATCAAAATACAGTGGTGACTGTATCTCCCTCCCTCTCTCGCTTTCCCTCTCCCTCCTACTCTCTTTCTCTGCATGTATTTCTTTGGAAAAAAAATAAATGTTCAAATTTAAAAAACATTCAAACAAAAAATGAGACTGATGAAGTAGTACAGGGTACCCTGGAAGTTCCCAATGACAGAAGACATTGTCTTAAAAACCTGTTTACAGCTGTGGAATATATCAGAATCACTCTGGGCACTCCAGACATCCTAGGCACAGAGGTCAAAGTACACTAAGTAAACACCAAGATATCACAACAGGAAGCCACCACTAGTTACGGGTCTGAAGAAGCTGGGGAGGGGTAGTACCAACAATCTAGAAGAGGGATGATACAAGGGAGTCAGAACTACACTAGGGACCACAGGAGAAACAGCTGTTGTTACAAAACTCCAAAGTAGAAAGTGAACGAGACTATTTCACTGTATACTTCTGCCTCGTTTCTGCCAATATGATAGTCAAACTTACCGACTTAATGGTGGGGCCTAGGGCATCTCCAAGGACACAAAGTCATGTGGTCATGATTGGTATAGCCAGGCAGGCAGGGCAAATGTTATTGTTCACATGCAAGTATGAGCACAGCTAGCAGGGCAATTGAGAGGCACTGCACAAAACGGCTCAGGACTCCTAGAGTACAGTGTAGGGCAGAATGACATGAAGAGGGCTCCCTAGCAGGGACCCAAAGCAAAAATGTGAGCATGGGGTAAGGGTTCTGACTAACAGGTTACTGGTTTCAAAAGCATACACACAGCCCTGCCAGTGTTTTGCTTCAACAAAACATATATGAATATACAGAAGCAGATGTCTCATAATCTAGTTTGCAAGAATTCCTGTATGTAAGCCTAACAATTACCCTAGAATAGGTTCCATTATAGTGCCCATTTTTCAGAAGGGAACTCTGGAATCAGACACAGAACAAGCCACCTCTGCCCACTGAAGGTACAGAGCCAGACATAATCACATTCCAGCTCTGGAACTGGTACTCTGAATCAGCACAGAGTGCTCCCTGGATACATGAACTGTCTCTCCAGCTAATGTGTGTAGCAATGTTGATTCCTTTTTTACATTCAAGAAAGATGTCCTCTTTCCAATGGTTGAGAACCTACCAGTGGGGACAAGGGGTCACTGAGGGACTGTTTCATAGCAAGACAGGGGAAGACCAGAGGAGACATGCAACAAGGTGGATGTGCAGAGAGAACAAGTGTCTACCATGCAAACAAGGGGACTTAGTGATACATGCTCCCAACAGGGAAGCAAATCAAGAAACATTAAAGGTCTAAAATTAAACAGAAACAAAGAAGAAAATGATACCACAGGTCTAACAGAGACAAAGTCCTATCACTTGCTTGTGCCAGGACAGAACAGTTTCTAATTTAAGGCTCATGCCCACTGTTGTGACAGAAGTTCAGTACCACTAAGCGTTTTTCTCTGCTTCAGAATACCCCCCACCTCCCATTATGCCAGCCCTCAATAGAGATAGAAAGGAGTCTGGGCCTGGAATAAGTGATGTCCAGATCCTGCAAAGAGGGGACCAGCAGTGTAGACAGAATCACAACAGTCATCTAGGGTAAAAAGCACCCTGTAGCTAATAGAGACAAAATGAAAAAGCCCCTTTGTGGTGAAACAACACTCTGACTCTGCTTTCCTCCCTGCCTAGAGCTTTCCCTGTCACAGACCATGTCTGACACAGGTTTATACATGGAGCTCAGGGTAACAAAGCCCCTACAGCCAAAAGATGCCCCTCCAAATTGAACCCACCTGGGATGCTTCTGGATATTCAAAAGTCTACTACATAGGAGCTGTGTGAATATTACTAGAAAGAAGAGTGACAACAGTAGATTCCCAAGTTAATGGACGGTCACTATCTCCTCCTCTTACATCCTCCCTCTCAAGATGGTTCCTTTCTGTTTCTATAATGGCAGTGAAAGTTGGGAAGGAAACCTGTGACTCAGGTGCCCAAAGCTTTTGTTTTGCCTTAAGGGGAGGCAGTGCTGGGTGTGGGTGAGTAGGTGGGATAAGATGGATCTAAGCCAGGGTCTTTCATGCCAGGCAAACACTCTTATTATCAGTTATATTCTCAGCCTCCAAGATTTTATTATAAAGCTTAGATAATTATTTAATTTCAAGGCTCAATTCAACTCGGTTACTCATGAAAACATTTCATCATAGCTTATCCTGATGTCCAGAAGTTACAACTTCATTGGGGTCAAAAGACCTCCCAGTTCTACCAAGCCATGTGGGTAGGAGGCACACACTGGCTGCTTCCCATTGCCTCTTTGGGAAGGAATTGCATGTTTCTTTTTCCAAGTGAGGACACCAAAAAGCCTGAGGGTGGGCCATGCTAGGAGGAATGGCTGTTCTATTCCTCACCACTTAAATGGCAGTTTTAATATTAATATTTTAATTACAATTTATTCAAGTACAAAAATTAGAAATAGTATCAAAATATTCACAACCTTTACACTTCGAAAAAAACCACTATCTATGCATAGCTGTATTCTGCCACTTTTGTCTCCATGCAAATATATGAACAAGCATGCCTTTAACACATTCCGCTTTTCTTACAAGGACTTCACCAAAACATGTACAAAGTGTGCAGCTTTATTAAAGAACATTTAAGTTACAAATATTTGATTACAAACTATAAACAGTTCTGCACAGAACAGCAGCTGGCTCTTAGTACCTTTTACAGAAATTTGAGCATTTCTATAAGCTAATTTCTAAATACATATTTACAAAATTAAACATTACTGTTTTTGTTGTTGTTCTTGGAAACATCACCAAATAACTTCCCAGAAATGGCAGGCTATGTCCGTAGACATTCCCCATGCACCTCTGCCAGCCCTGGGTTTCTATCTACCTGGGAGGCAGATGTTTGCTCCCCCTGTCTGTTGGCTGTCTTCTGAGAGTACTTGCTCATATCCTCTCTCGCTTTTCCATGGAGGCATTCATCTTTCTCATCACCTTCAGTGTTTCTGATCTGACGCTGCTGCTTGTCAAATCTGTCAACAAGATGTGTTTGTGAGGCCTCAGCTTCTTGGGCATTCGCGATCCTTTGGGGCATGCCCAACATGAAGGGAAGAGCAGAATCTATGCCCAGCCTGCCTCTGTGATGCTGGGAAATTAACCTCTGGGTCTCAATGGCACAACTGCAGAAAACTCTAATACGGTTACTGTGGGAATCAAATGAGTCCACATGTATACAGCACAGAGAAAAATAGTAAACTGTTATTACATCTTTTTATGCTTTTCAAAAACCTGAAACTCTTTATTTCTGTAGTAAATTTTCATATTTTCCCCTCAAAAACTAGCACTCATTTGTTGATAATCTGAAGGACCAAGATGAATCTGGTTTTTGGTCTGTTTCTTATTATGATTTGCAGCTCCAGTCATGTGGCATTAATACTCTTGCCCCTTTTGAGTTGTTGTGATTATGTGACATCTCTTAACAACTACAGTACAAAGCTTCCAAGTCATTTTCTCTACATTTCCCTGAGCATTCTTGCCCACAAGTTCTTATACCTGTTCTGAAAAATCCTTGGAATTTTAAGTGAAAATGAATACTGCAGGAAGAGATAGCAGGTCTATAACAGACTTTCCCTCATATCCATCCTTCAGCAAATCCTGTGGGCTTTACCATCAAAAGAGGTCCAGCATTCCTCCCACTATTTCTGTTGGGTGATGATAAACACCTCTTAACTGCTCACCTTGCTTTCTCTTGTACCACCTAGCGCAGGTGGACTGATCCTTTTGAAAGTGTCACATCCCCTTTCCAATTATACACTGGAGTTTTTCCCTCAAACGCAGAATGAAAGTCAGAGCTGTGATAATGGCCTATGATATTGTCAACAACTGGGCCTCCTCAACTCTCTGTTCTTCCTCTAAAATGCTCCTTGGCCAAGTCCACGTTGGCAACATTGGCCTCCTGACTTTTCTCTGGATGGGTGAAGCACACTCCAGCCTTGGGAGTGTGTTCTAATCTAGCCTCCTTCCTAGATTATTTGTTCTCCTGGATCCATCCTGGTGGCTCTCCTTGGCTCCTTTCTTGTGTTACATTTCCTGCAGTGCTCCTATTTCTTCTATTTAAAACTGTAATCTTGCATACTTTCTTTCTTAGTTTTGTCATCATCACATTACTTGGTTCAGTTTTGTTCATCTGATAATTCTACCTTGCCCAATAGATTGCAGGCAAGTGTCTGTGTTGTTTACCACCTTTTCCTGATTTATGGAGGAGAGCCAATCACCTCACCACCCCCACTCCCCAGGCAATCAAATGTCTGTCAACTTCTCTGGTCCTCTTCACTTAATTCCTATTCACTTGGGAAATTTCCTCCTGTAGAGCCTGTAGTTTTTATTGCCATTGTGGATGAGAGATCTTCTTCACTGCATTTTCTAACTGGCTACTGGTACCATGGCAGAAACTCCAACTGATAAACATTAATTTTACAATGGGCCACTAAATATCTTCTAAGTTTTACTAATTTTTCATTGATTCTTTTGTGTTTTCCAAATAGTCAAATCATTTCCAAATTATTTGTACTGTCTCTATGGTATTATCTTATTTCTTTTTCTTATTTTATTTCAATAGCAAGACTCTTCAGAAGAACAATAAAGTTCCAAGGTAATACAAATAATTCCTATACAATCCCCAGGTTCACAGAAATGCCTTTGGTAATTTAAGTATAATATTGGCTGTTGGCTTTGGCTATCCTTTGTTATATATTCTGATTGTCATTAGTGCAGTTACCAATTTTTAAAAGACAATACAAAATATGAGAAATAAAGTTCTTCATTGACTTTATGAAGTAAGATTAGACAATTAACAGAATTGTCTGTCATATGAGTAAGATTAGACAATTAACAGAATTCCTAAAATCATTTGATTCTCAAACCCTGTTTAGTTGGATTAAATATGCTGTCAGATGTGACAGTGTTCTATTTAGAACATTTCCATATATTCTTATAAGACATCAGTTTGGAGCTCTGTTTTTCAGTGGTATTCTTATCAGGCTTTTCTTAGAATATTTTCATGTTCCACAGAGCTCTGGGACAGTCATTTGCTGCACATATGCCATGAAGAGAATCAGTCTGTGTACTATCTGCAAGTGTGAGACTGTTATATTAACTTCTTCCACAGTTTGATTTTAGAATAGTGAAAGTTTCTATTTTCCTAATTACGCATTTCTGTAAGAACTTATTTATTATCATACAGTTTATGATATGTATTTCTGTGTTTCCCACTGTGCAATTTACTTCGGTTTTTTCTTTCTTCTTGATCAAACTGCTAAAAAATGAAGTAGAAATTGACAGCCTGTGGGTTGTATCCACCTGGATATGTTTTATTTGGCCCACACGAAAAGAAGTTCTTTTAAATCTGTATAGGTGGTCACACACAAGCATCAAAGTCTGGATTTGACTTCTGTCAGGTGTGTTCTTTTTCATTTTGAATAATAACTAATTCCATTTAGCTTTTTATTAATAAGAAGGCATCTGCAACACACACTTGCACCTAGCTTCAGCCTTACCTCGACATTTCATATACAGCAACACAATAATCATCAGCTTACCTTCTGAGTGCTTAAAGTTACTTTATGTGTATTATCACATTAATTTCCTCAAGAATCTTAAGCATGTGCTTTTATTATCATCTTACAAAGGAGAAAACTGAAGCACAGAGAAAGTTGGTTGCTCAAGAGTTCAGAACTGAAACTTCCAATTAGAGGGCCATTGTTATTTTCTGTAAAATTCAGTTGATTTTCTTTTGTTTTCCAAGTAATTTTTACTTTTTAGTTTATTGTACCATAGTCAGAAAACACAGTATTAAGATTTTTTTCCCCATATACTTTAGATATCGTGTCCCCATTTTTTCCAGTTTAGCTTCTACAAACATTCATGGACATGGAAAGAGATCTATTAAATCAATTTAATCATGGCCTCATTTTTTTGGTTTGCTCTTCAAGTAAATAAAATCACTTGCCATACCATTGTATTTTTAGTTTAGACAGTTTTCCTAGATTTAGACAATTCTCTTATTCACTTTATACTGTTAGCTAGTCTAAATTTTCAAATACACATTTATGTAAATACTCATGAATCTTTTAACTCTCCTGTGTGTTATACATGAACAAAAACCAAAAAAGAAAAAAAAAAATCTTCGTAGTCCAATTCTTTTTCTTTGAACATGCTTTTTGAATTGTTTTAGATTATCTTAATTTTAATCTTCCTAAATATTTCCATGTAGGCTGTGTCTCTTCTAAATAACATATAGCTAGGATTTTGCTTTTTGACACATGCAATCTTTGTATCTTGGCAGGGGAGTCAGATGTGCTTTTTACTGTGATACAGGTGCTCTCAGTTTTTGATCACAATGTCTCTTGCTATTAACTACCAAGTACCATGCTTATTTGTTTTCCCTGTCCTTACATTGCAGGAAGGTACACTACCACTTTACAGCTCTGAAGTGTTTTTCTTTTTTTAAATATAAGTGTATTTTGACTTTGGTTTCAAGAATAAACATTGACATCATACTGTGAAAAAAGTTTTAGATTATTCTGATGGGAGAACTTCAATGTCTAAGAGAAACTAACACCAATTTTATATTTCTACTTTCAAAAAATAGCAACACAATAGGAAATGCACCAAATTTCAGATCCCATTATTTCAGATTGCACATTTTTTAAGGATTAACTTGTACTTTGCTTATATCTACATTTACAATGATGTTTTGCCTGTGTTTAAATGACTTCATTTTCCAAAAGCACTGTTACGTTGCAACTTCTCTGTTGCTGTACTTATTACAAACAAGTTCATAGTCCCTTAATCAAATCTTAAAACCCAAACAATTCAGAAACCTAAAATTCACCAAAACCAGGTGCCAAAAGTAATTCTGCAGCAAAACCAGACCTGGACAGACATGAAGCTATTTATAGTCTTGTTTCTACTTGGGTAAATATATTTTACTGAAAAGTACCAACAGAATAACAAGTGATATTAAATAATGTATAGCATATGTACTGTATTACTTTTCTAGAAATATAAATATTTTTAATTAAAAACACAGCTAGTATGGGCTAATATATTTAAGTATATTTCCCAGCACTGGCCACTGAGAAAGCTGAGCCCAAGATATCATAGTTGCAGTAAATACATACTGTATTCACATTAGGATCTAAATATTCTCAAAAAAGAAAAGAACCAAGGCTCTAGAAAACTTACAGATTCCAGAGCTTGAGCAGGTATAATACCAGATGAGTCTAGGAGTCTCAGAAGGCAAGGAAGTGCTTAAAAAAGCTGGGATAGGGTATATTGAAAAGCATAAGAATCTCACTGCAGCTCCTAATGGCCAAAGCTAAACACTTACACCAACAAAATAAATTGTTCAATTTATGTATTATAATTGCTATTTATATAACTGCTAATACTGTTCAAAACAAAATTTTAAAATTTATTTATTTTGGTATTACTGAGATCAAACTGAGCTATATCTCCAGCCTGATTTATTTAAGGAGGCAAGATCTCTTTATGAAGCTCAGGCTGCCCTTGAACTCATGGTGATCCTCCTGCATCAGCATCCTAAGTGCTGAGATTATAGGCTTGTGTCATCACACCCAGCTATCTTTGTTATGTTTTAGACAGGGTCTTGCTGTGTCATGAAGTTGCCTAGGCTGGATTTGAATTTATAATCTTCCTGCCTCCAAGAATTCTGGGATTACAGAAATGTACCATCATGTATGGCTTATAATACAACAATGATCATAATGTAAAGAATTTTAAAAAGTCTTTATGTTCATATTGATATTAATGAAATAAATGGGAGACAGAAGGCTCCTTCTTACAGAAGAATGCTGATGAATAAACATCTAAGAATGAAGGGAACAGAAAAACATTACAGACAACAAAGTAATACCACAGACAATATCCACTGGTAAGTGTTAAGTCACTGCAAACATTTAAAGAGAAACAGGGAATCTGTAGGATATGATAAAGGAATAATCCTACCCTGCTTCCTAGAGATGATCTGTAGCCCTTGGAATGTCATTGGAATGTCCTGCCTGATAAGTGTGCCCTTGTTTCCCTGGGAGATTTGGGTCAGTCAGGACAGTTTTTCACTAACAATGTGACACAGAGTAGAAACTTTGGATTGCACAGTGACAGTTTAGGTTCTAGAGGGCCTGGAGATTCAGATTAACCAGTTACACAACTGAGCCCCATTAACAACTCTGGATAGCAAAGGATGAGTAACACCGAGTGTTGTCATATGCTGGGAAAATGTTACATTGTTCACATTGCCTAAGAAAGACACTAGGAAGCTTCAAATTCAAAAATTCTTGTGGGTTTTGTCCTACATCCTTTCCTGAACTGGTTTCACTTACGTCTTTTCACTTCAGTAAACCACAATGGTTAGAACAACAGCTAAGTTTTACAAGTTCTAGAGAATTATGGAATCTATTGGTATGTTTAGGGCTCCTGAGCTTTGTATATAATCTCCAAGTATCTACCTTGTGATATTTACTAATTACAGGGAATAAAAAAAATTTTTTTTAAAAAGACATTTATAGTGCAGAAATAGTGATCAATGTCAACATGCCCACACCTAAGGTTGATGTAGCTAAAGGATGTCTCACCTCTAGCTCCAACAGATCCTTAGTCTGATCATCAGAAATGATTTACATGGTGTGAAGGCTCATTGAGATAAGGGCTCCCCTTCAACAGCATTATGACAGGCAAAGAAAGGTTGAGGCTCTAACATGAGTTGCAGAAGATAGAGACCTAAGAACAGCACACATGTGGAAGCCTATACAGCCTGGGACACAGAAGAGGAATGGAGCATACCTGATCAGAAATTAAGTCTGTCTTCAGCTTGTATCACTGAGACAAAAGAAACTTTCAGTTTTGACAGTTACAGCATGACTATGGAGGGGTCTTACAAGCAGGGAGGCTGCACATTGAGCATCACAGATGGAGACACAAAGGTATAATGATATACATCAAAGATATAATGATATATACAGAACATTACCACTCATGGCAGTTAAGTTTTCTGTAAATGTGAAATTACAGCAAATAAAATGTCAAGGGAAAATCAATTGGCTACAAGGCATTAGAAAAAAAGACTGTACCCTTCTTTCCTTTTTGATGGCATAGTTATTTAAGGGCTTTTAAAGGGGGTTAGACAGATAGCAGAACACAAGCCTTCATGCTTACAGGCACATTTTCATACAGAAAGGGCAAACACCCTTATATTATTTTAAAAGGGTAGCACATTTACATTTTATTTAAAAATTTGTTTAAATTAATGAGTGCATTAAAAATACTTTGATCACTGTTGGAGATGTAAAGAAATCAAGTCTTACTTGAAAACCAGTAAGAAAAAAGATTCAAACTACCTGACTTTCTCATATAAACTATGTCTTGAAAGTAAAAAACTGAGATGTAGCAGCAACAACATAGGATAGCATGAACAACAGCAACAAAGGAATGACAACTAAATTAGAGTAGCATCTCTCTACTACCCCCAAGGAATTAATAAACTGGTCAGAGGTTATCAGTGACAGGACACTAGAGCTAGGGACTTCCAAGAAGAGCTTAATACAGTGAGGGTGAATCTTCTAGAATTTTCAATGATACGAACAGTCCACTGCCATAGGTGTGGCACAGGTTTGCCAGCACTGTAGTACCATTTGAAAAGTTCTCCCAACCCCTCCTTTGCCTTCCAAAACAATCAGCTAAAACCAGAACTATTAGTAATCATAGAAACAAAAAAAGTAGAGTAATCTGCTAATCTATACCACAGTGATACAATGAGCAAGTCACACCAGAAAACTGGACAGACCAAACACCACAGCTGCTTCAACAAACACATTAGAGAGATGACAGAAGAACTACAGCTTTAAAACATTTAGAAATATGTCAAACAAAAGCAACACAAGACCCTTACTTGGATTTTGATGCCAATAGGCAATATACATTTAGAACACTTGAGTGAAAATCTGAGCACTTATTAGATCTGTATATTAAGAAAATATTATTATTAATGTTATTTTAAAGTGAAACAATATATGGCAAAAATTTTAAAAGTGTCCTTATTCTTTAAAGGTAATGCTGAAACATTTAAAAAGCAATTTAAAAAGTTAAACCAGCACTCAGGTTGAGGCAAGAGGAATGTTGTGAGTCCGAGGCCAGCCTGAATTGCATAGTGAGATGCTGCCTCAAAAAAGAAAAAAAAGTCAAACCATCTCTAGATACTACTCCCATGCAATGCAATGAATGTAAAAGGTACAGTGGTTTCTCAGTTTACAAAATGAATTTGTTTTATGATTTTGAGGAAGATGGCTGCATTAGTGTTTGTGTGGGAAAGATGGCCACTGCTGTGTTTGTCATTCAATGGCAAGTTTATGAATGGACAGAAAATTTTGCCAAACATTTTTGTTTGCAAGCTGAATTGTTTGCAAACAGAGGCATATGTGAACAGAGGTATTATTGTATTACTATGTAGCTCAATGTTTGCAATACGCTTTTTCCTTCAAGTTAATGATTATCTCCTAGATTCAATAAAGGCATTTGCTTTTTTTAGTGAACTGTGCCTAACTTGTAGTGAATTTTTTCTACAGACTTCCACTACGACACTTGCTCTGTCATTCAGTATCTGAAGTTTCTATGTCAGTTCTTTGTGAACTGTTGCTGTATCCCTTCTAAGTTACAACATTGTGACATACAACATTCACAATAGGGGAATATTTTTTTTAAAAAACTACTTCAAACTAGAAATAAGAGTTATTTTTTTTTTAAAAAGAAGCTGTACTATTAAAAAGAGTAAAAATAATAAGAGATAAAATTGTATTATATAATCTACATATCTATTTAAAAATAAATTTTAAATAAAAGATCGAAAGTATTGATACAAAATAACATATTGAAAAACCTTAGTTAGTAAGATTTACCAGTTTCCTTTAAGTACCACTGATCCATGCAGTGTACTTTAAAAATTCAAATAAACTCAAATTCAAAACTCAAATAAGCTACTGATACTAGATTTCAATATAACCCTAAACTGGAGGCTACAATGGTACAAGACAGAGTTGGTTCCATACAGTGATGCCCTTAGAGACAGTGGCAGCCCCATCCCCAGGGTCTCCACTGCAGCAAGGTCAGGCGCAGTAGTGAGTTAACATCAGGTCACCTGATGTCTTCTGATACTTCGCCTGCTATGCTCAGTAAACATAGTAGCTTTCCACGTAACTGACAACTGTGTCTGTACCTCTAACTTCCACTGAGCCTTTTTAGGTAAATAAAGCATGTTTATATATGTAGGGAATTTATTATCATATAAAACTAAGGTGTTGATCAAAAGGCATTCTGCACACATAACACAGAAACATCTATTCTGTGTGCTTCCTCTGCCCATGGCTGTCACACAGGAGAACTCAGCCCCCTGTTTACCAGCACTGCAGCACACTTGGCCTCACCTGCATCGTTCCCAGTTCCTTTCTGCTTTTTTTCCTTGGCTAGTTGAATGGCTCGGTAATCAGTTCTTGCTGAGCCCCCACTTTCCTGGGACCAAAGAAAAGTGTGTCAGTCACTTGATCTAAAGAGTAAAGGAAGGGTAGCAAGGGAACTACAGAAATGTTCTAAGCTTACTTCGGAACTTTTAAAGTTCAGTAATCCAGCAAAGGCACCCAGAGAACCAAATGCTACAACCAGTCATAGTGCTAACTGAACATAATCAGATCTGGAACATGAAAATGTTATTTGGAAGAGTTTATTCCTCCAAAATCTAAAACATTAAAACACTTTATACAGAAACTGTTACAAAATGAACTGCCTGTCTCTCTGCTTTCACAACTTCCAATGAATCCCCAAAATTACATTACTACAGCAACACCAAAAGGTTTCCCATACTGTCTGCACCCTGCAGGTCTTGAGTGGTGCTGCCTTCTCCACTCACTGCAGAGGCCATTCTGGCAGCAGGTGCTACACTCCAAAGTCTTATAGAGCAAAACAGTAAGAACATTACTGAATTCAACAAATTTACTAAGGGAGTCAAATGAACAGTATTCAAACAGTAAACTGTCATACATTTATGAATGTTTCATATGAAAAAGTTTAACGCTTATCACTACAGAGAGAAGAATAACTCTCTACAGCTCAAGGCATACCTGTAACCCATTCACCACACACCATTTGTACTCAGAGAAGCGAGGGAGCCCAACGTCACACAGCTAGCAAGAAAATGAACAAGGGGTTAGGACTGAGGTCTTACGGGCTCCTCCACCTCCACCCATAGGTATGGCTCTGGAGATGCAGTGAGGCTTAAGAACACTTCTGTTTGCCATGGGCACTAAGACTGACTTTCCATGTGGCTCTGACCTACATCCACCTCCCATCTGTCCCTGCCCAATCACCAGTTGCTTAGCCACTGCTGAGGCAGCCTAAACAGATGCTAGCAAACATGGCTCTGCCAACAAGCAAGACACCAGAAATGGAGAAGGACTATCCTCTCACACTGAAAAAACCTGAAAACTGGTTCCATGGTAGATCATTTCCAAGTGTCTTCACACTTGATCCCAATTCAGAAGATTCAATGTATTTAAATTGTGGTAAAACAAGATTTAACATTTGAATAATATAAATACCTCTATCAAATTTCTTGTGTTTTAAAGAAAAAAACCACTTTCACAGATGATCATTTCCATTGTACACTGAGGAAAGTCAAACTCTCTTCAAAAATATTTAAATTATTTTAAATTAAATTATAATAAATGCGTAATTGGTGTAAATTAAAGTAAAACTATCCAGTCTCAAAATTGGAGTATTGTTGTTACCTTTCAAGAATGAAGGCTCATAAGCCACTCCTTTTCCCCCTTAACTATAATTTTAAAAAACATTTTGAAATGGTTTTAGTTTCGATTAAAACTTTTAAAGGTAGTTTATGCTGCAATTCCTCCTCTTCTAGGACTTGTAGCTATATAGAAAGCACAAAGACAAAATATTTCAGTATTATGAAGTGCCCCAAGTTTTACCAAAAAAATAAGCACATTACCACTGTCAGAGAAGTCAAAAGGACCTTAGAAATCATCTGGCCAATTCCCTTATTTTAGAAATAATGGAGAATTTAAGGCTCAAATAGGTTAAGACATTTGCTCAAGGTTGCAAGAACTGTTGGTTCTAAGACTCAAGGCTGGATTCAGATTCAGACTTATAGTCCAAGGTTCCATCCTTTTGCAAATCAGTAAGAAACTGCATAGAAAGGATTAATCCAGAATATCCTCAAAACTGAATGCAAGAGAAGTGAGTTATATGGTGGTGACTGAATAGTGTTTCATACCAAAAAGAGGTTCCCAGTGCCTGCACTGAGTTCTGTGTCCTTCTGAGGACCATGCTGCTCTGTGGGGCTGGAGAACACAGATGGGCTTGGCCCTAGGCTTCCTTCCTGCTGCTCAACCACATCTGGGAGAGGAGGTGAGTCTCGCTCCACCTTAATTGAAGTCACAAGTTCTGGGGCACTGGTAGTTTCTTGGGAAGTGCCTGAAGAGCTTGATGTAGTTGTATGTGCTGCCAGGTTACTGCCAGAAGTCAAAGCAGGTGAATCTTGACTCAAGTTCTTCACAGGCAGTGCCACCAAACAGCCTACTGTTCCTGGACTCACAGCCTGCACATCATCCACACTGAAGCTGCCTGGTTGAAGAACTGTGGCTGCTGTCCCAAGAACCAGAGGGCTATCCAGACTCGGAGGAATATCACTGTGGGCTACCAAGACCAGAGGGTCCATGGGCCCTAAGGAGTTATTATTAGCAGGGAGGTTCTTTCCCAGAGAGGAGTTCACAGAAGTAACATCAATGGTTAGGATTCCAGAATTCAGTGCCTCATCCGGTCCACTTGCTGAACTACTACTGTTGGCAGACGTATCAGAGAAGAGTGCTGCTATATCTATGTTAGAGAGCTCACTTTGACCTGGGTTACTCAGTTCACTGCTTGGTGTAAGAGAACTTGGAGCTTCCAGCTGAGGTACGAGATCTGCAAAAACAATGAATACTCATCATTTACCACCTCAGAAATCTTAAGAAATTTTGCTTATGCTCAAGATGTTAGAAATATTAACTAAGGCAACGTTTAGATACTACATTTAGATCCTCTCTGGAAACTGCTGCCTGATCAGAACTTGCTTACTAGGACCTACTAATAGCCTGTTGTTGGTGATTATTTGATAGATATCAAGGGAACAGACAGCTTCCCACGTGTACTTACCATAGTCTTGAACCAGAGATTTTTCTAGAGGGAATGATGGGAGAGAGATAAAATGATGTTTCCTAAAGTCTTGTTAATTGGTTTAAAAAAAAAAAAAGACAATGGTAACACCTGATTCTAGTTTCTCTGGTTTCAAAGCCTGTACTTTTTTTGATAGCATAGTAGATAACCAAGAAAAGAAAACTGCAAAACTTCCAATGGTATAGTCTTCAGAGGCCAGTAAAACAAACTCTAGCTGTTTGAGCTCTGTTTGTTTGGTACCAGGGGTTGAATTCATGATCTTGTGCTTGCCAGACAGGCACTCACACTACTGAGCTAAACCCCTGGTCTGTTTGAGTTATTTTTGTAATCAGCTTATGTGAGTTCACATCTTGTCAACGCTATTATTCCCTGTTCTACAAGTACCTGTAACTCTAAAACATGAGTTCAAGCCATCTGGGAGTAAAAGGGACAAAATTAGCTGCCTGGTTTTGGGCTGAGATCAAAGGTCTAGTTCTACATAGTTACACAGAGCTTAAATACCTAGGTGCTCTGCTGCCCTAGATGGAATTTTCTTGACAGGGCTTCTCTCCCCTGGCCAGCTCCATCACATATGTATTCTCTGACGATCCCCAAGCCAAGACTATAATCTTGAGGTGGAGAGGCAGTGTAACGCAACTCTGTGCCCTCAGCACCTGGCATAGTTCTTGGCCTTTTGCAGCATGTAAAGATCATACACTATAATTCAGTAGATTCCTCTTTTGGAATCTTAATTTTTTATTGTAGTACTCCTTACATGCTTATTACTCAGTTTATCTTTAAAAAAAAAACTTTGAGGGAATAACAAACCTTAACATACTTCAAAAAAAGAGGGGGGATTAATATACAAATTCACACCAAACATCAAATTGTACTGGGCAAATAGAAAATGGGAAACACAACGAATTTGGGGAAATGAGTCAAATAAGGCCAGGTTTTTTTTCCCCCAAGAAATCTCCATTGCAGAATCCTGACCATGCCCATGCCTGCTGTAGAAGGGAAAGGCTCGGGGCCGGGGATTTAGCTCAGCGGCATAAGCGCCTGCCTTGCAAGCAGGCAGTCCTGAGTTCGATCCCTGGTACCGGTAAAAAGGAAAAAGACAAAAAAAAAAAAAAAAAAGAAAGGCTCTTTGTTTCTGCTCCTCCCATACTAAGCGCTAGTTAACCACAAACTCATTCTTTCCAAGAGTGAATGCCGGGTCACAACAGGTACTGTATTTTTAACATAAGCCTATGAAAGAAATATAGTCTATCAAAAAAAAAAGGAAAGCAAAGACCAAATTCATTCTGAGCATGATAGTGCTATATAATCCCCAGCTACTTATACTAAACATACACTGAGGCAGGAAGCCTGTGAGTTTAAGGCCAACCTGGGCAATTAGCAAGACCCTGAAGATCCTGCCTTAAAAAAAAAAAAAAAGAATGTGTATCTTCTTTAGTTGTTACACCGTTTCAAAATTTCATCAGTAAGTGTCCTAGAACCAATGGAATATTCTGAAAGGGAACAAGAGTGATTCTTTGTAGAAACTGAAATTGGAAAAGTCACTTTTTCAAAATTTTTCAAAACTTTCCTTGCCTATCTTAAGGATTTGGTTTGCTGTAAAATAAAGAATAATCTCAGTGTGACTAGAGATACCAATTTAGAGAGTTTCTCATTTAGCAATTTATTAATTCTACGAATATTACCTGGAGAACCGTCATGTGCAACACACATGAAAAAAAATCCTATTAAATAAATGCTAGTAGAGCACCTAATGTGAGTAGTTAGATCATGCCATTGAGAGGTGAACAGATCTCAGTTAAAATTCCAGCACAAGTACTTCCTATTGGTATAACCACAGCAAGTCTTTTTTTGCCTCAGATTCATCAGCAGGAAGACTGCCATTAGGGTGAATGAAACACCTCATCAAAGGCCTGGCATGATCTCACAGTAATTAGATGATCCTGAGTGCTTGTTTTCCACCAGGCAGGGACTATGGTACCTGTTCTCTGCCTGACAGGAAGAATGACACAAATAAGTCAATGTACATCTTAAATACATGCCAAGGATATACTGGGCATTCCAACATCAACTAAGAGGGTCTCAATTTTAACCAGAGTTTAGGAAAAGTTCATCTAGAACAATCTTGAGCTTCTGCTGGCCTTTAGATCACCCAGGTTAGGAAAAGAATACACTCTGAATGTCAGAAACACAGGAGGGGGCCTTTGTGGCTGAGAGGCTGTGAGCAAAGGTGATATACTTTTTGACATCTTTTACATGTATTAGGTAGAACACACACTGCACCCCTATCCCCAAGACATTCATGAAGCTAGAAGGGCAAATTCTTTAAAGGCAAAGTAAAATGGGCAACTGTTGTGAACTGTAGGTCTAAATGCCTGAGATCAAGAAAAAAGACTAATCACTTCTAACAGAATCAAAAGAAACCAGAGGAATGACACAAACCTCCAGAATTAGCAGCTGTACATAGAGCCCTGCAGTAGGCACTTAAGGCATTTCATTCCAAAAGCTACTCAAACTCCTTATTTTAAAAGCCGAGCAAAATGGGGTTCAAAGACCTGTTCCTGACTGAGAAGAGGATGAGCCCCAAAGCTGGTGCTCTGCCTCCACCACAGTGCTGTATACCACCTGGGTCATGAGTGGGGGACTGTAACGCACACAGCTTCCATGGACTCTGAACAGAAGTAATTCTTCAGTTAAGTTAGGACTTCCTCAGCCAAGCCTTACCACAAGTAGCAGCCTCACCATGTCCCAGAAAGCAAGGTCTATGGGAATGCTCTAGAAAAGGGGCAGCCACTGCTTCTGCCCAGATACCCTCAACCTCTTGTCCATAGGACTATGGATAAGGCCTAGATAGGCAGGCTTCCCATAAACTACCAAATGACAAGTACTGATATGTTCAGAATCCTTCCTGTTTAATGCCCCTGGATCTCTTTATTGGTGCCTCTCTAATCCTCCCTCTCTAACATTCACTCTCACTCCTGAAACCCATTCCTAAAACACAACTCTGCTCAGGTATTGGATGATTTCTTGCCTCCAGAAGGAAACAGTCATCCACACCATAAAATCGGTTTTATAGCAGAAGCAAGGAACAGGCTCGAGTGCTCAATAGAAAGAAAACTGAGTTGGTAAAAACAAAACAAAAAGTGAGATACTAGAGGATAGGTTCAGAATTTAGGACGAAGGTACTGGCAGGAGACACATGCTAGGGTTTTAAGTGATGTATGTTAGGGAAAAACCAATCAAATGAAAGAATGAACACCCTTAAGGGAAGTACTTCAAAGTCCAGGGAAGAGTAAGATGTAACAAAGTGGTAAGAAGAGGGTGCAAAAGAGGTCACTCATTCCAGTAGCCAAAATCCATGGGCTCTGACCTCATAGTCTAGACAACGCAGAAAGAAGGTGAGAAAGAACAGCACTATTTCTGTTTTCTCATGAGCACCAGACTCACACATCTTTGTGGCTGAGGAATATAAAATGCAGACCTTGGCGTTGGCTGTGCTGCCGCAACACATGAGCCTTCATGCTGTGCTTGGAAGTGAAGAGTCTATTGCAGCTGGACACTGGGCAGCGAGTTTTTGGAGCACCCACGTCCTGAAGATGCTTCTTAGAGTGAATGTACAGACTACTGCGAGCGGAGAACCTAGCACAGCACCCTGAAACAGAGAGGAATGAGTTACACCTGAGGAAACCAAGGAACCAGTACCAAAAAACAATTCCTCATCAGATCAGAATCTTGAGATTACATTCCCAAATACTGGTCACTGGCAAGGGATGAACACTGACCAGCCTAGAAACAGCATCACAAGGAGTGAAAATCCAAAGCAAGTTGCATTTAAAAGACAGAAAAATAACTATAGGGGAAATCTGAAGTCTTGTGTCTGCTATGTCTAAGACATATGACTTTCGCTAAGCTGACTCTTCCCGTTTTTTCTCCTACTACTGGAGTTGTTGGGAAGATTAACTCAAAACAACTCCAGCAATGTGCAATTGCAAAGATACAGTCACTCCCATTGAGCTATTATTATAAACGAAAACCCTATAATATCAAGAGTTACAACTACCCAAGAGATCACCAAAACCAACTTCTTTCATTTTACCACTATGATGCTGACATTTAGAGACTGATCAAGTATTCCTAAGTCAGGAGCATGAGTGGAGCCAGAGCTGGCCTTTCCCTTACAGTCTATTTACTTAGAACCATTTTCCCTTCATGCCCTAATTTCATACTATATTAGAACTCTGCCCCATACAGATACAGAGAGGGGAAGTCTCAGCTCTTCTTATGTTAAGGGTGGCATAAAATCAGTGCTAAAACAATGAGCTGCTCTAGAAGCTAAGGAAATAGGATACCCCCTGGAAACACAGAGAAAAAGTTATCATAAGCAGATAGCAGTGAAGTGGCTAAGCCCCAGCAAAGCAGAAGGCTGTTCCAGGCCAAGGGAGCTGTCCAGCTATGGCATGGATGACTGGATTCCAACTCTAGCTCAGTTACCTATTAGCTGTATAGACTTAGTAAAGGAAATTATCCTAGCAGAACTCCTTTTTCTTTTCTATAAAATGGATATAAGGCTTACCTTGTAGGGTTATAAGGACACAATACAGCTATACTAATCTACAGAGCCTGACCTTCAAAGCTTCATTTGAGAATGAAATAAAGTTCAAAATTACCTTCAGAGGCAACCAAGGTCCTTACTCTATCCTACTTTACCAATTTTTTTTTTTTTTTAATATAGCCTATACACAGACTCTAAGCTCCTAAAATTATGCCCTGCCACCCTGAGGATGAGCCTTAAGTCAGTTTTAACAGAGAAAATGACTCAGGGCCCTTCTCAGATTGACTTAGACTGAATGGGTATTCCAGCATCCACTCAGATGGACTGAGAAGGGCCCTGAGGTTCACCCTTCTACGAGATTAATTCCCTCTCCACTGCCTCAAGGAGAATGTTCTCCAATTATTGCCCTCCCAAGCACTGATGGCTCACCCCTTTCTCTCCTATTACTGTCAGCCTCCTTTTACTGGCACCTCAACTTTGGGACTGCCTGAAGCTCCTTCACAGCTTTTCAAAAACAAGTGCCCCTCCTTTGTAGCCAGTTGCTGCCCCTCTCCCAGTCACTTCTATAAAGAGGTGTCAACACAGTCTTCTGCTTCACACTTGGGCCCACAGAGCTCTGCCTCAGGTAGCTCACAGAACCTTGACCATCAATATATCTTGACCCTGTGCATGTCCAACGTGAGATAGCCTGCTCTGGGCTGAGCCTTTTCTACACATCCTCCCTCTCATCCCAGCACGACCAGCCACCAGGGATCCTGCCATAGCATCCGTCCCACTTTTCCATCTGAACTGAGCAATCCCAGTGGTACTGCAGGTGTAAAAAAAAATTGTTACAATGGCAACTGATATATATTGCTTTCACATGCTTAAAAATAACTTAGTCTTCCTAACAACCTTGAGGTTTTACTCACTTTACAAATGAGGAAACAGGTACAGAGCTAAGTTGCTTTTCACAGGTCCCAGAGCTACGTTAGAGGTACACTTGGGACTTAAATTCCGCAGCCTGACACCAGAACTCACAATTTTCATCACCACCCTAGACTGCTTTTTTGCTTTACACCACTGACTGAAAAGTCCATCCACTTCCATGACATACATGATAATTCATGTGCTGTTTCACTCCTAGCTCAGGTAGCACACTAAATTCCAGCAGCACAAATATCCCCATCTTCTGAGCATCTGAACTTATAAACTAGGTAAATAAAATGTAGCAAGTCCAAACTAGTCCCTACATTCTGACCTCAACTAAGATGCTGGCCCCAACTATGCCTCTCCCTCAACTTCCATTTGGGTCCAAATCTGTCACCACGTATTATTAATCCGAACTCCTATCTCCATCATCAACACACTTTTCTGCCTTCCTGCTTCCTTCCAACCTCCAACCCAAGCACACTCATCATCCCAGGATGCCTGCACTTAATCTGTAGGCCTATCTGTTTTTAGTCATAAAGCTAGATTGACACACAACTTGAACATGACCCCACCACTTTCTGCACTCAGGTTCCGCTCTTACACTTCTTAAAGATTTCTCTCATATGATTTTCCTGCCTCTAACACCCACCCTTATGGACTGGCTCCCGTTCTTCCTCCTGAGGTTGATGGCACACAGTGGGAGCGGGGGTGTCATTCCCACACCTCCAAGGGAAGTATGGGGAAACCTTCTGTGTTTTCACAAAAGCCTGCATGTTACTCATATGCTCACTCATATGCATTCCCAGCTGAATACTGATGAAAGGATTGTGGCTTGGTCACACCACTTGTACTATGTTCATTATATTCTAAAAACTGGCCTCAGCTTTACATGAGCTTTATTATCCCCTTCTCCAGTTAAAAAAACCAAGATCCAGAGAAGCAGCTGAGGCCAGTGATCTACAGGACAATCTGACTTGTCCTGGCCTGCAGTCCCCCAGCATATTTGAAGTGCTATAGTTGGGCTGGCACAGATGTACACCACAGTAGATTTTTGGCAAATGATTGGCATTTTAAAGAAAAAAAGTTACTAACAACCTTTTTAAAAAGTCAGCCTAGTTTTACTGCTGTCCACCTGTAACAAGAGTAGCTACCTAACAGTTAGTGAGTTCAAGCAGTATGCCATGTGCATAAAGTTTTTTTTGCCACATTATTTTACCTAATTCTCATAACCACCAGAGCCACAGATAAAATACATGGTGTGGACAGAGTCAAATTGGCAGGACTTTTGATCTGTATTCTTTCCAGCCCCCAAGACAGTATGTGCAATTCACTCTACAAGCCAAATGAATATACCAGCGCAACTTATACTGACCTTGTCTCTAAGCAACTAAAACTTACCTTAAAACAACTTAAACTTACACCACGAATATTGGGGGAGTATATAGTTAACAGCTAAAAGCAACATTTTAAACTGTACCTTCCACAGGACACTCGAATGGTTTTGTGCCTAGATGGGTTATGCTGTGGCCTTTCAGATGCTCTGCTCTCGTGAATGATTTGCCACAGCCTTCCACAGGGCAGGTGAACCTCCGGTCATCATCATGTTTCCTGCCACAGCAGAAAAACAAGGGAAATGATTACTCAAACAATTCACAAGGCCTTGGGGGCGATCCTTTAAAATTCTGCAAAAACTATACCGAACTACAAGTGCTTTCCGTTTAAAAATAATGATCAGTACATTTCAGAAAATCTTGTATTTTGTTCTCAGTCCACAGCAAGTTTGTAATTTTAGCTACCCCATAATTAGAAATTCTACTTTAAAGAGTAAACCAGTCCTAGAGTTAGACATAGAACAATTAGTGCCGTTTCAATCTAGGAACAATGAAGTCCAAACATATTGACAAAGTTATTTAGAAATCCACACAATAAACAAGCCTTCCTAGCACAGAGAGCCATGTGCAGAGTACACGTAGCACTGGCTGCAGCACTAAAAGGAGCCTCTTAAATCGACTTGTAAAAACTGTCACTTCCTAAATAATACTTTTTTATTGAACCCTTCAGACTCCAAGTATGCAAGGATAAACCACTCATCCTCTCAGTCTCACTGTACAATAGACAGAAAACTGTCAGTACTATACCTGTTATAAAAATGGAACAAGATGCACATCTAAAGTACACTGCCTAGACGTGAGACCCTAAGACTATCACCATCATCAAGAAAAGTTTCCAATGACACAAGGAAAATTGTGTAACGTTAAAAAAAAGTATTATATAGGAACCACATCAATTAAGTATGAAAAATATATAGAGAGATTCTGAGTAATTATCTTGTTATAGTATTGAGATTTTCCTAATAACTATATTCAGCTCTTACTATTATTTATTTACTTTGGGTGCTGGAAATTAAACTCAGGACCTCATGCTTGCCTGGCAAGCCACTGAGCTAAATCCCCAGCTCCCTGAGCTCTTTATAAATAACAATAAAACACATTATATATTTCTATACATAGGCTTTTCCTACTGACCCATCCATTTTCAAAGCTGATAATACATAACAAAATGTAAACATTACCTTTTATGCCTTAGAAGTTTGGACATACTGGTAAAGGTCCAACCACAGCTGTCTGAATCACAAACAAATGGTCTTTCACCTTGTAAAAGAAAAGATTCATGGCTTAATTATAAACACAACAGCTATCACAGAGATAAGTTTTGGGTCCAAGTGCTGATGCGTTCTCTAGCCCATTACCTGTATGACTTCTTAGGTGAATTTTCAATCGACAGGCTTTATCATACTGTTTGCTGCATCCAGGAAAGGAACAAGAAAAGAGCTCTTGTTCTCTGAAGTGGGCTCGGTTATGAGAAAACAGGGCACTCACTGTGATGAATGTCTTCTCACAGCCTGAACAAAGAAAACACAAACTCTTCTTACAGTACAGTAAAAAATGACCATAAAATACAGTCAATGCTAGTCACGACCCAGGACACTGTTCATCTTGAAGTGAACAAGGAAAAACATGATTCAGAAGCCCTATCTAAAAAGTTGTTTAACAAGAATGTTTGCCTTTATAGTAACTGCAGCAAGGGTGGGTTGATGGTAGGTCATAGGCACATGCAGGCTACCTGTAACCATACAACTTGGAGATGGAGCAACTGATCAAGAAAGACTTCCAAGCACAGCTATCTGCTTATCAGTTCTACAATACTGATCTTGCATGCATTAGATGTACCTTCCAACTCAAATTTCAGTATTATTTGTCTGAGGCATAAGAAAAGGAGATAAACTAACAACTAATAAGCAAGATTTTGTCTGGCAGAGTTGAGTTTTGAAGATTTACAACCTCAGTAACATTTCTCGCCCCTTTGGGATAATGCTACATCTACTATACTTAGGAGTTTTCTCCGCTGTAACTGCCAGCCCTACATTGTGTTAACTGTCTTCTTTTTATCTTTTTGCCATTTCCTCAGTGTTCTGCTTCATAATCTTTATTCATCTGGCTTTTTCCTCCAACTCCGTCCTCAGCCTCTAATTGTACCACTAACCCAGAAGCCTACATTTTACCAATATTCTTTTGGGAAAAAAGTTTAGTGCTCAAACAGGGTGAAAGATATGAAATCACAAAACGTTTAATAGGTGTCTTTGTTGAAGCTATCAGTGTGCCTGTAAATAACTAAATAGTTACGAACTGCATAAAAGTAGAAACCCAAGGAACTCTACTTTCCCTAACGAAAATCTTCCTAAACACTTTAAGTCATACTTTTGGGCCTCAGTCCAGGCCTCAGCCTTCCCTGTTTTGGGCTTTGGGTGTGTTCACACAGTTGATCAGGTAAATCTGAACACAGGCAAATTCTACCTTATCAAGGATCACTTCACCTCAGCTGCACCAATTAATTACCATGCCTCTTCTGCAATCTTCCTACTTGAACCACCCACCACCACAACCACCATATTCCCACAGCCACTCCCTGGCTCTGGCACTGAAGAAATTTGTGCCTAGAACACTGAACGGTCCCTCTCCTGCCTCAGTGATTACCTAACATAAAACCCTCAGAGAGCCCTCTTGCCTTGAAGCAAACCAGATCCACATCTTCCAGAACTATACACAGTTTATATCTTTTCTACCAGAAAGTCTACAAGCATCATGAGATTTTCACAAACAAGTAGCTAAAAAGGGTACAAATGAAAAAGGCTGAGTCAGTAGTCCAAATCCATGTTTTCCATAAAGAGGGATGCACAAAACCATTCAAAGGCATGAGAGAATATTAAAACCTGTTAATAGTCTTCACACAACTCAAAATCCCTACATTTGAGCACACTTTATAATACATACATTACATTAACATATATTATTATAGGAAAGCAGGGCACATGTATGTTAATATGCATGCAAGCTACATTGGAGCTTGCCCAATCAAGTGTGTTTGTGTGTGTGGAGGGGATTTTGTTATGCTTAGGGATGGAATTTTGTGCATGTTGGGCAAACATTCTTCTACTGAGTTTCATACTCAGCCCTCTGAAGTATGTTTTAATGAACAGGATGGGAAAGGCCCTCCTATAATCTCCCCACAGCCCACACCACTGTACAGGTCACTCACTCCTAAACCAGCTCCTGTTCTAGTCTCCAGCCTTCCAGGCCAGGAATGTTCTCTTGCTCCTCTGGCGAAAGTCTGTCCTTCTGAGAGCACCTAACCTCCCTAAACCAGGGAAAAGTTCATTGCATTGGGAGCCTTATATTCCCAGCCAGAGCAGGTAAACACAGAGGAGGAAGAACCAGCAGTGGATTTTATCTGCACTGCTTGGCCTCAGTATCTTTATCTGTAAAATGAGAATACTTTTTAAGTTTCACAAAATTAAAAGAATTTTTAAAAACTTCACATATTTGGGAAATGTAATGAATATAAAATATAAAAGACACAAGGATGTGCCATATACACTTGTGGCCATTCTTTCTGTATGTGTAACGTGTTGTACCCAGCCAGCCACATTCGTATGTTCCTCTAGTATGGAGAGTATTGTACTATATCAATATGATGACAAAATATTTCTAAACCACAAAACTAAGGAAAATAAAGACCTGACTTTAACCCGACTGTTCTATACAGATCCACTATTACTTTTTTGTACTGGGTATCGAACTCAAGACCTTGTGCTTGCCAGGCAGGCACCTGAGCTGCTGAGCTACACCCCCCTCCACTATCACGTTCGTTAAGTGAGTAGAAACATCTTCATGTATCTGTTGGTTCCTCCACGAACAGCTATGATTATTTCAGCTATCTTGCAGTGGAAATCTCGCAGCAAGGCAAGATCCAAACTTCAAATCTAGTAACTTCGAAGAAACTAGACCACAAATAGGAGTTTCTATCCTTAGATCAGGCTTTTTCTTAGATTAACTAGCTCACGCGAAAACACTGCAGAGACAGGGGTGGGGGAGGTCGGGGCGGGGGGTGACAGGGGGTGACACCGTCCCCTGCAGCGATAGACATGACACCTCAGCCCCACCAGTTCTCCAGCACCACTGACCCTGCCCATCCCCGCAACCCCGCTTACCAGGATAATCACACTTGTAGGGGCGCTCGGGCTCGAAGTGGCTGCGCTGGTGAGAACTGAGTTTGGCCTGCGTGGGGAAGCGCTCAGCGCACACCTCGCACTTGAACAAACTCTCTTGCTCATGGCCCTTCATGTGCGCTTTCAGGTTGTAGACCGTAGTGAACTTCTTGCCGCATCCGCCCACCGGGCAGCTGAAGGGCCGCAGCTTGTCATGCGACTGCAGGTGCCGCTTGAGCTTGTAGGAGGTGGTGAAGGCCCAGCCGCAGCCCTCCAGTGGGCACTTGAAGGGCCGACGGGCCTGGAGGCCACCGTGCGTCAGCAGGTGCACCTTAAGCTGGTGCTTCTTGGCGAAGGCCAGTGCGCACTGCGGCTCGGGGCAGCGGTAGGCCGGCGCGCTGGAGCTAGAGCCTGAGGGTCCGCGGGGCCCCTCGGCGGGGCTCGGAGCCTCGGGGCCGGGTTTCGCGGGCGGCCGGCAGGCGGGCGGCCCCGGAGCGGGCGGAGGTGCAGCGGCCAACGTGAAGACTCCATGGTCGAAACGCACCAGCAGGTCTTGGTCGTCGATGGTGACGGTGCCCGCGAGGGCGGCGCCGGGGTCGGAGGCCGGGGCACTGGAGGCCTGCTCTGGGCGGCCCGTGGGGCTCGCGCCGGGGTCCGGCTCAGCATCCTGCCGTCCGGCGGCCTCCGCGGTACCGCCACGCGCCACTTCCAGCAAGACCAAGAAGGAGTCACCGCCGTCCTCGGAAGACGGAGGGCTCAGTCCGGGGTCCTCCCCACGCCGCGGCCCCGGCCCCGGCCCCGGCCCGCCATCTTCCGAGTCCCTCAGTAGCAGCAGACGACGGCGCCCAGCGCTCGCGCCGAGGGGTGGCCCTGGGCCTCGGCGAAGCCGGCCTGGAGCACCACCGCCATGTTGGCTTCCGCGCGCCGTCGGAGCAGCGAGCAAAACTGGAAGGTCCATCTTGGGCCCAGCTACAGCGACGTAGCCGCTGCCTCTGAAGCACAGTGGCCCGCCCCTCCCAGGCATGCGCGCGACTTGTGTAGACGCCTCCGGGGGACGCCGCCGCCGCGGAGGCCCAGCGCGTGCGCGTGCGCAGCAGAGAGCAGTAGGCGTGGCCCGCCAAACCTGTTAGGGAGGTCCAGAATTGCGGCCAAGGGGCGCTGAGAGGCGGAGCGTGGTGGGGTGTGGAGGGGCGGGGCGAGGAAGGGCGGGGCGCGGAAGGGTGGGGCGGGGCGCGGAAGGGTGGGGCGGGGCGCGGAAGGGTGGGGCGGGGCGCGGAAGGGTGGGGCGGGGCGGGTTCCTCCCGGTTTCTGTAATCCTCAATTCCTTTCTCAGTATGTCCTGGGTGATCCTCTGATTTTGAGTCATATTTTTTTGTATCTGACTAGTGCAGATGCAGAGATTAATACTAACAGACATCTCATAAGCGTTTACTGTGCCCTAAATACTTCGCAGATGTGAACTAATTCAATCTGTGTACTGTTTATTTACAGGCCTCAGGGAACAGGCACATAGAAGTCCAGTCCCTTGGTCGAGGTAGCAGAACCAGGAACTGATAGGTTCTGGGTTTGAGCCTCCATCAGACTGGACTACTTCCCCATGGGCTCACTAACGTGCCCCCCCCCCCCCCCCCCCCCCCCCCCGCTAATGATCCTCCCATGAGCTCCTCCAGGTTCTTTGCACCCTGACGGGATCCCTTTCTCCACTGCTATTTTCTGCAAACTTGACACAGCCTCAGCTTGCAGAAGTTAACTTTGCCACTGTTCCCAGGACACTGCTGTCCCTCTCCTCCCATGAGAAGGTTCAATATTAAATCTGCTTTACCACTATCCAAATCCAAACTTGTATTTTACTCCTAGATATTTAGAAAAATAATTTAGCATCTGGTCTTCAAGTCTCCATTCAGTCTCCACTGCCTTAATCCAATGTGTTGGATTCTAGGCTTTGGTGATCTAAAAATGCAGTTCTAATCATGCCCATCCTCCCTTTGCTCTCCATCGCCTGTAAGGCTTTGCCAGTCTGTCCCTCACACCCCCTGGAATAGAAAGGAGTTTGCTCTCATTCCCCAGCACCTCCCTGTTACTCCACAATCCCATTGCCTGCCTGTGCTGCCCTGCACACCATTTGCTCAGGTTGTGTAACAAGTCAAGGTGTTTCCTTCCTCATACACTTGGCAGAGGTCTCTTTGTTTCCTCTGGGAGGACTCTGTTAATGTTCTAAAATACACCTTCACTCAGGCCTCTTACTTCCCGCCTCTCATATTGTTTGTTTTTATAGCTTTCATCATCAATTGTTTTAGGTGCCCCCTTCCCACTATAGCCTTCCCCACTTATTTACTATCTTCCTGGCTAGAGATGTAGGCTTCTACAACATGGGAACTATGTGTGATGCACGACTGGATGTACAGAGCCTGAAAGGCAAGACTCCCAATACATATTTACAAATAAGCAAATGTTCTATTACCATTAAAGGTATTTTTAGTGTAAACTATATAATATTAAAAAGAATAAGATATATCTACTATATATGCATGTGTACTTATATGAATATATGCCAGAAGTATGTTGTTTTAACACCAGTGGAGGCTAAAATGGTCTTTTCAACAGTAGTACTGTGTGTCTCAGGTCACATGCAAAAATTGACTTAAAATTGATTTTACAAACCTAAATGTAAGACCAAAAACTATGTATTAGAAGAAATCATAACTATAAATCTGCCTAGCCTTGGGTCATGGAGTAGTGTGTAAGTAATATCAAAAGTAACAGCAAAAGTAATATCAAAGGCATTAGCAATAGAAAAAAATGAATCAAGTATCAAATAAATTAAAAACCTTTATGAGTTAAAGGGCATTAGCAAGTGAAAAGACCATTATTTTTAAAACCATAGCTGTTTTAACATTGAATACCTTTACATATTTTACATGGTTTACATGTATATAGTTACATGTATATGGTTTAGAAACCAAACCATATACAACATTGTAGCATAAAAATCATGACGACATTTTTTTAAACAAACTTGAATTTGCATTTTTTAAACAGAAGATAGCCCCATTCTGGTCAGTCATCCCTATCTAATACATAAAAGCTTTTACCTAACTTGCTGACCTTTAGTAGGAGGTACATCTCATAAGCATTTGTTAGAGGCAGAGGTCTGAATCTGAAACAAAAGTTTGTCATCATAAACAATCTGGTTTTACATTTTTGAAGACCTGTACATCTGGAGGCATGAATACATAAATATATGATGGGGTTAATAACAATCATTTGTCATAACCATATGAAATTTTTGTATCAGAGAATCTTTAAATCAAAAACCTTATTGTATTATTTCTTTTCATGATGACCAGTGTAAACATATAACAATAATATATTTTATAGCTTTGGCTGGGGTGTCTCCCATAAGGCTATGGAGATCATCGGAGCCTCCAACTAATGAACAAGAGCTGGTTAAAAATATTACCAGGCAGCTGCTTTCTTATTCATCAATTTAAGCCCTGTCCAACAATCTCAACCCTAAGGGACTTTTAATTATCTTAATGTAATTTTTGATAACTTATGAAAAACCCAACTGCAACATTCAACTATTCAGTTTTTTCAACAATGAGAAACTCTCAAGTCAACAGCAAACAACAACATATACTACATTTACATAACCAATCTTTGCATCATTTGGACCAGTCGGCAACCCAGGTGGCATTTGGACCAGGTGGAAACATGTTTTGTAATCCTATAACTCAAATAAACCTTGATTAAGTGAACTATAAATGTTATAAAAAGAAAATTGTTGAGCTCAAATAAAAGGAACAGCTGTTTACAGAATGGACAAATGGACAAACATGGACAGATGATCTGTACAGATTCAAACAGATGTAGAAACAAACACAGAGCTGTCAATGTCCACAAGAACTCTCTAAGTTCCTAGGGGCTATTTTATGTCCCTTTGCTGAACTAGCTTGCTTTTATGCCCCATGTCCTTGGGGTTGGAGCACCTGTCACCTCCAGCACCCCATGCCCTCAGGGCATTTCTCAGGTGCTCCATACCACTTGGGCACTCCTGTATGGATACTTGTGCTATTGGCTCCACACATATGAGTGACCACTAGCTCGGTGACTTATGACAACAGCTTAACAGACTAGACAAACAAACAGATACACAGACACAGATTTTCAAACTCTTACAGAGTGCACTCAAATATATTTTAGTCAAATTGAATGACACAAATATTTTTACAATTGTAGCATTTGTAATTTTAAATAGACTAGTCAGATTTGTTGTAGGTCAATTAACAGAGATCTCTTATCAAAGAATTTGAAAAAGACAAAATCTGATCTACAATTAACATGTATTTTGATCATAGAACTTAACATACACTCCTATCATCTATTTTAACCCTTTTAAAAAAATTTTTGTGACCATTTTCTAGGCATCTTGGGTCAATTAAAGTTGGTTCTAGCTTCATCCTTTTCTATCACTTGTGGCGTGGTCTCCAAGGAATCACTGTCATAGGACTGAGCATCTGCTTCTTGAAAGGTAAAATCAACTCCTTTTTTAGTTTGGATACATGACACAGTCAGCCAGCACATATTGGAACCCAGATAGACCATTTAGCTTTTCCTGGAAAAAAACATAAGCATACCTTCGACCCTACTTTAGGACTGGACTGGGTGTTTTTTTTATTGTCCAGTATGAACAGTCCTTTCCAATGGACTCGTTTTAGCCTTTATTTTATTGCATTATCTTTTTGCTGTGCTAGCTACATCTTTATTAGAATTTAAATATTTTAGATAGTATATACTGCCAAGTGAGCTGAACTTTCTCTTTTGTGTTTTGAAATTTAAATTGTGAGCACATTTAATCATTTTTAGACCTGAAGATTATGAAGACTCTTTGTGGTAAGGTATAGAGAAAATGGAAACTGCATTTTATATTTAGGTACTTTGGGTTCACTCATGACATGCAGGTGGTGCTCCTGCTCTGGGCTGGAGGCCTCACTGTTGGAGATCTGAGCATCAGTGCAGTGTAAACTTTTAACTTAAAAAGTGCGTGCACAGGTGATGGGAAAAACCAAGGTGGCTTGGGCAAGCAGAGCCGTGTCCCACCTCTCTAATAAATATCACAAGATCCAAAACCCTTAGGCACCCTTTCTTTATATATAGATTTTCCAATTTTTGTCAAGGGAAGAATAACCACTTGAGCAATACAATAATCCAGGGAGATTTGAACTGTGTTTCAAACAGATTGAACCATAACTGATTTCTCCTTGCAGCTGAAACAGGCAACATTGTTTCATTAACTTCCTTATCTGGGACAAACTCCAGCTCAGTGGAGGTTTTGGTGCACTCCCCTGCCCTGGGGCGTGTGAGAAGTAGTGAGAGAGGCAGAAAGCAGCAGTTTTTATTGAACAACCCTTTAAAATCTGTAGAGGTCCAGCTAGATTTGTGTTGGTTTGTTTTTCCCTAGTCTTGCTCTAAAGTGTTTTTCAGTTTCCTCCCACGTATGTAAATTTACAATTTCTTCTTCTGGAGACACACTCAAGAAATTTAGCAAGCTGTGTAATGTCAGTGTATTGAAAAATAAAATTGTCTTAAGAAAGCAGACAGGACCTAGATAAATGAGGAGTAACATTAATCACAAATTTGAAACAAGTACCCCTGTATAAACAATTTTGAGAAACAATGAAGTTTCAGAATTTAGGTTAGCAGATATCAAGACCCACAACAAAGTCACAGTGAGACAGTGATATGCTGGGGCCAATCTGTTATCAGCTGTGAAAGCCAAATGTTGAATTTTTTGAAGTTTTAAAGATTAGTTGTTGTCATATTGGTTATTTGAAATTGTCTTTTGTAAAAGCATTTTGTAAACAGAAATCAGAAAACCACAAACCAGGGCCATATTACCCCCCAACCACTAGGAGCCTGCCAGGCCAAGCAGGGCCGGGCCATCTCAGGGAAGCTGTCTGAGCTGCCGCACCCCTACTTTTTGGCAGAGCTGCTGCAGGCCCTGATGGAAGTTTTTCTTTTGTAAGAGTTTTGAATTTACATCAAGTGGCCCAATGATACCGTTGTCATCTACACTTTGGACAGATAGCTGAAGGTTTTGCTCAATGGACATTAAGTGGCTCAGTTAAAGTTATCAAGGTGGCAGTTGTGCTGCCATCTTTCCCTGCTCCAGATTTGATTCTGAAACAGTGCTTGGAGCCAGTTCCATTATGATTGTCTCAAGAAGTTTAAAGTCATTAAGACCTTGTCTAATCCAGATCCACAGAAGGAATGTAAATACTGTAATCAAGCATGCAACAAGTTTCTCATAATTTGTAATTTTTTTGCATAAGTTTGTCCAATAGTTAGACAGCTAATATAATCAATATACCTCTTTTTTTTTTCTTTTCAGGTGAAGGGATTTCTTCCAGGCCTGTTTATAACTGGCCTTAGAGAATAAGGCAGTTTCAGTGCCCCACTCTTGACAAATGATAAAGCCAATATCAACACACTCCAATGACAACTATTGATGATACCATTGCACTTCTCCCCCTAAGTTGCATGCACACAATAAGTGTCCCTTCACCCTCAATCTCTTACCCCATTTGTGTTCTGGTGCCATATTCCAAAACCCAGGGCGGATCCTGAGGAGTTTGGGATGAAAGACTTCAAGAGGATGAGAAAAATAAAGAAAAGACAAAGCTGGGGTCAGGTGGAGCCCTTATCCTCCTGATGGGAGGAAAGGAATTGCTCAACCACCATGTTTATTTATTCCCTCCAAAGAAGAATGTCAATTTCAACCCCACTGCCTAGCAACTTGTTTGCCTGGCAATCTTGGGCCCCTGGTCTTCTTGGTGCTAGAAGGACTTGTTTACATAGCTTGTTTTGGTCTCTGTTTTTTCTGGGCTGGCCTTGCTTTTAGCCCCACACATGTGATTAGTCTCCAGTTTCAACAGCTCCCTACAACGGTCGCACAACATAATATACTAAAAACCACTGACTATAAACTTTAAAATTATATAAATTCTAAAGTTGATTTTTATGTTATATGTATTTCGACTAAGGTATATCTAAAAAGTCAGTACAGAATATTTTTAAGGATTATCTCATTTGTGTATGAGAAAGAAAACTGCATATACTTGCCTATACTTGCAAATACTCTGCAATTTTCTAGAAAGACACATAAGAAACTGCTAGCACATTTGGACACTTTTAAATTGGTGTAGAAAAAAGAGTCTTTGAGTTTATAATTCATTACTTTTGTCATTATTTGATTGTGTTTTAGATAACAAGCAAGTGTTTTTTTAAAATGGTATGATTAAAAATGTGGAAAATTGCAGTCACTGTGGAGATCAGTATGGAGATTCCTCAAAAACTAGGATTGGAAATTCCATTCAATCCAAATATTCCCCTTGTGGGTATTTTCCCAGAAAAATTGAAAAGGTCATGTCTCAGTGATATATGTGCACCCGTGTTTTTAGCAGCACAACTTGTACTAGCTAACAGTAAGAAATCACTAGTTGTAATAGTTAAACAACCAAAATACCCATCAACCACAGAATGGATGAAAAAGGTGACATTTTTATACAATGGAATATTACTCAGCTATAAAAAGGATGATCTTGAGGCTTTTATAGGTAAATGGAGGCAACTTGAGACCATACTCTTAGGTGAAATAAATCAGACTCACATTTGTAAATATCATTTTGTCTCTCTAGTATAAAAAATAATAATAAAAAACTGAAAGAGTAATAAGATTCAAAATGTATAACAGGTATTATGATAATGAAAGGGAGAGAAAGTGCTCTAAAGGATATAACTGTATATATGTTTAAGTGTGCAAGATAGATAACCATACTACTAAGTTTTTGTTAGTTCATCAAACAGAATGGTTTGTACGGCCATTGTTTGACTGTCTATTTTTCATGCTTTGATTTCATGACTTAAGCAACTCCTTCTAAGATAACAATATGTAATTTATCAACTAGTGATTTCTTACTGTTTTTCTGAAATTCTGTATAATTGCTACCCTTTTTTCTGTTTTGCTTTTTTTTCTCTAAATAAAAAACTGTGGAAAACACTTTTAGTTTCTCAAATAATTAAACATAAAATTATCCTATAATTCTGTAGTCAAATTTCTGGGTATACATCTAAAGCAACTGCAAACAGGAATGCCTGTGTTCATGGCAAGATTATTCACAATAGCCAAAAGGTGGTAGTAAACATGTCCATTGAAAGAGGAATGGTAAACAAAATATTTTCTATCTATACACCAGAATATTATTCAGCATTTAAAAAGGAAGGAAATTCTGACATATGCTACAACATATATGAACTTTGAGGACATTATATTAAGTGAAAAAAGCCAGACACAAAAGGATAAACACTGCATGTCCCTCACATATGTGAGGTCCCTAGATTAATCAAACTGGTAGAGTAAGAAACAATGAAGAGTGTGAGAGGCTGGGGTTGGGGGCATGGGTAGAAAGTTTAGTGCTTAATGAGGCCAGTTTCAGCTCAAGAAGATAAAAAAGTTGGCAAAATGGGTGGAGATGATTACACAGCAATTTGAATGTAGGTAAGGCTACTTAATTGGGCACTGAAAAATGTTTACAGAGTTAAGTTTTATGTTGTATGGACTTTATCACACTAAAAGTAAAAAGAAAATAATTTTATTGAAAACTCTTATTAGTAATAATAATATTACCCTCTTCTATTTTTTCTTCCTTTTCAAGAGTGATATATATATATATATATTAGAAAATTTTTCCAGCAGGTGGAGTTAGCCTTGTTGAGATTTGGAAGATGGTATCTTGCTTGTTCTGTGTGACTGCTCGCCTTTGTGGCTCCTCGTGGACCTCCTGTTCCAGGTCTTCCTCTGTCTCCTTGCTGGCTTCACAGTCTCCAAGGAGCCCTGCCATATGAGAGTCCTCATCTATATCTGGGTGTGGGGATCCAGCAAGGGTTAGAGGAACCATTGTGGCTTTTAGGCAAAGGTGTTACATACTGACATTGCATTTTGCAGTGATCTCCCTGAAAGCAGAGTCTCCAAAATAGAAATAGGATAAGAATGGAGGGATGGAGGCTAAATATGAGGCCACTGCAAGGGTCTAAGCAAGACTTGCCTCATTTATAACACAGAAGTCAAATCGAGTGGGGTACTTGTGGGGCTGTGGTCTATCCTTTTTCTCTTTGCTCCTTGGATCATGATATGAGCGGTTTTCTCTGCCATATACTCCCTGCTATTATGCCTACCACTCTTGCTAGAGGTCCAAAGCTATAGAGCTACCTGATATGGAACTGGAACATCCAGAACCATAAGCCAAAGTAAATCTTTTCTCTTTCCAAGTTAAGTAACTCACAGTTTATTATGCCAATGCAAAGCTACTTAAGAGCTTCTATAATCTCTCTCCAATAGTATCAAACTAAAATTTTGAGGGCTGTTTTCTCATTGATAAAACATAATTAGTTCCAAAGGAAAGGGTCCTGTGCCACTGGCTGCTCAGGACAAGGACAGAGTAACCTTATCCTTATCTCTGAGGCCTAGTCCCATGACAGGATGAGGCCATTCATTGCCTATCCTGGATGGTAGGTGTTGGTGGACCCCAAAGTTAACTACTCTGGAAAAGACACAGGGTTCAGCCTGGTCCCCATCATGGTGTGAGACAAACACAGGGAAGAGCCCCACTCCAGCGTGGCCACCTCTGGGGCTGGAGTCAGTGCTTTCTCTGGGGGAGTGTTCTTCCTACTCTCTCCTCACCCATCAACCTTGTGCTTTCCTCCTAAATCCAGACACAATTCAGGGGAAAGCATGGAGTACTATGAGGGAACGATAAGTCTGGGTGAAGGAGCATAACACAACCATGAGTCAGGGATGCAAAAGGGCTCTGAGGGCAGGGAATGGTAAGTAAGTGCCATCTTCAAAATGAAGGCGTGGAAGTATGGCTACATAATCCCTTTTTCTGGATCTTTATCTTGGATCTGTTCTCCAAGATAGAGAGGTGGAGGCTCTGGGTCCAGCTATAGCTAATATTTGGGGATTAGGAGACAGGTGCAAGATTCTAACATTAGGAACTTTTGGAACCACTATGAAGTGGCTCTGAGCAGGATTGAGAATTAATCAGTTGGATTTCTACATTTACTTATGAGTCTGTTCTAGGCCTAGGTGACTTGCCAAAAGAGATGGCAGCTAGCATGCAGTAAGTGCAAATCTCCAAACCAACAGTCACAGTAGAGGCCTGTATTGGTCTGTGACACTGTAACACCTTTGGACATTTGACTCTCCAATTCTTAAAGCCACAGATGTTGGCATTTGACTTATTCCAATTCCAGGACAGTAACTGTCAACCTTAAAGATAAGACAATTCTCTTAATTGGCAAAATTTACTGCTAGAAAAGTCTCTGTTCTAATTTCTCAAGGTCTTGCTCAGTTTCACACCTTTACCTCAGCTTTTCCCTTAACTTTCCCTTATACCCTTAAACTTGCCTGAAATCCAATAAATATGGGCCAATACATATGGGCAATTCAGAGAAGTCTCTGTTTTAGTTCCAAGAGAGTTCTGACCTCTGTGGACTCCCCCAATCGTATCACATTGTCTTTTTTATTTAATACCTTGCTGTACACTCATTTTAGGGAGTTGGAGGGCCCAACCAAGCCCCCAGTAAAGGACCAAAGTAGTTCCTTCAGGACATCCAGATTTCAATAAACACTCCTGTGTCCTCCTCTCCCCTTATTTCCTTAGCAAATGATCCCTCTTCCTGCGGCACCAAGCTGCTACCTCCCACCAGCCCACTCCCACTCTGCCAGGATGTGAGGCATATATTTTTTAATTTTTCCTTTATTTCCTATTTATCTTCCTCCCTAGGCTCTTTCTTTTTATTCCCAATCCTGGGGTGCTAAAGAACAGATAACTGGGCAGACAAGAGAGCAGCAGTGGTCAGCAGGTAGACAAGTAGTAGCATGATGTGATAAAACCCAAAAAGAACTTATGGAGCTTAGGAAAGACTGGTTGGTTCCCAGGTTAGCCAGTTTATGGCAGTCATCCTACAGTTAGTGTCCACCCCATAGGAGGCTTAAGGACTTGGCCCTGAGCAAGACATGCCCTACCCCCACCAGGGGTCCTAGTCAAGTGGTTAAGGTGATGCCTGGACAAGTGGCATCACTTCTCTGGGGCTTGCCTGTACAATGGGGCCCATCTAGAGTGCTGTGAGGGCCACACAGGGCTTGTGTGCAAAGTTCCACAGTGTAGGAGAAGGTGTGTAGAGGTAAAGAGGACGAGGAAAGCCAAGGGAAGAAGGGAGACAAAGGACTGCAGCTGGCTGCTGGATTCCTCTCAGGGTTGCAGGGCTTGCTGGAGCATGCACTCATCTGTCACATCATGGGGGAGTGTTACTTCTAAACCACTATTCTCCTGCATCGTCTGACAGATGATCTCATAGGCCTTTGGATTCCCAGACCAGCAGCGCCGGGCCACCTATGGAAAAAGGATGTGCAGCAGTTGGTGTCCACATCATTGAGTTCCCTGAAAGGTGGTTTGACTCCCAAACTCCCAATCTTCCTTTATTTTGCAAACCTCAAATGCCATCTGTAGAGCCTGTCTAACATAGACTACTTAACTGACTTGGTGTCTTTTTGATCTGGAACTCACTGTCATTCCAGAAGTTGTACCTTCCCTATCTCTAAGAATAGCTTTGTCTGCACTTCAAGGAATTTGGTCAGGAACTCAGGAGTGATCTACAATGCATCCCTCTTCTCTGCCCTCAGAATCTGTGTCCACCTCAGCTCCACCTTAAGAAACCCTCTGTAATCCACTTCCTCCTCTGTCCCTGGTCCCCCCTGGATCATAGTCAAGGTACTTCCCCCACCCCTGATGACATTCTGTTTTTTAAAACTTACATCATAGAATAACAATATCTGTTTTGAGAAACTGATACATGAATACACCATATCTTGCTAATTTTCAATCCCATGTGCCCCTTCCTCCTTTCCTCTCCCCTCTTTTGAGTTCCTTTCGTATCTCCAAGAGTCTAACTTCTAGTTTTCTAGCATTACTCATTTATTTTATTTTTTCATTTATGTATTTTACATTTCTTATATAAAAGAAAGCATGTGATATTTAACTTTCTGAGTCTGGCTTATTTCATTTAGCATGATGGTCTGAAGTTCCCTCCATCTTTCTGCAAATGAGATGATTTTATTCTTCTCTGTGGTTGAATAATATTCCTGGGGTACATATATCATATTTTTTTATTCATTCATCTTCTGACAGGCACCTAGGCTGTTACAGAGCTTAACTACTGTGATTTGCACTGCTATAAACTGGGATATGCATGTGTCATTGTGGGATGAGCCTTTAATTTTGGAGGGAATACACCCAGGAGAGGTTTAACTGGGTCAAATGGAATGTGTATTTTTAGTTTTTTGTGGAATCTCCATGATGATTTCCATAGTGGTTGTGAGGCCAGGAGACAGAAGGAAATTTGGGCACTGATCCTGAATAGCTAACCTAAATAAACTAAAGTTCAGGCCTTACATGAGTTGACTACAAAGTGAGCAAAAAATTGAATAAATTGACTATCAGGACCTAATAGAATGCAAAGGACAAAAGACAAGTTCCTAAGCAAACTGGAAGGAGCCTTAGAGGGATGGGATATAAACAAGACAGCTTGTTTTCTGGAAATTAAAGGCCTGGTAACGACTAGAAGCATCCCTGCATTTTGTCATGTTCAGTGTACCAAAAACTGAATAAAAGCTCCAGGATTCAAGCATCTACAGTTTTTCTGCCTTTTGGAAACGCCCTCCCCAACAGTGTGTGTGTACATACACATTCTGTCATTCCCACCACTTGCTATTTTATCAGCTTCAAACTTCTTCGCTCCCAAACAAAGACCCAGACCAGGAGGGAGCAGGCTATTGTTGCACTAATTCATATTCCCATCAACAATGTAGGAGGATTCCTGTTCCCCAGAGCCTCATCAGCACTCATTGTTTTCCTCCTGCTATTCTTGCCAACTAGCCCATCCCTCATCCCCATACCTCCTCCAACTTCATCTCCACCCAACCTTCAGTGGGGTCTCCTACAATGAAAATGCAGTGTCTGTCCCCTATGCTCACTGCTTCAGCACAAACAGCTCTCCTTCCCTGCTGGACTTCCTGTGCCTCCTAGTGAGTGGGCACTTCCAGATGCCCCTGTACCCTCACACCTGTCCTCTGGGCCCAATCCCAGGGACCCTCAGCCCCCCAATGTCATATTCCCTAGATTCTTTTTCTTGGCTCCCGAGTCCCCTACTCATTTCACTCACATCCGCCATACCCTAACCAATCACCTCTGACCCCAACTTGAGCTGTTTCCCTCTTCTTGTGGGCTGCCTATGATGTAATCACAGAGAATTCTGCCTCCTGCTCCATGGAGAATGCTGCATTACAGCAAAGTGAGTCATCGTTGCACAAACAAGGGCTGAAGAATCTGCCACTCTCTGATCTGCCTTTGAAGATAGTGGAGCTTTGAAGTAAGGTTGAGGATGTCCAGCAGTAAAGCCTGTGCTTACCATATGTGCAAAGCCCTGGGTTCCATCTCAAGCAGCAAGAACAAAGAAAATGAGGTATCTTAATACCAGTACTGAGGGGTGCTCTGTGGAGAGAAACACTGGGACTTACAGGGCCTCCTGTGTAGACAGAAGCTGGATTGAAAGGACCAGGAGATTCTGAAAATAGTTGAGAGTGACATGGGGTTGTTCTGGTGAGGAGCAAGTCCTAGCAATGCCCAGAGGGCAGGACAGGCTCCAGAATATCCTTTGGGGGAAGAGTACAGAACTGTAGCCCAGTGGAAGTGTGAGCAGGCAGAGCCAGTGAGAAGACAGATGATAGAAGGTCTGGAAGAGACTTACACCATTGGAGACGTCCCAGCTGAGCATCATCCTGGCCTTGTACTCAGCCTCTGGGGATCCATCTAGCATGAGGCCAAATCCCCCATTGATCACCTCACCCCTGCAAGAGGCAGAGATGTTCCACATCACTCAGTACTTCTGATCCTGCACAGAGCAGATAGAGACACATTTTGGAAGTGTTGGCTCGGGAAGGTATCAGTGTTGGATATAGGGTGCTGGTCACATCAGCCTCTATATCCTGGAGCATGCAGACTAGTGGATGCAGGAGCCATGTGGACTCTAGAAAATCAGAGCCAGGAAGGCAGTGGTTGCATTCAGGCTGCTCTGCCCAACTGTGCCTTTGAACTGGACCTGCGGACGTGGTGCCCACCTCCAGGATCCACTTGAGGTCACTACTTAAAGCCTGCCTGACCACCTGGTAAGAAGTAATGTCCTTCTCCTCCCCTCTCAGAGCTGTCCTGTAAAGGCATACTTCTTTGAGATATCTCTTGTGTCACTCAGTTCATTTTCCCTAATTTTATCTTTGTAGTCTTTATTTTTCTTGTCCCTTCATTCTACTTGCTACAAGTATATTTTGGAGTCTGATTACCTGACATGAAGACCAAATTTCTTTATTTTCAATATTTCTCTTTTTCTACTTAATGCCTTTCCCCGAACATGGCTTTACCTGTCACCAAAAGGATTTACTCTGTTCTTATTTTCATATGTTTCTTGATAGACGCAATCTGAATCTTAGACATGTTAACATGATTCTACTTTCTGCATGTTTGGCCTGCAGAGATTCTCTACCAACCTAGAATGACCACCATGCTCAGCCTGATGTTGTTATCAAGGTCATTACCAAGGGCTATCATGGCATGCTGCTTCTCTGGATGGATCTAGACTCTGTTCCTGCTCAAGTTTCTCTAAGTCTGAGCACAGAAAATGCCCCTGATCTTGCCAACCTTTTTTTTCACTTTTATGCAAATGTGTCCTTCTTGCTTCATATTCCTCACTTACAGTGATCTTCTTTATCTCCTTCCTGCACGTAAAATGGACATCTTTTTCCCCTAATCTCTCATCCTCCATACCTGTCCAGCCTTAGCTGCTTCTTGCCCAGCACAGACTTTGACTGATTTCAATCGGTTCTCAACAAGAAGCTGAGGTACCCTGTGGTCCTGAAAGTGTCCTGCAGTACTCTCTTGGCATCTTAGATGCCTAGCACCTTCTTTGAGTTGGCATCTGCCACTGCCCAAGGCCCTGTGACTGATCCTTGTACCTGGGCAGTCCCATGCCACTAGATTGAAGATGCTCGAATAGATTTCATGTCCTTGCATCTTCCCTGTCAGAGGCTGATGCTGGGTGTAAGAGGAGAAGGCAGCCAGTCATTTTGATGTGTCCTTCAACCAGATGGGCTTTTCAGAATTTAGCACTATATTTTTTGCTTCAGGACTCTGAATCCCAGAGGGTCAGAGGATAAGGGCACTCAGCTCCAGGTGCCATAAGCCGATAGATAATAGAATAACCACGAGTGTGCAGAAGATAGGAAGGTGGGAAAACATTGCAATTAATGGAGAATTTGACCTCACTCACAAGAGATATTAAGACAGCTAACTATACCTTTGAGGAAAACATAAAAGTAGTATACAAGACCTTGGATATAATCCCTGGCCAAAAAAAAAAAAAATAGAAGACTCCTGTGTCAAACATAAAGAAAAATAAATGTCGGGTATAGTAAAGTAGATAATTAGATGATTTAACATATACAAGCTGCTTAGAGGTTCTCCTATATGCTAAACACTAAATATGTTAGCTATTATCATTAATTCATTTAACCTTCACTGTTAGTAGCCCACAAAACAGTTACTTACACCTTACTCATTTTGTCAATAAGAAACAAAGCAAGTGGTTTGGTTGGATGGTCCCATTCTGATTCCACCATCCAAAAAACAATCTCAGTACACAGAGTTGCAACCAGCCTGTTGGCGCCCTTACTAAACTTGTCCACTACACACAAAGCACAAAGGCAATCACTGAACAGAGGGTCTGAGGGAAGACGGTGGGGGGGGGTGGCAGTAGAGGGAGCTGAATTTGACTCAGGGCCATTGTTGTTAGCCCTGAGCAGGGAAGAAGCTCAAAAGAAGGAGACAACAGATAGTCCAAAAACTGGCAAAGAAAATCAAAGAAACACAATAAACTTAAAACACAGAAGCATGAATTTAAGTAAAACAAAGAAAAAACTACAGGTGCAGAGTTGAGGGTGGTTACCCATTAGAGTGGAAATTATTCTGGGACAGATTTTCCTGCTGTTTTTGTGATACTCCTTGCAGAAGTATCTGACAGGTTAAATCATATGCATGTGTAAGTTTGATGGATCCCCAGTTGAATTTGTGCTACTTCCCCACAAGAACACTCAAGGACAGGTAGGACCAAGGGCAATGGTTTCAGTGTCTTGTCAGTCTGTGTTCCTGTGGACGGAGCCTGATGGACCCTAGGGAGACAGATCTGGGTTCAGATTTTCTCTCCTCGACCTCTGTGGCCTTGGACAAGCTACTCAACTTCTTTTAGAATCTCTCTTTTCCTCTATAAAATCGATAGGTAAATCAAGCATCAAAATGCCAGGCATTCAATAGCCAGGCAGGTCTTCTCAGTTGTAGTTTTCTCTATCTAGTTCATGTATTGGAAAGGACATGAATTCCAGTCACATTTTCCACTAATTAAAATCACCTAACTAGGCTGCAGCTCAGAATTGCTGCTCAATGGGCAAGCAGCCAAGCCCGCCCTCTGGAATGTTCAGGGAAGTTTTACTGTTATCGACTTGGCTATGCAGGGCAGGGGATTCCTTGATCCAGCCAAAATTGGCTCAGAGGTTGTCTCAGAGCTGGCCAATAGATCCAAACCTTGGGAGTTGTGCTCCTTTCCAAAGCTGTGTCATTCCCTATTGCTTAGCGTAGCCAGGAATTCAGCTCCAGCGTCCCCAAGACTTCTACATCAGCCCACAACCTGTCCTCTGACATAGTCTCACCAGCCCACGCCCCCTCCATTGTGAAGTGCAACCCAGGTGGCTCCGCGACAGGCATCTCCCACGAAGTTCTGGACCGCCATGTCTATAGAAACAGAGAAATCACCACTCATCATTCTGTGTATGAGGCAGACCCAAGGACCAGGCCAGGTTTGGGCCACTACTTGGGCGAAAACATAGGGAAATAACTGGGCAAACAGGAAATAGGGATAGGTGACTATAGAAATAGCAGTAATTTGTATGTGAGGATCCCAAACTGAAGCAGAAAAAAATTGACAAATGCCCAGTTTTCCTTATTATTCTTCCCTGCATTTATACTCGGTTGTGATAAAGACCAGATAAAGTAAGTAGAAGCAGAAAAAGTAGAGAATTAAAAGGAATGTGATTCTGGTGTTAGCTTCAGAGGTACAAGGAGTCCGAGCATGGCTTTCTCCCTTCAGAAATGAGGGGCGTGGAACTTCAAAGGAATGAAATTCTTGCTCCAGGAGATAACTGAGTCTGCAGTGTCAGCTACTAGGCAGGTACTTTCACAGAGGGCCATCTATGCATGTGGGGAAACAGCTGCTGCCCCTTTAAATAACTGTTAATTCTTGTTCAATTTTGTTTTTAATTGTTGTGTGATTCAGATAAGGCCTGCTAGAGAAACCCACAAAGAATTATTTAAAATTTCTGTCAATCTGACTTACTCTTTCAGGGGACCTAGGTAAACTTTGCTCATTGTAACACTAAATTTCCTGTTCAGAAGGTGTTCTCCACTATTGCTGAACATACGATACATGAAGTAGCAGGAATTCCAACTGAAGCACGCTCAGGAAGGTATCCATCTTTATGTAACAAAGAGTCTTTCCTGTATGAATATGCATATATTTCTCCCCAATAAAAAAAGCAGCTTGCTTTTGTTCTTTGTTCTTGCTTTTGTTCACTGCTTTCTGAGTTATCTCCAGAGCTCTCCTTATTTGCCTAAAGTAATGATCCTTTCTTTGCTCATTTTTCTCCTCATTGTGCTTACTGGCTTTGCGCTCACCAAGAGTTATAAAAGTACGATCATGTAACCTGCAATCTAGAGAGAATGGGCACTTGTAGAGGGAAGCAAAGCCTCATGACAAAACTAAAAAAATAATGATCTTGACACAGTGGTATATAAATATAGTCCCACCTACTTGGGAGGCCAGTGCATTAGAATCTCTTGAGCCCAGAATATTAAGAGCAGCCTGGGCAACATATAACAAGATCCATCTCAAACTTGAAAGAGGGAGATGGAGAAGGAGAGGTAGAGGAATGAATGTTAGGTTTGGGTTTTATTTAAGAATTGATTTACTCATTTGATTTCTATTGTGATAGATGTCCTTGTATTTGAGAAACTTGGCATAGCATAAGATAATCAACCCACGACTGAGAGGGTCCTGGAAGATAGTGTTTCTGGTTTTAAATCTGGGCCAGTTTCAGGAAAACTGGGGTAGCTTAATACCTAAATTTTTAGTTTTGTTTTAGTCTTTCTCACCTGCACAGAAGGCAGAGCCATCATATATGTTGGAAGTCTCTCTAAAGGGGCTGTCAGTGCCACTTACATCATGGTGATCTCGGCTCAGAACCACTGGGGCCTGCAGGGTGGGAGGATGTAAGATGTCTTGGTTACTTAGACAAAATCATTGCTAGGAACTTTTTTGAGCTGCCAGTCTCTGTGAGGACAGAGACTTATCATCTTCACCTTTGTTTTTTTTTTTTTTTTTTTTTTTTGTCTTTTTCATTTTTATCGGTACCAGGGATCGAACTCACGACTGCCTGCTTTCAAGGCAGGCGCTTATGCCGCTGAGCTAAATCCCCAGCCCGTATCTTCACCTTTGTAATGAAACCATTTCCACCTAGATATTCTGGCACCTCTGGCCATTTAGGTCTTAGCTCAGTGTCAGCAACTCAGACATCCTGTTCTTATCACCATTTTGTTCTTGGTGTCATTTCCTTGGTTTAAGTTCTTCAAAGTTTCAATCTACATCTGAGGGTCTCTCTTAAGATTCATACCTATAGTTATGTGTGGTTGGTTTCCCTCCATTAGACTAAATATGATGGGACTGGGATAGTGTCTGTCGTGTCCTCTGATATGTGTTGGGTGGCTAGAAAATGTGAGCACACAGGAAGCACTCAACTGAGTGTTATTTAAAGCGTGAATAAATGAAGGAGTGGGTGAATTAATGAATGCATGTTAAATCAATCCCTCTCTCTGTTGGTTAGCTGAATGGCTGCATACCAGGAAGGTAAGAGATTTACCATCAGTCTTGTAAACAAAGCAGGTGTCTGGGAAATGCCATCCCAAAAAACACACAAGGCCCCAACCAATCCACAGGGACAGTGTTGTTCACACACAAATCTCAATTTCACCTTCACACCTGGTAGTTAATGTTTCTGGCACATTCACACAGAGAGATGCCAATGAGAACTGTTTGGCATGAGCCCATGCAAAAGAGAAAAAAAAAAGAAGAGAAACATGCTCCTCCAAGCAAATGTGCCTAGAGTTTCCGTCTTTTCAGAGGTGGGAGGAAATTGGGCAAAACTGGGGAAGATACCTCAAAAAATGTGACATTTACTTTTGTGGAAGCCAAGTCATTTGATAGTTACACTCATGTTTTGAAGTTTTAATGTGATATTCTTTTTTCACAGAATAGGGAAACTGAGGTTCAGAGCAGGTAACTGAGTTGTCCAAGAATATACAAGAGACAGTATCGGGTGTTGGGTTTGAGAACTGGCTTGATCGCTCTGGCTCCCAGTTCACCCCCTGCCCCTGCTCTTACCCAATGATGCACATTCAGAGCTGGGGGCCCTAGAAGGCTACTCCCATCCCCCACCCAATGCATTACATCCTCACCTCCCCAAGCAAGCCCCAGGACATTTCAACTCTGATCCACAGAAATCAACATCTGAAATCTAGTTACTCTAAAAAGAGTGGTGGTTTGGGCCAAAAGCTTCCAGGGGTATGACTCACTGCTCCCATACACCTGGCCACTGAGCCCAGATTATAGGCCTCTCTCCAAAGACTGGGGAGGTATAAAGGGTACAGGCCAGAGAAGAAGGGAGGAAATCCAAAGATAGGGACTATAATAATGTGAAAAAACCTAAGATTAGTCCTCTTTGGACAAAGAATATATCACCTTGATTTTTCCATTGGCAATGGCTTGGTTAATGGCCACAGCGATGGCCACGCGGCCCTTCTGGTCTGAATACAGGATCCTCGCCTGGGAGCCGACAACCTGCCGAGGGAAGAATGAGAAAGTCCCTCAGCCAAAAGAGGCAGGCATGTCAGGACCTGGTAATGTGGTTGATTCATTAGGCAGCAGCCTGATTACCCCTGTATGGATGCCCTGGAGGACCCTGAGATGTGTGGTAATTCTAATGGCTGTAGGCCTGGACATATCCTTGTGGGCAGCTCACCAGATAGCCACAGCAGCCACTGTGTATCCACATGACCTCTGGGAAACCAGATATCCTTTCATTGTCCATCACTCTTAAGGTTCCTCCCTGGAGTAGTATGTATACCAGGGAGGTTACCTATTAGGGGCATCACTCCTGCTGGACTTCTCTCAACACTAATACTATCACCACCTAATGTGATGTTCACATCAAGTACTTTCCCTATTGTCTACCTTTGTGAGTATTCAGAAGAAAATACTATTGTTGGAAAGTCAGTGCCTCCTGAGAATCAGCCATTCTGGGCCTGGGAGGAGACCACCAAGAAGCCAACTAGCCAGCCTTTCTGGTAAGCTGCACAAGTCATACAGGGCCCAGGAAGGAAAAAGTCAAATAGCACCTCCCATGAACCTACCAGCACATGGGCTGAGAGTCTAACCCCAACCCATCCCTGGTAAGCAACCTGCTGGTTCAGAGGTGAAGCTGAGTTGATAGCAGCTAAGGTACAAAAAGCAGCTAACTACTTGTATTGTTTGGTTGATTTTGCAGGCTGGGGCCAGCAGTTGGAGCATCTCTTGGGAGGATGACAGTATGTAATATAGCAAATATGGATGATTTCTTTCTATCCTGTCTTTGAAATCCAATATTCTTCTCACTGTTTTGTTCTGTCAACTGTTTTTTGCTTTATTCAATGTTCTGTTTTGATTGGTTTTATTCTGCTTTGCTTTGGTTTAATTTTGCTATACTTGATGGAATAGACAACTATTTATTGTGAAGATAACAACATACGCTATGGTAGCTACTGTTGTTATCCTAGTATCCTGCTTTGAAGTTCTGAACCTGCTTTGTTTTGATTGGCTTTGTTCTATTTTGATTTTTGAATTTTTTAATCTTTAAAATAAAAAAAAAATTTTAAAAGAAAAAGAAAGTACTATTGTCCTCATTATAACCTCTATTTTACAGATGAGCAAGCCAAAGCCCAGAGAAGCTGACCAATTTCCCCCTGGGTTGGAATTTGGACCCCTGTGCCTGTCTATTTATTCAACTCCCATGTATAATAGCACCTCTGGATGGTAATGGGAAATTGTTTCTAGGAGGGAAAAGATTCTGAAAATGAAAACTAAAATCATTATTTAGGCCTGTAATTCTCAATCAGGATATTTGGCAATAACTGGAAAAATTCTTAGTGCTGCTAGCATGGGTAGGATGGGCAGCAATAGTGGCCCCCAATAAAGATTTATCCAGCATCCAATGACTTAGACATTTGTATGCCTGTATTCACAGTGGTATCATTAATTTTTTGTTGTTGTTGCTATACAATGCAGTGACTAGTCACACAGTATATTGGCATAGGATTTATACGTACTAGGTATTAGAAGTAATTTAGAAATTATTTAAAGGACCTAGGAAGTTTTGAATATAGTCCATGCAAATGCTACACACAGATGTATTGAACATCTGTGTTTTTTGGTGTTCCTGAGGGTTCTAGAACTAATTTCCCAAGGATGCCAAGGAAGGAAGCTAATTTTCCCACAGGCTACAACATGATCTTGAAAATTTGGGGACATTAAATTAAGAGAAAGAAGCAAAATATTAGATGTTTGTACTTATATGAAGTCCCTAAATCAGTCAAATTCATAGAGGCAGAAAATAAAATGGGGAATGCCAGCAGCCAAAGTAGGAGAATAGGTAGTGTTTAAATAGGGACCGAGTTTCAGATTGGAAAGATGAAAAAGTTCTAGAGATACATGGTGATTGTTGTACAACAACGTAAATGTATTTAATGTCACTGAACTGTATGCCCAAAACGGTAAATTTTATGTTTGTGCATATTTTACTATAATTAATGATTTTATAGTAATGTCAATGACAATGGTAGTATCAGTGGTGCCAAGGCAGAGAAACTATAGTTTCTCTAAAGAAGATACTGTGTCATTGGACAAAAAAGGACAGGAAATGTTGATGGATCCAACCTTCCACCTGCTCATGAGCTCTGCTTTGGGCAGGACAACTGGTTCTTCTGTCCTCCTGGATTTCTACTAAGCAGCCATATTTGACTCACACCAGTGTCTCAAGTGTTTTTTGAAATATTCCCAAGTATAAATCAGTATCACTGAGATTTGCTCATATCTTGGATTTAGAGGGGGAAAAATTAGAAAACTGGGGAGAATTGACATAGAATTGCCAAATTTGTCAAGAATGTACATTAAAAGAACCTCAAAATTTTTCTAAAAAGACAAATCCTCTGTAATCACCATCATTCACAAGATGAAAAGCACGATGTAGTAATTATAAAGAACATACTCTTTCAATATTTTAACTCATACCTAAAAGAATAGTCTTGTTTGGTGCCCTCATAGCAGCACTTACTGGCCTTTTCACAAACCCTTGGCTCTCATCACCTCCCACTGGTCCATTTTGGCCATTCAGGTGGCCTTTCCCCAAGGCTCAGTCCTCTTCTCTCCTCCAGCCCATCTCTCCACTGACCGTGTGAATGATCTTCTGAGCTTCAAACTCCCTGTTCAGGCCACCCTCTCACCCTTCTTTGGAATCAGCAAACTAGGAACTGAAACCTCTACAAACTGTGAGCCAAGTAAACTTTTCCTCCTTTAACTTTGGATGTTGAGCATTTTGTCTCAACAACAAGAAAGGTAACCAAGACACCACTGTAAGGAGAGATTACATTTTGTTTATGCATTTTTCTGTCCTTGGACATTTGGAGTGCTTTTTTATTTTAGCTACAAGGAATATCACTGCTATAAATATGCATGTACAAAAGCTCTTTGAGATCTTAGTCCCAATTCTTTTATATATACAGTGGTACCTTACTTCATGAACTTAATCCTTTCCATGATTTTAATCACAAATTGAATTGGAAAAGAACTGAATCAAATTTTCACATAAGGTCAAGACTGAAGTGAACCACTGAATTTGATTCAGTTCTCATCCAATTTAGTTTGCAACCAGAATCATAGAAACAATTGAGTCTGTGAACCTAGGTACCACTGTAGATACACCTGTGGTATGGCTAGATCATATTGTAATTCTATTTTTTAAAATTTTTTAGGAACATCTAGACTATTTTCTATAACAACTGCACCATTTTATGTCCTTACCAATAGCCCATGAGTTTCGATTGCTCCACATTATTACCCAGGCCACTTTTTACAAGGCCTCAGTTTCTTTCTCTGAGTCTCTTTTTCTTGATCAAGGTGACAGCCACTGCCCTTCCCAGCATAGTCAATATGGAGCTGTGAACAGTCACAAAGAGCCCAGAGTCTGCACTCTCTCAGGGAACAACAAGTCGGGTGCTGTGCTGGGCTGAGAATCTGTCAGCACCACCATACATCTGACACCCTCCTTAAAGCTTGGCCTCCCCTACACCCTGCAGCCCAACCCTGTAGGCCCCCAGGTTGGCACCCTCACCAGCTGGTGCTTGGCAGCTTCTCGGATCCAGCGGATATTGTCCATATACTGCAGTTTCACAGATGCCTTCACTGCAGGGAGGAAGGGGAGGGATGTCATAGGCCCATTTGACAAGGGGTACCCCTTGTCCCATTGGCAAAGGAGCTCTTACTCTTCTGCAGGCACCCACTGTGACCACATCACTTGAACCAGCACTCAGGGCCAGGGAGCCCACTACACAACCCCTAGCCTTCCTGACTCTGGGAACCTTCAGTAAAGTGATCACATGAATGACCATGTGGAACTGTATAGCACAGTCTTGGTGCCATTTTCATTCCCTTAGCTAACAGCTAATCAGGACTGCTGTATAACAACCACCTTGCTGGGTTAACCACCAGAAACAAAGGCTGGGGCTGAAAGTGAGATAGTAAGAGAGTGTGCTGCGGTGAACACTAGGGCAGTGGGTTAGGGAGATCAAAGGCTCCCCAAGATGGTGATAGTCAGGCTGAGTCCTACATGCTGAGAAAGTTGGATGCACAAGTTTTGGCAAAAATAGAACCTTAGGCAGAAGGAAAAGGCTGCGCTGTGAGAATGAACTTGGCCTATCGCAAGAGGGTAAGTGGAAGGGGTGGTGGTCATAGTGCGTGGAATCTCACATCATCTCATGACAGCAGAATGACTAATTTTTTTGGAAGTGCTGTGAGTCAGTGGTCAACACAGATATCATTAAAATTTTTAAATTTATATTTTAAAAAATTGTATTAAAATGGAAGGCACTACTGACTGATGCATGCCTTTAATTCCAGCAGTCTGGCAGGCTGAAGTAGTATGATTGACAGTTCAAGACCAGTCTTGGCAGTTTATAACTTATCAAGACCCTGTCTCAAAATAAAATATTTTATAAAAAGGATTAGGGATATAACTTAGTGCAAAGGCCTTGGGTTTAATCCCCAGTACTGAAGAAGAAAAAAAAGTCAATACTCATCACTACATATTATTTTATTGCCCTTTATTGTGATCTATGCACTCAAGGTTATCTGTCTGTCAAATTTGACTTGTGGAAACTCCTCAGAGCCAGGTCACAGTACTAGCTTGAAGTTGGCAGCGCTGCAAGTGTCTATACCATGGTCATTAGCAGGTACAATGGCCCAGGGCTTCTTTCCTAAGTGCTGTCTGTTAAATATCCAGCAGCATCCTTCTCTGGGGCTGGGCAGCTGCTTGAAGTCAGGGAGGCCTGTGGAGTCACAGGTCCAGATTTCCCAAGAGAAGGCCCTAGCTTCTGCTGTGACCACATCACTAGAGCCAACACTTAGGACCAAGGAGACCATAGTCATCCAGGTGAAAGAGGCAGATTCAATTCTACAACCACAAAACCTAAGACAAATTTGGTAGCTGCTGATTTAAAGAACACATGAGTGGACCAAGGAGGCCAGATGCATCCCAAGGCACTGGTGGCATGCTCACAAAAGACAGCTGACATGAATCAGCAGTGCTATTGACAAACATAAACCCAAGGCTGGTGCTTAAGGGCTTTCAGGGGCCAGGTGACATGCAGTAGAGAAGGTGGGTCAGAGAGGGACTGTAGTAAATCCCTTTCTTGACTGTTAGGTCATTTGAGTCTGAAGGCCCCTTCTATGTTAGCCAGTTTGAGTGGCTGTTATAATCTGGATATGATATTTCCTTCCAAAGCCCATGTGTTGAGGCTTGGTTGCCAGTCTATAATGCTATTGTCAGATGATGAAATCTTTAGAGTATTAACTGGGGGTAGGCAGTCTTCAGGAGCATACTACTGAAGGAAATGCTGGGATGCTGGCTCCTTCCCTGTTTTTGCTTTTTAGCTGTTCCACAATGTGCTTCTGCCATGATGTGAGACCATACCATAGACCTAAAGACAGCAGAGCTAACTACCACTAACTGAAACACTAGAAACTGTGAGCTAAAATAACTCTTTCTTAAAATTAATTGATTTTTCAAGTATTCTGTGAGGGAAAGCTATCATTTGCAGTCAAAAGGTCCTTACTGCATACCTGAGCACAGTTCTAGAGGATGATGGAGCATATAGGGCCTGTAGTTCCAGCACTCAGAATATTCATGGGCTAGGATCCTCCATGTCAGGCATCCTACCAAGGAAGGGCCTTTGGGAAACTACCCACTCATGAGCATTCCCCACCCAACAGCGTCACCTCCATCGGCAATGGCTTTCTCCAGCACAGATGCAGCCAACTGGTCAGTGACAGCCAGGTCCTGGGGGTCTCCCGATGTACACACCCAGCGGAAAGGCCCAAATCCCTGGGAGAATATGTCCCTGCAAAGACAAATACCTCTTCAACTAGGGCTTCTGGGATGGTGGTACTTTTTGCTCTGGCTGGGGGAGCAGCCTATGGGTTTCCAGGGAAGAGAGGATCAGCATCCAGATGGGGTTTGACATCCTCAGGTCTCCAACTTGACAGCAGAATCAGAGAGCCTCCCTTAGTCATTGTCCCCTCCCTGCTCCTTAATGCCCTCCCTTTCCCCAATTCTCTTCCTCCCATTCAGTCACTCCATGACCTCATGCTCCTCAGTCTCCCCCAGGCCTCTCAATCCTCTCCAACCTTCCTGTTTCCCCTCATATCTCCTCTACCTGAAGGATCAAGGAGCTGGGATGAGACAAGAAGACATTTCTTGAACTGCTATTACAAAGACTACATAAAAATCAGTCACCCAAAGCAATGGTTGAGACAAAGTAGTAAATGTAGGGACTCTGGCGAACTCACTTTGTTAGGTGAACTGACCTTCCTTGGTGGCCCATTTCCATATCCGAGTGACCTCTACTGGAGGGGTTCAGTGGCTCAGTGTTCTTTAGGGTGCTTGCACTTGCCAAACTGTTCTGGGTGCTCCCCTCAAGGGCTCCTTTCTTGTGTTCCCTCCCTAGGGAATGCCCATCTGTCCTGCACTCCAGCCCACTCATGATTCTGCTTCCACCCACAGTGAATTTGAGAATGTAACCTCTGCCCTTCAGATCTCCACCTTCCTGTGGTCCCACCTGGAACACTGGACCACTGTGCAAAGCCCAGATTAACCTCCACCATTGGTCCTGGTCCTCCTCCTGGTTCCCTCTCCTCTGACTGTCCTGGGCTGCTTCTCTCTACCCCAGGCCTGCCTTGTACAGCTAGGGGGGTCTTCAGTAACAAGTTGGCAGCTATCATTTGGGCTATGGCTAAGGGATGGGCAGTAATTTCTTCTTCATCAGCTCGATTAAGGTTTTGTGTGCTCAAAAGTTGGCATGCTCTCAAAGTAACTTTGGCTGCTGGCCTTCTTGGGCCTCCCTGAGGCTCTGGAGAAATTCTCCACATTTTTAGTTCCTCTTTGTCAGCATTTAATGGTGGGAATCCTGTGACCTTGTGCCTGCCACTTTGAGGTCATGTGAGGATCTCATGTATGACATCAGTGGTGGTCATACTTTGAGGCGCTTCTGATCTGAGTGCCAGGTCTCAGACTCTGAAAGTGGGTAGAAATGGCACTGGGTACCCCACAAGTATCAGTACTCTTTATCACTTACCCCATTATGTGCTGGACATAAGAGGGGTAGCGGAATTCCATCTTTTTAGCATCCTTCTTTGCCACATCTGCTCCTGTGGACAGAATAGCCGGTCCAGGGTCAAAGCCACATAGCTACCGTGGATGGTGATCTAAACAACCCACTAGCAGCAGGATTTCTTGTTTGTTTGTGCTGCCCTGTTGGTGGCATGTTACCATTCATGCGGCCTGGGTTCAGAGACTGGATACATTTGTCAGTGTACTCAGCACCTGTCTGGAGCATCAATAACCAGGGAGGAGGCTGGGATGGGAGGGAGACTCCTCTGTGAACCCTGTCGACTTCCTGCTCTGGGAATGCAACAGAAAAGGAAATTTCTATCTGGAAAAGGAGGGATTCATATTTTGGCACCAGAACCTGTTCCTGAGCATTGTACCCACTCTCTCCATGGCACTTCATGTTCCTAAAGTACTTGGAGAAACTGAGACCCTGAGATTCCCAGCCACCCAGAAACCAGCTTGCAGAAGGAAGGCCTGGAAAGAGGCATAGTGAATCCTTCCCTGAGCACTTGCTGGAAGATCCTCTCTGGTGGAGTGGCCAAATATGAAGCAGTAGAGAATGGGACTTCCCAGCCTCCCTTCTCCTGCTCACCTGCTCTGTGTGCCTCCAGAAGGAAGGCATTGCCATAGTCCCAAAAGAAGAAATTTTCTTTGGCCAGCCTGTTGATGGCTGAGATGTGCCTCCTTAGGCTGCAACAAACAGACAAGTCAACTCTACCTACGGGCTCCCCACTGAAGATTCCCAACCCATCCCATCAAGCCCTTTGATGATGTTCAACCTCAGGACCTATGGAGCCCTCTGCATCTCCAGTCAAACTTGCTGTGATCACACCTTCACCCCAACCCTCTGAATCCTTCAAGACCCAGATGGCAGCCCCTACAAACAAGCATTTATTGCTCACCTTGGGGGAAAAGATGGAAAAGACTGATTCAAGTTAGAAATTATGCTGAAGATTTTGCAAATATCCCGTGTTTCCAGGAGGAAAATGAGTTCATGACTGTCTAACAGGAGGCAGAGGCTTGGGCAGGTTAAGGTTTTTCCCAGTGTCACACAGCTGGTCATTTGAGAATTGGGTTGCAGCCAGAGTTGGGTAAGGTTTGCTGCCCTGACCAGAAGGTCTTGCTGTCCACACCCTGAGCAATTCTGGGCCTGTCATTACCTTTCTTGCACTAGGTCCTTGAAAGCAGGTGGGTTGGAAGCCATGAGGCGCTGGGCCTCAACAAAGCTGAGTTGCACAGGGTAGTAACCACCATTAAATGGGTTATGGCAAGATGTCTGGTCTGACCCCAGATCCACCAAGAGTTCTCCTGTGGTGTCCAATTCATGGACGAGGCGCTCCCTGGAGAAGCAGGGCATGCATGGTGTGGGATTCAGACTGAGGTTAGCCTGGTGGGGACTGCAGTCCATTTTCCCCCTCACATCCTGGAAAGGGTACTGATAGAAAGGTTGTGATGGGCACGGGCAGGCATGGGATCATTCAGGGGGGTACAGGGCAGAGGTTTGAAGTTTGTACCGTGGGAGTATCTGGTCAGGATCAGGAGCTTTGCTGGGAAGACCTCCCTTGGCACCCCAGTCCTACCAACTCCCAGCCCCCTACTTACCAAAGATCCACTACATTCCCATGGTAACCAAGACTAAGCACCTCCTTGTTTTTCCTTGCTTCTCTAGGACACAAAAACACAACAAATGGCCTTGCCACATCTGTCCAGAGCTGTCCTGACAAACCTTCCCCCCTATTAATGCACAGATGTGCTAGGAGGCCACCAAGGGGATTGTATGTGAGGATTGTGTGTGTGTGTGTTGAGGGGGGGCTGAGAAGTATGGTCTTTGAGGACTCCATCTCTTGTTTGGGACACAAAAATATAAGAGAAAAAGGCAAATTTGAATGCCTCTGATGGGAATAGCCCCACACTGGTGACGATTCTTCTGAAGAAGATTCATAGAATCAGAGCTATGTCTGTCAGAATCAAGATTTTCATAGAACTCACTCCAGGGGTCCTGAAATTATTCACTGAAGAAGAGTCTCAGACTTATTTGGAAAAATAGAAGAGCAATAAGAATGAAAACCTATTTTGGTAAACAAAGGATGGAAATAAATAATAGAACTTGTGGATGGTAAAGGTGTCAAAAAATTAAAGTAGGGGCCATTTGTAGACTGAGGGGGAAGAGAACAAGAAGTCACCAAGAAGTAAGTCCTCCCTGTGAATCAGAGCCATGTGTGGGCTGCTGGGGGAACAGTCAGACCCAGACCCTTCCAGTGCAAGGGCTGGGAAACAAAAAAAGCCAACCCCCACCCAACCCTCTGTTAACAACTGGATGATCTGGAGAAACACAGGCTGTGATGATAGATATTGAAGTGAAATGGAATTTGATGCTTGTAGTGTTTGGTGTTTCACTGTTTTACAGGTCTAGGGCTGGTAGTCTGATCATCTGTTCAGAGAATAACGGTACACAATGTGGCATCTATGGGGGAATCTTCTTCTGAAGGTGGTAGCCATTGTTAATTACCTATCATCTTGTTTTAAAGTCCTGTATCATTTTCATTGTTTTGTTGGGTTGGGTTTTATTTTGTTTGGTTTTGTTATATCTGAAGGCATGGGCAGTTATTTCAAAGATAACAAGATATATTATGGTGGCCATTTTGGATTTACTATTGTTATCTTGTTTTGAAGTCCTGTATTGTGTTCACTATTTTTACTGGTTCTGTTCTGTTTTGTTTGATTTTACTATGTCTGAAGGTATCTGCAGCTATTTTGAAGACGACAAGAGGTGCTATGGTAACCATTGTTGATTTCCTATTGTTCTGAAGTTCTGTGTCACACTTTGTTTTTATTGGCTTTATTCTGTTTTATTTTGCTTGGTTTTATTTTCACTAAAATAGAAATAAAGGAAAACAAAATCAAACAAACAAAAGTTAATCTGGGTCAGACAGAGTGGCCCTACTGGGTATGTAGATGAACTGCGCACTGAGTTGGACAGAAAGAAGACTGTAGGAACCAGGCACATGCTTGCACTCAGGCTAACCCAGGGGTGGTGGTGCACACCTGTAATCCCAGCATTCTGAGCAGCTGAGGCAAAAGAGTCACAAGTTTGAGCCCAATACAGGCAACTTATTGACTTAGTGAGACCTGCTCCAAAATAAAAAATTTAAAAAGTGAAAAAAATAAAAATCCTGGGGATTTAGCTCAGCACAAAGACTCTGTCAGTTCCCTGTACAAGAGAAAGATGGGGTCATGCTCCTGAAATAGAAAAATGATACTTTCTGAAGCAGTGAGGAGGCCAGTCTGAACCATGAAATATACAAGAAGGAGGACCACAGGAATTGGAAGTCAATGGTGCATCCCACCAGTTGCTTCCCCTGCTCAGTTGGTACAGTGGGGGAAGACCTGGTACTCAAGAAAACCCTTCAAACTGATTTAGCTTTGTATATGTGTGCATTCTGTTCATGTGCTTTCATGTATATGCACATTTATACATAGGCCTTCACGTATGGCATATATATGTATCTTTGTGGATGCATGTGTTTATGTGCAAATATGTGTGTGTTTATGTGTGTGCATCTATACTTGCATTCATCTATGTATTCATGTGTATCTGCATAAATGTTTTATATGAGTACATATGTGTCTGTGGTTATGTGTATGAGCAGGTGTATGTGTTTGTATGGTTATTTGTGTGCTTATATGTGTGTGTGCACTCAGGGTGTACAGCCCGAACCTGGACAGCAGTGATGTCTGGAAAGACCCTCAGTACCACACATGGAGTTGGGAATTTCACTGATAATTAACACATATCTGAGAGATATTTTTCAGTTATGTAGGGGTTTTTGGTGGGTGCTGGGAATCACTAAGAATTTCAAAAGGAATGTACTGTGATGAAATTGGCATTTTAGGATGATCTGTTAAAATAGGGTATGCTCTGTATAGTGGGTATATTTGGAAGGTCACTGTGTTGTTGCTCATGTATAACAACTTGGAATCCCTGCCTTGGAGATTCTCACTGGAGTCATGGCCTGGCTTCCCTCATTATGTCTCCACTAAACACCTCTGGAGACACCAAACAGGAGGAGAAGTGCTGTCACCAGCTGCACAGATAAATGGTCAGCATGGTGAGATCTGTTCCTGCTGAGCCTATAGAGCTAAGTGAGGAGGTGCCATTCCAATGGCTCACTTTCCAAAACATGAGCCGGTGAGAAGGTAAGTAGGTAAGCACTAGTCATCAGCCAGGTTCCTGATATTACACAGAGAAACACATGACACACAGAACACCAAGAGAATGAGCTTATACCAGTCAGGGCCATGTGGTTGGTCACCAGTGAGGATACACACGCACTGGGTTCCTTCCAACAACTGGTGACAAATAGGGCTTTTCAAGATCCTTCCTATGACATTTCTACTGCAAGACCTCTACTCAACATATGGTGTGCTGTACACCTATGACCAGGAATCAGGCACTGAACAGCCCCGGGCAAAGCATCCCAGTCTCCTGGGCTCTTCTTATGGCCTCTACCCTTGCAGTGCTTGGGTAGAAACAGCTGTACCTGAGTCTCCCAATGCAGTGGTCCAAGCTATCAGTCACTTCCATCAGCCAGCCTTGCTGGTGGCGTTTTACAAGAGCTGCTTTATCAACCTGGGGTCATAAGACACAAGGCCACCTGTTATAAATTTCCCGAAGTATATCACAATCCACTATATCCCCTTCACAGACCACCCCACTTTTATAACACAGTCTTGGGGAAGGTTCTTTGAACTTCCTTACACTACTTATTCCTCTTCTTGTCTTGTTTGCTCCCAGAAACCAGATTTCATTCAGGATGACACTATTCAGCTCCAGCAGATGAACTACATCAAAATTAATCACAGCAACTTGTATGATGTTCCTATTCTCCTTAGTAGATAAGAACATGCATCTGATTCAAGACTGACCAATGAGATAAAAAGGAATTTCTGAAACATGATTTTTTCTGCTGAAATAGCCAGTCGAAGCTGATATTTCTCTTCTTATTTCTTGCAGCCTTGAATGAAAATGGCATGAGTGGGGCTTGGTTAGAAACTTTGTATTCATTAGTGAAACCTGGGAGATCTGTAGATGTTGAACCTGACATCAGTGAGTTGCTCAATCAATGCTGGTACTATTGGTTACTCAAGAAAAGTAAAACCTACTTAAGTAAGCCACTATAGAAACTTTTTGTTACCTGAATCCCAACTCAGGCCTAACAAGTAAGGTATGTCCAACACAGAGTTAACGTCAACTAAGTAGAAATAATACTGGTTTATCTTTCCAAGCCTTGTCTCAAAGCTTTTCAGTTCTGCAACATTCTGCTTCCCTTCTTGGCCTTGGCACCTACCAAAGAGAACTATGAGAACCACTGAAGGTAAGCTACCCACATGCATCCCTATTGAGGGGTGACTTCTTTGTCTCTTCCACCTGACTCTATGCTGTTCAAGTTGGGAGACTCTACATCATTTATACATAAACATTAATTTTTTCCCATTTAGAGTCCAGGCGTTTGATGGGATTTAGGGAAGCATCCATAAATGGATGTTCACAGTTGCATGGAAGGGCAGTCAATAGGCATTGACCATAAAGGGTATGGAATTTTGAAAACAGGAAGCATATGATACAATGGAAATCTACACAGTAAGGTTAAGCAGGGATTTGTGGAGAGGGTAAGGGGCAGCAGGAGAGAAGACGAGAAGACAGGTGTAGGTGTGAGTAGGTCTGGAAGGAAGGGAGAAAGAAAGAAGGAAGGGAGAAAGGAAGGGGTGAGAAAGGAAAGAAAGGAGGAAGGGAGAAAGGGAAGGACAAAGAAACTCCTGCCACTCACCTCGGCTATCACACCAATGCACCCCACGATGACTGCAGCCTTGGCCTGAGCTCCACTCATCCCGCCAAGGCCAGAGGTGACAAAGACCTTTCCAGCCAAGTCCTCGACGCCCAGGTACCGACGTGCAGCATTCAGCACAGTGAGCTGCAGATGAGGAGGCCAGGTGCTTACTGCCCTCTCCTTCCACATCTGTCTCCCAGGACTCACCCTCTGAGCCAGGTGTGATCAGTCTCTCACCACTGTGCCATGGACGATTCCCTGGGGACCAATGTAGCAGTAGCTACCTGCTGTCATCTGGCCGTACCTGCCCACAAAGAGAGCAAGCCAAGCAGGAAGCTGAGTCAGATTGCAGGCATAACTTCTCCCATCTCTGCTTTAGGACCTTGAAAATGACTTTTAAATACTCTCAAAGGTATTTCTATGTTCTCTTAAAAAAAAAAAGGAGATAATATAATAGGCTACAGCCCTCTGGTTTTGGTCCCCTCCTCCCTCCCAGACTTTCTACAAACGTTTTATTCTAAAAGTTGACATGTAATTGATTAAGGAAATGTGTCTTTGGAGAATACAAACTATATGGCCCAGCATACCCATGCTACACACTAATGCCCATGTAAAGACACACAGATGAATGTTCATAGCAATTTATTCACAGTGGCTAAAATCTAAGCATCTGAAACGATCATCCATAGAAGAAAAGGGAAACAGATTACAGCATATGAACATGATAAAATATGGTTTGATAGAGAAAAAGAGCAGAGACCCTGTTATGTGTGATGTGACCCACTAAAGGAACCAGAGAGGAGAGCATATTCTGCAGGATTCCATTCACGTGACATTCTGTAAACTTCCTTCTGAGGAATCTTTCTACTGGAAGGGGTCATGGGAGATGTGATGTGGCCAGACCTCATCAATTGGGTGTGGCATGGGTGCACATGTTTTTCAGAATTCATCACATTATGCCTCAGATCTGCACACTTCGCTGCATTTCAGTGGGCTGCATTTTAGGCCATTCTCTAAATGGTCTCATTCTCTAAATTTTGTTTCTGCAGCTTATTTTGCTTCCAGCACCCAATTTGTATGGCATTTTCCACATTAACACATAGAGACCCCCACTCATTTCTCTTCATAGCTTTAGAGCACACAGCATCTAAAGCCACTGAATATCTTTACTCCCCGTCCTGGTAATCAGGATGGTTTGATTTTGCTGTGTTAAACAACTGCAGTGTAATCTCTACTTGCCTCCCTGAACTTGTGTGTCAATCATGTCTTCCAAGGTAGAAATCAAGGAGGCAGACCACTGGGTTGTCAAATATATTTTAAATATTATCAAAAACCAAGTTCTTGAGTGACTATCACCAAAGCACAACCATGGCTGTTTCCATCACTTAATAATTATCAAACATTTTAATTTTTGAAAACATGATGGGGAAAGGTGGCATTTGCTGATGCCCAAAGACCAGGAAACTCTTGAGGGTACTGCTATTTGCTTTTTTCCCTTGAAAATGTCAAGTTCATATCCCTTCTATCAGACTCCTCCTCCTGAGATATTTCCCCCAGTCCCTTCTCTCTTTTGGATCAAGGATGCCTTCCCATAGATCTGTGTCTTGGTACCAAGCCCACAAAATAACCATGCAGGGCACTCGACCACTCAGGTCCACTGTTTTCTCTTCTAAAACATGGGGCTATATTTCTTTTTCTTGCAGCTAATACCAACATAAGAGAATAATGTCAACATAATAAACATTCACCAAGGAGACAGGTGAAACCATCAGACCACACCAGGGCCATGTGGAAGCCTTCATTGGATTGTGCCCCCTTTAGGGCTATATTCACTTGAGCTTTGTGTCATGGTGCAAGGATTTTACCTTTATCATTTCATTATTTTGCATGCAACACAATACAGGAGCTATTAATATCCCTCCTGTAGAGATGATACACAAGCCCAAGATTGCACAGGGACAGATGGCAGAGTTGGGAACTGACTGAGATCCTTGATGTTTACCCAGTAATTCTCAGAGGTAAAGTTGTGGGGACACAAGATTTATATGCATGAAATTTTGACATCAATTGCTGGATAGCACCTCTTCCAGCAGTTCCAGCCTTGTTATACTGACTTAGACTTCCACCAACAATCTGCATCTGCCTGTTTCCCTACATCATCACCAGCACTGGGGATTCTCTGTGTTTTAGTTTTGTCCACCTGATAGTGCAAAGACTTTGCTGTAATTAGCATTTCTCAGATCAGTTATGTATTGAAATCTTTTTCTAGCTCTATTGGCAATTCTCATTTTATTTTTAGTTAATGGCTTCATAGCACCTGGGGTAGATCTTTGGATAATGCAGCCACACCAGTCTGACTCTTGGAGCTATACCCTCTTTGAACTTTAATCTTGCATCTGCCAAATAGAGAAGTTCTGTGACTCTCCTAGGTCAGTTATGAAGCAGTAGACCAGAACATGGTGTCCCATCACTGTGACTCTATGGTTGCTTCCAGTGGCACAGAAAAGGTTTAGAGGTTTAGTGACATTAAAAACAAAAATAACAACAGCACCTACTTATTGTCAACAAAAAATATAACTGGGTTTTTGAGCTTAGTTTTTTTCTTCACAAAATGAGTTAATAAAGATAGCTATTTGTAATGTAATACCTACTGCATAGAAGGTTAAATGTGATGTCAGTTATCAATCCTGGGGCAACAATATGGTGCCTGTTATCATGATTATAATACAAAGTGTTATCCTGAGGCTGATTCATGGGTTCACCTTGGCTGCACTTTACATAGAGGTTATCCTAGAGTGAAAGCCCCAGAAATCTACAAAATTACAGAGGACAACAGTCCTTGCAACAATAGTTGTAATCACAAAGAACTGGAAAAGTCCAAATCAGAAGGTGAGTGGGATAAATGGATTATGCTACTGTGGATCAAGTGAGAATATTTTGGATCTGTGTTTCCTGAAATGGAATGACCTCCAGGCTGCATTGTCAAATGAGGAACTGCAAAGTACAGAGGCCATCTTAGCTACCTATGTCATGAGTTCACACACATGAAGAACACTTGGAATCACACAATAAATCTTTAACTAGCGAGTCTGGAGCAGGAGAGGATTTCCCTTTCATTGTAGTTCCTTTAATAATGTTTGATGAAATAGCTTATGATTCAAAACACATATCAACTTTACAACAAATCAAAATCTGTAATACTAGGCAGGGACACAAGGGAGCTCACCAGGGCATAGTAGCTGAAGGACAGGAGTTGAGTTGCTCAGGTGCACAGTGTGTCAGAGCCCATCACATGGGGCTTATGGGATGTGTGCAGCTCAATACAGTATCCCAGTGGATACCAAAATCCTCACACTATCAAGTGCATGGTGTCAAATGCATTTTCACAGAACATATACACATCCTCTTGTATATTTAAAGCATCTCTATTTTACTTATAATTCCTAACACAATTTAAATGCTATATAAATGGTTATTGTATTGTTTGGGGAATAATGATGAGGAAAATGTCTGTACATGTTCAGTGAACAAATTTTTTTTATATACAGTATTTTCAATCTATGGTTGGTTAAATCCTAGGATGTATAACCCTTAGACATTGAGGACCAACTGTGCATGCAAAGAGAAAAATACCTAAACAAATGTGGAATTACATTCAGTAATATCTGCAACTTACCTTGAGATGCATCCAAAAGCAAGATGAATGGATGGGTGGAGAGAGGGGTCAATAGATAAAGTAAGCCTAGTAACACATTAATTTTGATGGTTTTACCTGCATATTCTTTTAGTTTTATGATTGAAATTGGTTATACTAAGGTCTTTGAAAAAGGCAGAATCTGAAGTTGAATGTTGTCTTCTTAGATGTATATAACAATGTAGGTATTTATATAAAACACTAGGAAATTTGTAAGCAATGAAATTAGCATGTTATAGTGTTGTGATTGTGTTTTTCAAAAATTATATTTAATACTTACCACACTGTTTTATAGCAAGTATGATTAGGAAGGAAATGCCACATTAATAAACTAAAATAGTGACTTACATTGTGACTCCCAAGGCAAAGAGCTTCTCGTATTCTGTCCTGGAGGAGTAGTTGGGGATGACCTGAAAAGTAGGGAGAGAATAGGCAGCAGGGGCCTAAGGGCTGAGCACAAGCTCAGAGCTCTAGGAAACAGTTCCTGAGCTGTTTCAAGGGCACCTGGCTCTCCTCCCTGCCCCCTGCACACTCTCCCCTGTGACCCAGGGCCTGGACAGGTATGGTGTCCACTACCTCTGACCCACCATCCCATTGGTGATGACCAGCCTCGGGGCACCAGGGCTGCTGGGAAAGAGGCCTAGTGGGTGTCCACTGTACATAACCAGAGTCTGCTCCTCAGTCATCTTCGACAAGTAGTACATGGTCAGCCAGAACTGAGGGAATGGAAAGCAAGCAAGGTTGTATTAGCACAAGTGGCCACCTCACCCTAGGGCTTCTAGGCCATGCCTAGGACCAGTGATTTCCTGCAGGCTTGGGGTGATGCTGCCCAGTGGTCTTGTTCTTCCCGGTTGTCATCATAGTCCATTGGCTTTGGGTCCTTTAATAACATTACTCACACCCATAATAATGGAAACCTCCCCAGTTAATCTCCAGTGCTGGATCCTTGGGAATAGAGGAGGCAGAACCCTAGATTTGTCATTTCTTCCAAGGGAGGTATGGATGAGGCTACACAGACACTGTACCTGAGCCCAGTTGCTGAACACCTGCCCATTTCCACCATAGGTCACCAACTCCTGGGGAAACTGAAAAAGACATAGTATCATCTGAAAAGAGGACCTAGGAATGGCCATTGAGCTGTGGAGGGTGAAGGGAACAGTGAGAGGAAGGACCCCCAACCCCTTGGCAGGGTTCAACAAGAGATAAAAACAGGGGAAGGAGAAGCAAGAAGAGCGAGGCCCAGTGACAGCTGCAGCTGCAAAGACATTGGCTCCTCTGTGACTAGGATAAGGGAACTGCTTAGTGGTAGGGTCACAGATGGGTCTGGGATCATTTTAGGAATTTAGTCTGGGATAAATATCCAGATCAGTCTGACTAGAGTCTGGGCTCAGGACCAGTAATCACTCGCTAGACAAAGCAGTTAAATGCTGGCAACATATTACCTTTAAGTAGATGTTGGACTCACTCTTGGAGGCTACCCTTTCTCAAATATGGGTAACATACAGACTGGCTGTCATAAGATGCTCAAGTCAGAGACATGTGGCCATATCCATACTGTCCAATATGGTGGCCACCAGCTACGTGTGCCAACTGAGCACTACTCTACTTGAGAAACACACAATGATTTCAAACACTCAGTGTGAAAAATGTGTAAAATAGCTCTTTAATAATTTTATATTTATTATATGGTAAAAATATCTTGATATATTAGGATAGGTAAAGTGTAGTATAAAATCTATTTTTTCTTATCTTTCCTTGTGATGATGCTGTGTTTGTAGCTCAGTGTAGAGCATTGCCTTATATGTGTGATGTTCTGGGAAGTGTCCCCAGCATGGCAAAAAAAAAAATAAAGTTATAGGTTTATCTGTCATATTGGTGTTAATATCCTGGTTTTGATGTCCCAGAGTTACAGAAGAAGTAACTATTAAAGAGAAGCCAGGATAATGGTATGGGGACCTTTCTGCTTTATAATGTTGATGAATCTAAAAGTAAATCAAAAGCTTTGAAAGAATTACATGTGTGTCTCATGTTACATTTGTGTTGAATAGTGCTAGGCCTCAGTTTCCCCAATTATTACCTGGGCTACAGCAGGATCCAGATTGTTCATGATCATGTGCATGATGGCTGCAGCAGCTCTTGTCCGGCAAGGGTACTGCTCAATTGGGTAGGCCCTGCAAGTGGGAAGATGCCAAGACTTCCTTCGTGATAAAGTACAGGATCCACCCTAGCCATAGTGTCTGGCCACACAGGTGTGGACAGTGAGAAGTGGCACCTGCATCATTGTTAGGAGCCTCAGAGTATCTGTCTAGTGCTATTACACACTAAGGCCCACTTGTCTGGTGTTCACAGAGTGTGAGCTCCCACATAGCCACAGACAGGGAACTCAGGGCCCACCCATCCCAGCCACTCTCTCTCACCACTTGACAAATGCCACCTAGGACAAAGCTGATGGCAAAGCAGAGCTGAAATATACTTTCAAGAAGCTTCTATCTAGTTGGTGTGAAGACACATGCCTGTAATCCCAAGCACTCTTGAATGTGAAACAAGAAGGTTGCAAGTCCTGGCTCAGCCTATTTTTGAGCCTACCTGTCTCAAAAATATGTTTTGAAAGGGATACAATTTGGTGCCAGGATTGCCCAATATTGACTTCCCTGGTTAGGGGGCCAGGCAACAGAGAACTGTCCAATAGGGGGTCTCCATCTTCTGGTCAGGCTTGGTGGCTGCTTGTAGCTCTCAGTTCCAGGCTCTGAAGATGACAGACCTCCGTCCCCTACCACACTTCCAGGTGGCCTCCTAGCTCTGACAGATGGGATTTTCTTGGCTGTTAACTCCTTGCATTTCCTGATCTCCAGATCAGCCTGCTGTAAGTCGTGTCTACCAGTGCTCACCTCATTTCAATGCTGGGAGAGAACCGATACATGTAGATGTGTCCGTACAGTCGCAGCTCCTGGGCAAACTCTTGGGCTAGCAGTTCCTGGATGTCAGGTGGGAAGTAGCGCAGGGCATTCCTCAGCGCCAGCTGGGGAGGAGGATGGAGGAGGGTGTGCTAGGTAGTTGAACAGGTGTGTTCAGCCCTGGATCCCCCCTATGCCGGGACATCTTCTTCATTTGGGTTTTCCTTTGCTCCCCTCAGACATGTACTGGTCCAATCTGAGACCACCTGGTTCCCACTCCAGGTCCATCTGCACCTTTACCTTCTACAGGAGGCTTTCCTTGAATGGTGCCCCATCCTCTTCAGGATGGTAGGCCCAGCCCCTCCCTCTTCTCGCTCATTATGTACCAGCTCCAGCCTCAAAGACTAGGCTGTTTGGCCTGATGTAAGGCCAGTGAGGTGCCTGAGGCTTGTGGCTTGGGGAGAAGTGTGGGATGCAGTCTCAGGAGGAGAAGAGCTGACACTTCATGCAAGTGCAAAAGCAACCTCCACCTGGTGCCCAGATTTGGAGGCTGCATTCTCAGTTAGATGGCTTCAGGCAGTGTACAATGTACACCCATACCTCCTAGGAGAGCTGGACAGAGCCAGAGGCCAGGAGGTCAAAGGAAAGGAGAACCCCACTGAGGGTTTCTTACCCAGGCAGGGAACGTAACCCAAGCCCCCTTGCTGTCCATTCACTCTTCTCCCTCAGGCTCCTCATGCTCCAGGTTCCCTCACTTCTTGTTAGGTGTTCTCCTGACTTGACCTCGGTTTTTTTTTTTTTTTTTTTCCTTATTTTGCAGTGCTGGGGATAGCATTCAGCACCTTGTGTACACTAGCCAAGCATTCTACTGAGTCATACCCACAGCCCGAACTTCAATCTCACCTTTGAGACTCCTAGTCTCTGTCTTTCCACCTTTGGTTCTTTTCAGAGTTTTTCTCTATGGGTCCTGCAATCCCTTCAGGTCCTTCTTATGCCTCATAGGCTGCAAGAGCCCTTGAGACCTGGTCCTACCAGGCAATCTGGGACATGAGTTGGGAGCAGATGAGGCAGGGTGGGCTCTAGGAGATGTTTAGTCTCTGAACATGTGAACCACTTATTCAACCAGCTAACTGCGGCTAACCAGCCACTCTGGGGTGAGGGATAGGAGGAAGTAGGTGTGGTGAATTTGCTCACTCACTCAACAATATCTAGTTAAGGGAGGGCTGGTGTGAGGCTGGGCGATTCATGTGGTCTGGGACAGAAGTCAGGAGGGAGGAGACAAGAGCAACAGGGCCCAGGACTCAGCACTGGGAACATTAGCATTCGGTGAAGACACACATTTAAAACAAAAGAAAAAGAAGAGCAAGCCAGTGCATAAAGGGACGACTGTCAATAAGGTGGTCACTGTACTGGGGGCTTGGCTGATCAATCAACCTCTATACCCAGAGGGAAGCTGCGGCTCCTTCCACAGCTCACCTCCTCAGAGCCACAAGTTGCCCTATTCCAAGGGCTCCCTACCATCAAGCAAAAGCCAACATCCTTAAGCGAAGCTGAGGCGGTCAGGAGGTGTCCTTCTGCCACCCACAGGCATCCTCATGCAGCCATAAAGGATTCATGGGAGAGGGGCAGACAGCAGGGTCCTCCGTGTGTGCTCTGCTAACTAAAGGGAGGCGCCCAGCTGGCAGGCATCCGAGGGGGAGGAAACTTTAATCACCACCTCAACATCTACTGAGCTGAGCCAGACAGGAAGAACCAAGGAGCAGGTCGCCCCCTGCTCCCCATCTCCTCCCACCCCTCCCTACCCGCCCACCAGTGCCCCTGCTCCAAAGACCGTCCCCAGTGCTTTCTCCTTCTGTTACCCACCCCTGCCCTTCCCTGACACTTCTTAGTTCCTCCCCCAACCACCAACCAGGCCTTTCCCCCACCTCTGTGGGTAGCTTTCAGAGGAAAGTCTAGGCTATTGACACTCAAGAAAAGTAATCTTTCTCTGGGGATGGTTATATAGCTATGTGTGTAAATGGGAATTAATCTCAGGACTTCAGCAACGAGCTACATTCCTTTTTATTTTTTTAAGATTGAGACAGGGTCTTTCTAAGTCCCTGGGTTGCCCAGGAGGAACGCGAAATTGTGATCCTTCTGCCTCAGCCTCCTACTGTGTGCCACCACAACCAGTATTTATCTTTTAAACCTTGTCTTTATCAGTATTTTCTACTTTCCTCCCACTGTTTTTGATATTCTTGGTAAAGGAGAAAGTAGATAGAAGACTTTTACACAACTGTGTCATCTGCTTATTTCATTTGTCCTTCTGTGCAACTCTTTCTTAAAAATTTTCCATCCTTGGTTTACAAATGAGAAGTCAGCCTTTCAGAGGGTCAGGGATTTGCCCCAGGGTTAGGCAGCTTGGGAATTGTTGGTGTGTGCACCCATTCACCTGGGTCTGTGTCTTGTTAGTGTAACGGGGTGATTGAATAAGGGCCCATCTGGCCTGCAGGTCTCCCCAGCCACCACCCTGCTCTCAGTAGGGCGAAAGCTGCAGCGCACATCCCCTCAGAGATGGAGAAGGGACGTCCACAAATGGAAACAAGGAGCTGACCTATTGGCAGCAGAACACAAAAGTCACATCAGGCAGTGTGTGACCTGGGCAAGGTACACATTTCATACTTCCTGCCAGGATTGGGCCACTTCACACCCTCCCAGTTCCTCCTCCCAAAAGAGGTAGCCACATCACCATTGCTTACTGTCTGGCTGACCTTGAGCCTCAGGGTCCCCTCACCTGAAAGTGGGGACTGTAATTCCAAACCTCAGGGTGCCCACACCTAAGAAGTACCAGGCACACTCCTCTCCTTTCCCCAGAGCTCTTGGAGGCCAGTGTGGGTAGTTGAAGGCAAAAAGTAGGGGTGCCTACCTGGATTATCTGGAGGGCACCTAGAAGACACCAGGTTCTGGGAGGCATGAGTTGGATTTCTTACCTGCTCTTCTGCAGGACTGAGGTTGGGGGTCCTGACAGGGGCATGTGGCACTCCAGCCCAGCGTCCCTGGTTCTGTGGGAGGGGCCACAAGGGCAGGCCAGAGCACAGCATCTGAAGGCTGGACATATCTGCTGAGCTTGAGGTGGAGACCAGCACTGTGGGGAGGCTGGAAAGGCACTGAACAAACAGGAGTCAGCAGGATGGGGACCTCCAGCCCCAGAGCCACCTCCTCCAGCCCCTCATTGGACCCAGCGCCTGTGAAAGGAGCCACGTGTGGGTCACAGGGGCAGGTCTTTGGGTCACTGGCTGATACGAGTGTTGATTTGGGGGGAGGGGCAGGCTTTCTGGTGGGGAGACTTGGGCTATATGAGGGTCCATTCATGCTTCAAATGGGGTGGCCTGGAGGGGCTCATGTTTAGGGAACAATCTGAGGAGCTGGAGGGGCTCTACTATTGTAGTGTGCTCTGGCAGTTTCATGGGGTTACACCAAGGTGGCAATATTGGAACTTATGTCCTCAAAACAAGAACCACGTGACATGGAACTTGGCACAGACTCTGCACAGAAACCATGTACATCTCTTCCTTACTCCCCGAGAGGGAGGGTACCTGGGTGGCAGCTATGTTAGGACTCCCTGCACAAACTTGTGTATACTGTTCGGTTCCTATGGAGCTTTAGGGTGCCCTGACTCCAGTCACAAAGAGCTCTGTGATGTACCACCTCTGGGATAGATCTCATCCCCTACTCCATGGACAATTCTACAAGAAACTATTCTCCAATAGCGCTATGTTACACACAGGGAAACTGAGGCCCAGGTCTCATACAGCTAGGAAATGACCACAGTTGAATCATAGCACTCCTGGAAAGCAACACCTGGGTGTGAATCCAGCTGTATTCCTGATCAGCCCTGTGACCCCTGGCCCCTCCTCCAATCTAGACAAGTGCAGTTACCAAATGCTCAGTAGAGGGGAAGGGTCTGAGCAAGTAAGTGACAGCTTCCATCTCCATGGCTTGGCTTCCCTGAGCACATCACATGACAAGGCAGTTTATTTCTCCCTGACACCTATCCTGAGAGGGCACTGAACCATTTCATGAATGATGAAACTGAGGTCAAGAGAGATGATGGTGTGAAGCTTGGATCAAGCTCTCTTGGAACTCAGAAGTCTGGCTCCAGCTACACTTTGGGCTACTTCTGTGCCCTGAGGATACAGTGAGGGGCTGCTGTGATATATATTCTGTCAGTTCCTAAAACCCTTGTAGAAAGTAATACCAGGAGAATCTTTTGTTCTGACATTTGTTCTTTGCCCTAGAGTTCTTGACACTGAGTTGGTAAATCCCTTGGAATTTCCTGGGTGTTGGAATATCTTTTGCCTAGTGTGACTGATAGATTCTGCCAGCCTGGGGCTTAGCCACGTCTAACATGACATCTGCCCAACTTGGTGTCTCTCCAAGAGTAGCTTCTGTGTTATTGTAGTTATGGAAAAAATCTTCTTGCTTCCTTTTTGCCCATGTGCTGAGACTCCAATCCCAAGACTCCACAAAGTCCACCACCCTCAGCCCCCAGTAAATTTTCCTGCTTCCTGCTTTGTGCAGGCAGATGCTCCTTCAAATCAGCTGTTGATATGTCATTGTGCCCACCTCTCAAACTCCTCCCCCAGTCAGACCTGCTAAAAGTACTTCTGCTTCTGTGTTCTCACCCAAGGGTGCTTGTGTCTCTTCTGCAGCCCTCCTGTGCCCGCAATAAAGGTCTCTTTTCTCCTTTCTTGTTCTGTCATGCCAAAATCTTATCAGTGGTGACTCCTGGTGGGCTCCTAAAGGCACCTGGTTGTCAAGGAACTTCTACTTACCAACTCTAACCTCCAGAAAAGAAAAAGGCTGAGGGCTGAGTTCATCATTAATGGCCAAGGATATAATCAGTCGCGCCAATGAGTGCAGTTTCCACAAAAACCCAAGGACAGGTTCTGGGAGCTTCTGGCTGGCTGAACACCTGGAGGATCCTGGAGAATGGCACATCTCAAGTGGACTCCTTGCCCCTTTTCCAAAGCACATCTGTGCACCTCTTGCATGTGGCTGTTCATCTGTATCCTTAGCAATGTCCTTATAATAAATCTGTAACCACAAGCCAAGTGTTTCCCTGAGTCTTGATCAAACTTGAGGAGGGGTTCACAGGAACCCTGATTTATAGCCAGTAGGGGCTTCTAACTGGCATCTGATGTAGAAGGCCCTCGTGTGGGAATAAGCCTTTAATGATGGGATCTAATGCAACCTCCAGGCAGTCAGAAGTCAGAATTAAGTTGAGTTCAAGGACACCCTGCTGAAAATTTGATTGTTGATAAACTGAAAACTCCACATATAATCTGATGAGCAGTACACAATGTGTTGTGTGTGAATGAGAAGGAAAATCTCTCTGTCTGTCTCTCTTACACACACACACACACACACACACACACACACACACACACACACACTGGGGTCTAGGGCATCCCTCAGGGAGGCTGCCTTGCAGGGTAGGCTAGCAGAAGCTGCTCAGGCCTGACTTCTGCCATTCCTCCAGTTGCTCCATCTTTGCAGCAGTTGAATGAGCACCTCCTTGTGCCACGCACTCATGCAGGCCCTGGGAACAGATAGGAGTCTTTGTTATATCCTTCATGCCTGAGCATTATACACAGCATGTGTCCCAGTGATCAGTACCAGTGTCTGTTCATGGGCTCCTGGTGTCCCAGAGCCTCCTCTTCCCACACAGAGGGCAGAAGGAGAGGACTTGGAAATCAGCAGCCTCTCTCCACCCTCCCAAGCATGGCCTTCAGCCATGGAGCTGGAGGAGGCAGTAATGACTATGGGGAGTACGCCTGGTCTCCCAAGTTCCAGCAGGCCTGCCCACCAGGGTGGTATCATGTCTTGACAAGCTACTTTCCCTTCCAGCTCACTTCCCGAGCCCCTTATTGGGCAGATCTTCACTAAACTCTTAGTGTCCTGCTTCTGCAGGAGACCTCATCACCTGATGGCTCAAGAAAAACCAGGAGTTCCAATAGTTTTGGTGAAATGTCCTGATTTTTAAATGAACCATTTATAATTAAAAATTAAATTAAATTGAAATTTTGATATTCCTCAGAAGATACCTGTTTGAAAAACTCCTTCCGCAGATAACTACTCTTTTCTGAACTCCCATCTCTGGTCACTTGTCACCTCTACCCAGAAGCCTGTCTCCCCCGCTCTCACCATGTCAGATACCTTTACCATGCTTTATTTTCTTTATAGCACCAATCATAGCTACTCAGCTCTATTTTTATGACCCCCACCTATACTTCAAACACCGGCATTCACTTTGGCAGCACGTATACTATAATTCAAATTCCAAAGAACAGAGACTATTTTCTTTGGAACCTCCTCATAGAGGGAATGTAGGTATCTAAATGAAGGAGTGAATGTCCGTCCCTGTGGAAGGGCAGCAATACATAGAAATTTATCAGGGAACTACGGAGGTCCTACAACTATATTCAGGCATCTACACCCTTGCACTGGCCTAGAGGGCCTCCAGGGATATCAGGCAGTGATGGGCTGACATGCTGTTTTCAATGTTGACCACCGGGTGGCAGCTTCTAAGGCTAAGGAAATAAAGGTCTTGGGGAAACTCAGGAAGGCAGATTTAGGCAAAACTGGGGTGGACAAGGGATGCAGGTAACCCATACTCTCTGGGTCCTGGGCCAGGCTGGGGTAGAGGCTCTCCCAGCCTGGAGAGTCATGGCAAAGAACCTTTACAAATAGTCTTTTAGAAATATTTTATTTTGAGGAAGAGGCTTGCTAAATTGCTAGATGGGTCAAGCTGAGCTTAAATGTGTGTTCCTCCTGCCTCAGCCTCCCAGAAGACTGGGATTACAGACATACTCCATGCTCCACATAAGGACTTTATGGTTTTACTTGTGAGCTGGGCTTCCCAGTCCTCTGCCATTTGAGAATCATCAGCATAATTTAGAACTAATATACCTTAAAACCAGAATAATTATTATTTGCTTAATATTTTTCCTTACAAATACCCTTTAAAACTTAAATGAGTGTAAAAGGAAAGAGTTTTTGTGTCATTGCTGTAACAGGAACCAGAGTCACTTGCTGGACAGTACCCCTAAAATTAATTCATTACTACCATCAAGTACTTCCACTATACTCTCTGTTGCAAACTTCACCTGTGACCCGTTTAATCTCCATAACATTGTACAAGGCACTGGGGCACAAAGACTTTAGGTGACTTTCCTGACCTCACACAGCGGGTAAGTGGTAACAGAAGCTTTTCAAGTCATTGGGTTTTTCAAGAACAGTTTAAAAACTGTGCGGGAAAACAGTATCCTACTCCAGTCATGGGCATTGCTGCAGTGCTCGCAGTAACGGCTGTACCCTTAGTTCCTTAATAACCTGACCTCTGGGCAGCAAGACCATGGGGTCAGCGGTGGCCTGCTCACCCCACAGGGGTAGCTGGAGGCATTTATCCTTTTTGTTTTTATTTTTCACTTCTAAGAATGGAGCATAGGGCTTCACACAAATTAAGCAAGAGCTCTATTACTGAGCTACACCTCTGGCCCTTCCTTTATCTTCTAAAGACTGGACTTCACTCTCATGGTCTGCTGTCATACCCCCAAGAGACCTCAGGTAAATTCTAAGGACTCGGTGCCCAGAACAGTTCTGGGTGATTAGGGAGAGGCCTCAAACCCCATCTTTTCTTTCAAGTGTGGACAGGACCTATAATAAGTTGGATCCTGGCAGCACCTGGAGACCTCCTAGGCACGCCAGCCTACAGAGTGGCTTTAGGGGCCAGAAAGGACACTCTTGTGATTTCCTTGTTTCTGATACTGGAGATGGGGGCTTGGAGGAGTCATGGATAGGGCGCCTGTTTCCTTGGATTCTTGGTAATTAAGGCAGCAGAAAGGCAGGGATCACTGCCTGGAAGAGGTTTGCTCCTCCCTTTTGCACCTAAGGCAAAGCTTCTCGTTGGGTAGATGTTGGCATCTCAGGGCAAACTACAGGCCAAGCCTCACCTGCGACGGGGCTCCCTCCCCCAGTCTCCGCCCACCGTGCCGGGGTCTGTGGTCCCCTTCTGTCAGGTGGTGGCGGGAGCACGCTGTGCCAGCTAAGTGCGTGGTGAGCTGGCACGCTTCTCCCTTCTCCCGTCTCTGGCGGCCGTCGGGACTCCGGGTCGGACTCCCACGACCTAGACAGCCCTTGCTCCCCCCACCCGCTCTGTAACCTTGGTTCGCGCCGCCGGGGCGGATCCTGCCAGCCAGGGAATGGCCAGTCCTGGGCGGGTCCTAGGGCTCTGAACCACTGGCCCTTGCCCAACACAGAGGACTATACCCCCTTCCTAGGAAAGAGGCATCTGGGAGCACAGCATGGGGAGGCGGTGCTGCTGGCGGCGGCGCGGGTTGGTGGCCGCGTGTCTAGGCACTGCGTTCCTGCTCCTGTGCACCGCGCCCCGCGCTCTGCGCCTGGGTGAGTGGTTCCACCTCCCCACCCCTGACCACCTGCAGCCTGACCTCTGGAGGGGCTTGAGGGGCACTTTCCTTCTCCTCCCTGGCTGGGGAGCTGGAATGGTAGTAGAGAGGCTGGTGGGGCCCAGAAAAAGCTGGAAATGCGCCCGTCCCAGCAAGGATCTTGGGCCCCCTCCAATCCTCTGGGAGAGGTGACCATTCCAATTGTGGGTGGTGGAGGGCATTAGCCCTGGGAAGGCTCTAGCCCTGGGAAGGCTCTCCACGTGAGCTATGTGAGCAGGACAGGCACTTTGAGATGGGCAGCTTGATGTTCTGTTACCATTGTCTGGCTGTGCCTTCTCTGCACGCTGGAGCGCACTATTCCACCCTGGAAGGGCTGGGCTGGATCCACTCCACACCTGAGTGGGGGACATTGAGGTAGCCAGTCATGACTCTATGGGGCTGAGTGCCTGCTCCCAGCAAAACACTTGGGTCATCTCCAACCCTCTTATCAACCCATTTCTAAAGGAGGCATCCCTTCTCACCTCTGTTTCTGTTAGTTTCTCTCAGACCCATGGCCTGTTTCCAGTCTTCCAAGCTTGGCAGGCAACCTGGGGCAGCAAAAGTTAATCAAACTGGTCCAATCACCCCCCTCCTCTTCTCCCTCCCTGACCCTGAGCTGAAGCTCTTGACCTCAGGGGAGACAGCAGGAGCTAATAGCTGGCCTGCATGTGGGTGGCTCACTGAGAGGGGAGATGGCTTCAGGGAAAGGCCTGTCCTGCTGCAAGAGGACCCTACTGCCCATACCCTCAATGGGGCTTGGTTTCCTTGCGGCCATGTGCAGATTAGAAGATTGTGGTGGGATCTGGTTTGTAGCCAGTGAGGGCCAGAGGCCTCCTGGGCACAGGGGCTCCAGGGCCCAGAAGGAATTTAGACTTCTTATCTCAGGTAGGTGTCCTGTGCCTGTTCCTTTCGTTTTCACAGGAGTTGTCACTGTTCATTGGGCAAGGGATCACTGAAGGCTTTCAGTTCAGGCCTGGTTCATGCAGCCCTATGGATCTCAGAGGACTTTCATTTTGGGGGAGTGTTCCCCCAGGATCTGACCTAGAGTTCAGGGTCTTGGGGAGGAGGAGCACTGCCTAAACCCTGCTGTTCTCACACCCTACTTTTACTTTTGGGGGCCCCTGTGGCAGCTCCACTGTCACCCCCAGGGTCTCTACCTGCCCTTCTGCTCCCTCAGGGCAGGGCATCATGGTGACTGTGCTTGGCAATGGGTGTACCACTGCCAAGTGTGTCTGTAGGCCAGTGGTGGTGAACCTTTTAGAGCTTTCAATAATCACAAAGAGCCTGCTGTTATGTGTGTACCATAGGTTTGCCACCACTGCTCTAGGCGCTGAGAAATGGCAATGAACAAAACTCACAAATATCCCTGTCCTCACAGAGCTTATGTTTTTAATATTTCAATGACACTCTGTATCCTTTATCCCCAAGACACACCCATCAAGAGCCCTGATGGGGACACCTCAAATCCCTGCTCAGTTGGTTTGCTAAGCTAAACCCCAACCATGCCTGCCTGGCCTTTCTCTCCAGACCCACAACCATGAAAATGTTCCAAGGGCTCCTCTCAGAACTAGGCTGAGCCTCAAGTGATTTCCAGATGGCCCTAAAATTGGGCTCAGAGGAAGGAGAGTGTGGAACAGGGTGGAGCATGGGGAAAATGGCCTGTTTGCAGCAGAGGACCCAAGTTGCCTCCTTCCGAGGCTGTTTGCTGCCCTCTTCCTCCAGGCCTCATCACTGCTGTGAGAGCCCAGCATTGCCTGCTCAGGAGTAACATGGGTTAACACAGACCTTCTCCCACACTCTTCCTCAGGTGGTGAGAGGAGGGAGCCAGGAGCCTCAGGGAGGTTTCCTTCTGCAGGGCAGCCGGGTGGGTTAGTAAAAAGAGGGGGATTAGCTGCCAGATCCATAGCGGCCCACCCTGCTGCCGCCCTTCTCAGGTGCTGCTGGAAGGGTGGAGGCTCCTTCAGAGAGTGTTCTAAGAGGCCAGCTGGCAGGACGGCGGCTCAAAAGAGTAGGAACCAGAAATCCCATTTCCCAAAGGAGATAACTGAAATCAAGAAAAAAAGAAGACTTAAGCCAGGAAGTGCAGGGCTAGAATTTAAATCATCAAGTAAATCTGAAGTGCTCATCCTTCCCAGACCATATGGCAGGGACCCTGGGTTGAGAAATGAGCAAAGGAAATGACAGGCAGAGAGAGCAGCGCAGACAGAGGCGTGGAGGAGTAAGATGGTCTGTGGGTGATGCATTCTGGGTACATCTCAGGGTTCCTTGAGTGGCAGTGTGGGAGCCAGGGAGGTACTTAAGTTGGGGCCCAGTCATGAATGGATCTGGATGACAAGGTGGGAGTTGGGATGCTCTTGCTATGAGGGTCCCCTCCAGCAGTCTTGAAAGAAGGTCATTAGCACTGGCTGAGGTGCAGGGATTACAGGAAGACAAAATAGTCCCCTTCCTTAAAGAACTGAACTTCTAGAGTTGTCAGGCCACATAAAATTCAGATGACGTCAGCACTGATTAATACATTAAAAGGAGAGCAGTCACAGTAAGACATGGAGTGTAGTGCCTTTTAAAACTGGCTGGAGAGGCCTTCTTGGCAATATTTGAGTTGATGTCTGATCAATGAGAAACATCTACCTAATTCAAAATTCCTAGAAAAATGTTCCAGGCAGAGGGATCAGACAGTGCAAAGGCCCTGAGGCAGAAGAGAAGGCTAATGTGGCTAGAGCTCAGTGAGCTTGTAGGGAAAGGTGGGCATGTGTTGGAGGGCCCCATGAAGGAATCTAATGTGAGCCATGCTAGTGGAAAGCCTTGTGGGTTTTGAGATCAAGAAGGTAGGAAAATAGAAACAGACTTGTAAGGAGGTTCTAATGGCTATTCTGGGACAGCTGATGGGGGCCTGGGCTAGGCTCACTGTGATGGGGTGAAAGTAGGGGTACTGATAGTTCTAGAGCTAGACCAGATGGAATGCTACCTAAGGATGATCTGGTCAGATAAGGATTCCTTTCCAGATGGTTTGTGGGAAGGAATGTCCCTGCCTCAGGCAGGCAGATCACTCCTGACAGCCCCTTACGGGAAGGAGTGGGTCAGGGTAGATGCGGGTGGCTGCTGGCCAGGGTCCCCAGGGCATCAGTGCTGTCTAAGCCCAGCTATTCCTGCTCCTATGTCTTGCAACACTGTGACCAACTAGAACTTATTAACCAGAAACGCAGTGTTGTAATCTCTGCACACAGGCCCGGGGAGTTTCCAAATAGTATTTTCCCCTAAATCAATGACATATGTCCCTTATCCATACTCCCCTTCCTTGGCAGGGAGTGGGCGGGGGTCAAAAGTGACTTTCTTCTTTCAGGCTTATCTGGGTGTTATATTATTTGGCAAAGAAGGCCTCACCGTGTAACATTTGCAGATGTCCTGTCTGTGTCCTGGAAAGGTCCGTGTGACCTTGAGGTGCTTGCTTTGCCTCCCAAGCAGGCATTTTCTCATTAGTCAGTATAAGAGAGAACACCAGACCATAAGCACCAAGAGGATGGATAGGTTTATGTGCAGGGTGAGCTGATCCCCAACAGGCAGGACAGCTGACATCGGTGCCTGTGGTCTGGGATCAAATTATACCTGAGACCAGGGCCAAATTTGTTTCCTCAGCTGAAGAATGGGGCCAGTAATAGTTTCCACTTGATAGGAGGAAGCATGTCCACATACACCAAGTCCTGAGCACAGTGCAGGGATTGCCCACCGCAGAGTTCTGAGGGCCCTGCCATTGCGTCCTGGGCAAAGCCCCGCCTCCCTCTGCTGATGGCTATGTTTATCTGGAAGCCTCTGCCCACCTCCAGTGGCAACATGTAACCTGGGCTGTGTGCCACAAGGTATTGGGTGGTCCACACCCTAGAACCCTGGGCGGAGGCCTGCCTGCTTTGACAGTCTCCAGAACAGCTCACCCCGCACTGCTACCTGCCACTTCAAAACCAACTGTCTGCTCTGAGTTCTTGCAGAAGTGCCACTGTTTCATCTTGGCCCTCTCGGATTCTGTATGTTTCTGTCTCCTAGCCAAGGTCCCTGTCCTTCTGCATGGCTGTCTCCCTGTCCCTGTCTTGGCACTCACATTTCTCCCATCATTCCCTCTCTCCCTCCTCTTTCTAACCTCTCATTGGCTGTGTTTCTTTTTTCAAAGCAGAAACCCCATGTGGTTTCCCTGGGGCTGCTGTGGGTGACTGAAGTCATAGCTCCAGCCGCAGCCCCTTGCAGACTACAAAGACAGGGCCTTCCATCTCTCTCTTTGGCCTGCTTATCTGTGCCTTCATGCCCATGCCAAGGGGCCTGGGACCTGCAGCCCAGCAGAGGAGCAGGGGACTAATGATACAGACTAGGTGGGGTTGGGGCACTGGGAATGGTGTTGATGGGGGCCCTAGTATAGCTGTTTTGACCAACCCCGAGCTGTCTCCAGTGAGCTGAACCCAGGGATCTTCATGGCCCGATCTTCTGACCTCCCATACCCAACCATCCCCCTCCATGGCCAGCCTGTACATCCTAACAGGGCCTGAGCCCTGTGGTCTGGGTGGAGGTAGCTCACCCCTGTAATCACTGGCCACAGCTATTCTGGGCCTCTCTCTGGTGCCTATTTCTACTTACCCTCCACCCACTGGCCCCTGAAGTCTGTTGTGGTACTCACTTTTCTGTAGACTGTGGTCTGGCCAGGAAATGAGAGGCCATGGGTAAGGTGGTATTTTTGGAAAGTTAAGCATCTCTGAGCTGCGGGGCCCTGGGGTGGTCAGGCTGCTTCTCCCACCCCTTGATCACAGAGCTGGGCTGGTGACACCAGCTCTAGCTCAGCCCCAACTGTGGCCCTCAGGAGACCCCTTTACTGGTGACCTCCAACCACAGAAACACTGATTATCTGCAAAATCGCAAGAGGGACCTATTCTCTCTCCTGGTGACCAGAGGTGTCACCCTAGCATGGGGACGCGGTAGCTCAGCTTGCAGAGATTGCTACTATACTGAGGCCTGTGGCAGTGGCTAGATACAGCAGTCCCAAGACCCAGGCCTCCCCGACTTTGAGGGCCCAGCTAAATTTTTGCTCTTCCCTTTCTGCTCATTTTCTGATGATAGTGGTGTTCCTGGGACCTGTCCTGACACTAGGAGGGCAGTCATGTGTCCCATATAGATTCCCAGGTTGAGCCTGGAGGCAGAAATTCACCATTAGTGACCTCCAAGATATACGCAGGTCCTGAGCTTCCCAGAGTCTCATGACGTAGTCACAGGTGAGCTGGACCCTTGTTCCAGGGACACATGACATAGTCTGGGGTACAGAGGGGGCCTGAGGTGTGCAGGGCCCCTTGCACAAGGGGTTTTAGGTGTACCCAGCAGGGTTCTGGAGGCCAGGGCAAGGGCAGCTTTGGCATTCACTCTTTCTGCCCACTTCTTTATTGAACACATACTCTGTGCTACATGCTAGGCACTGCACCAGTGCTGTGACACTACGCTGCCCAGCACTGTTGAATATTCTCAGGCCCTACTCCAGACCCGCTGGGCCAGAAAACTTGGCATGGGGCCCGGGAAACTGTTTCAAGGCTAAAATTTGAGAACCATCAATCTAGGCCACTTTTCCAAGCATGTCAGTATATCCCATTTCCTACTTTTATTTTTACCAAGAAGGATTTTTTTTGGAACCATGCATTGAACTCACAACCTTGTATTTGCCAGGAAGGCACTTTGCCACTGAGCTATATCCCTGGCCTCCTTGAGGAATTCTTGAACATTTTCAATGAACAGCATTTTTCTCTCTACATGTGTACCTGAATTATTGAGCATCTTTTTTTATGCATCTTCTTATTCAATGCTCTTCTGAATCAAGAATAGATTAAAATAGCATTGAATATATTCAATTTATAAATTAGATTGGTATCAAAGTCTTGGATATATCTTTATTGTATTTTATTAATATATAGCTCATATTGCATAAAATTCACTTTTTATAGTGTATAACTCAGGGTGTTTTTACAAAGCATATTCAGAATTTGTGTAACTATGTAATTGCAGACATTAGCCATTGGCAGTCACCCTCCATTACCCCTTCCCCACCAGCTTCTGTAAGCACTGATCTTTCTGTCTCTTTGGATTTGCCTAGTCTGAACCTTTTGTATAAATGGAATCATATAATAGTTACCCTTTGTTTCTTGCTCCTTTCACTTACACAATGTTTTCAAGGTTCATGCGTGTTGGAATGTGAATAGTACTCCATTCCTTTTATAACCAAATAACAAACAGTCCATTTATGGACACATCACACTTTTTTTTGGCACTAGGAATATAACTCAAGACATAGCATATGCTAGGCCAGTGCTGTACCACATAGTATATGCTGGGCCAGTGCTGCCCAGTCCACCACATTTATATGATTCATTTATTGATAAATTTTCATTGTTTCAATTTTTTACTATTGCGAATAACATTGATAGGAACATTTGTGGACAAGTTTTTGTGTGAACAGGTTTTTAATTATTGAAATTATCTACTTCAAGAGTGAGAGTTCTGGGTCACACAGTAATTCCGTGGTACTTTCTTAAAGGAACTGCCACAGTTATCCATGATGACTACAGGATTTCACATTCCCATTAGTGATGAATGCATAAGGATTCATTTCTCTACATCTTTGTTACTGTTATTTTTTATTATAAGATCCTAGAAGTTTGATTTTCATTTCCCTAATGGCTAGTGATGTTGTATATCTTTTTATGTGCTTATTGGCCACTTGTGAATATTTGGGAAAATGTCTATCAAGATTCTTTGCCCAATTTTAAAATTTGGCTTGTGTTTTTATGATTTGGTTGTAACAGTTCTCTTTATATTCTGGATTCTAGTGCTTTATCAAACACATGATTTGCTATTTTTTACTCTTTTCTGTTTTTTTTAAGCTTCTTGATGGTGTGCTTTAACGTGTAAAAGATCTTACTGTTGTAGTTCAATTTATCTACATTTTTATTTTGCTGTTTATATTTTTGATATCTAAGAAATTATCACCTAAGCTAAGGTCATGGAGCTTTATGTCTTGTTTTCATTTCTTAAGTACTTTTCTCACTTTTGGAGATAGGGTCTCACTATGTACTTCAAACTGGCCTCTAATTCACTATGTAGCCCAGGCTGCCCTCAAACTCACAGTGATCCTCCTGCTTCAGCTTCCTGAGTGCTGGAATTATAGGCATGTACCATCACACTTGGCTTATGTCTATGTTTTCATCGAAGAATTTTACAATTTTAGCTTGTAACTTTTAGACCTATGATCTACTTTGAGTTAGTTTTTGTAGAAGATGTGAGGTAGTATCAAACTTCATTCTCTTGCATGCAAATATCCAGCAATGACTGTTCTCTCCACTGAACTGTTTTAGCATTAAAAATCTATTGGTCATAAAGATAAGGGTATCTGAACTCTCAGTTCTGTTTCACTGACCTACATCACAATTATCCATTGACCATATAATCCTGATTATTGTGGCTTTATAGTAAGTTTTTAAATCAGCAACTATGAATCTTCTAATTGTTCTTTCAAGATTGTTTTGGATATTCTGAATTCCTTCAATTTTCTCATGAATTTAAGAATTAATTGTCAAATTCTGAGCTACAGATATATCTTAGTGATACAGCACTTTACTAGTATGCATTTTCCCAGCATCACAGAAAGACAAAAGTCAATTTCTGCAGGAAAGAACAGCTAGAATTGTTTTTCTAAAGGAGTGGGGTACATGAAGTCGGTTTATGTTGCTCCTGCTAGTCTCAAATTCTTGGCTCAAGTGATACTGTGATATATTAAACTGATTGATTTTTTTATATGATCAGCCAATCTGGTGTTCTGGGTTAAATCTTACTTGATCACGTTATACCATATAATTCTTTTTATATGAAGTTGGATTTGGTTTGCTAATATTTCACTGAGGAATCTATGTCTTATTTAGGATATTATTTTTAATATTATTTCTCTTTCTGTGATGTTTTTGCCTGGTTTTGGTATCAGAGTAATACTGACCTCATGAGTTGGAATGTGTTCTCTTCTTCAAAGAGTTGATGAAGGATCCGTGTTAATCATTTAAACATTTGGCGTATAATTCATCAATGAAGCCATCTCATCAGGTGATATTCTTTGTAAGAATTTTTTATCACTAACTCAATGTTTTTACTTTGTGTAGGACTTCAGCCAACCTTGGGAATTTGTGTCTTTCTAGGAATTTGTTCGTTTCATGGAGGCTAATTTGTTGGGTTACAATTTGTTCATAGTATTCTCTTTTAATTCTTGTTTCTTTGAAGTCAGTAGGAATATCACTCTTTCACTTCAATTTTTAGTGATTTTAGCCTTTTCTTTTTGGTCAGTCTAACTAAAAGTTTGCCAATTTTGGTGATCTTTTCAAAGACTGCATTGGATTTCCTTAGTTCATTAATAAATATAGTAATTTTCAGGAAAAAGATGATCAAGAGGCTTATAATCTATATATACTAAAAATACTACTGAGACTACACATATTCCTCAACTTATGATGGTGTTGCATCCTAATAAACTTATGGTAAATTAAAAATATTCTAACTAGGAAATGCATTTAACATACCTACCTTACCAAATGTCACAGCTCACAGGCATACACTGCAGAGCTCTCACTGCTTCCCCTTAGGATCACATGGCTGTGGCTCAGCATTTCACTCAAGAGGAGCATACTGGAAACTTCCAGCCAGGAACAGATCCAAATTCGAAATTCAAAGTATGGTTTCTACTGAATAGTTTTCATACCATTGTAAAGTAGAAAAATAGCAAGTCACATCATTGTAAGTCAGAGACTATCTACTACTACTATTAAATTAATAAAGTTAAAATGACTTTCTATAAGACAAGTTATCAGAGGACAACTTATCCGTAGACTGATTTTTCTATAGTTTTAGGGAAACTGAGGTATGCAGCAGTGAGACAGGTAATTTCCATGCGCACAGAGGATTCAGTCCTGGTGGCTAAACCTTCCTTTGGCACAAGGATGCACATACCCTGGCAGGGGAGGTACAGGCTTTCCAGGAATCCACAGTGGTGTCACAGAACCCAGTAATCTATTATTTAGAAAACTACAGCCTACCTGCACCTGCTTCACCATTCCTCAGCCCTTCCTGGCTGCCCACACCCAGGACCTGGAGTACTGGCAAGCCAGCCAGACTAGTGAGTCCCATGGAGGTGGCAGAGGTGGGCATGATATGAGGGGATGGAAGAGGGCACACAGAGGAAAACTGAATTCCAGAACTGGGTCAGATGTACATCAAGTGGAAAGGCTAAACTCTATTGGTTCAAAGCTAGCTCACCTGATACAGTGGTGACACTTCTATCCTTGTGTTCCACAGCTTTTGAAAACAGGGCCCTCGGCTCCATCTGGTTTGGTGGGGAGAGGAGGAGTCCTTTGCAGATGCTCTACGACCTGGACCAGGTAGGTGGATAGACCCACTCAAGGGATGCCTCTCTGTCACCCCAAGCTAGTGAATCCAGAGCTGTATCTGCTGTCACATGGCTGAATTCCACAGTGGAGCATGGGGGAGTTTCACTATCAGCATCACCACACCAGGGAGTAACAAAGACACATCCTGGGGGTAAACTGGGGAGCCTGGAGTCTACTCATGTCATTCCTCCCACCTGAGGCCACCCCATATGGCAGTACTATTCTACATGTTTTAGGCCATAAAACAGAGTAAAACAGCCAAGTGTGGTAGTGCGCACCTGTAATCCTCGCACTCTGGGAGACTGAGGTAGGATATAAGCATCTAGGCCTAGCATCTGCATCTTAGTGACTTATCAAGACCCTGTCTAGAAAACTAAAAAGTGAAAATGGCTAAGGATGTAGCATCATGCAAAGAGCTTGGATTTAAACCCTAGCACTAGAAAAAAAGTAAAACAGACCTGTGCCTGTCCCAGGAGTCCACAGATGACAACTGTAGTAATTAAGCTAATCTCTATTTTAGTATATGCTACAAGAAGGAAATATGCACAGAGTCCCCATCTTTCTATTATGTTAGTCACAAGCAGATGGACCCAGTAGCACATTGGTTTGTGCACTAAGTCCTGCTGGGATTACATCATCCTTCAACACACACACACACACACACACACACACGCACACTGGGCAGATGCTCCTTGATTTAGGAAGCAGTTATGTTGTGAGAAATATCATAAGTGGAAAATTTTGTAAGTTTAAAATGCATCAAATGCACCTAAACCTCCTGCACATCTCAGCAACACAGCATTGTGTAGAGTATGGTTATATCTCCTCATGATTGCAGGGCCAACTGGGATCTGGCTCCTCCCAAGGTCAGCTAGCAAGGAAGCAGGAGGCCTGGGAGGTAGGTAGATGGCTGACACTTTCTGCCACAAGAACACAAGGAGTTGTCTGAAGGCTGAAAGCAAATTGTGGCTGTAGGGCCCTGGAGTACACACAGCCTTCTCCTGGTACCTTGTGGAGCCAGGTGCCCGCGAGGCCACTCCTGGGTAGGGGAACAGGATTTTCCAAATCCTTCATGTCCTTCATAACCAAGGCCAAACTTGTGATTCACGGTGAGATTGTGAGACTGTGACAAAGTAACGTAATGAATGTGATGGGGCAGTCAAGAGCACAATACAAAGCAGGTCTCTCTGTCTCAGTCTTGGTTCTCCTTAAAGGTGACTATGTCTCTGTGTGCCCTTCCAGACATGTTTTAGATCTCTCAGTAGTGTCAGGTGCACTGTTAGAGGGTTCATTACCTTCTCCAAAATCTCACATAGACATGTATCCCGCGTCTCTCTGCTTTAACTTGCATTGTGAAGAATTCAAGCGCATAAACAGATACTAACATAAGACTAGCCAAGTAATCCCTACATTCTCACCACTCTTTCCCATCTATGGTTGTTCTGAACCAAAATACAGCCTTGTAGATTCTATGACTGTATCCATCATCTCTCTAAAGGAAGAACCCCTCCACCTAGCCTTGCTGAAACCTTTTCTATTTTTTTTACTGCTCCTTTAAAATATAAGTGATAAGCCCAGTTCTGTACTTTAGGTTCCCCTTTTCCTGTATCATGGATGCTTTCAGGTACTTTTACAAGCATCAGAAGCAGGCGTGCACACATGTATGAGAGCATACACTACACATTCCACACCTTACCGATGCTAGATGGTCTTATGCAGCCACAGGGTCTGGGGCTCCACCACTTCAACCACTGCTCTGGCCTTTTCTGAAGTGAAAACACCCCAAAGGCTTTGTTCTTAACTGAGAAACAACTCACCATAAAATACACACTTGTCAAATGTTCGGTTCAGTGGTTTCTTTGTATTTTTACAAAGTTGTGCACCCATCACCATTATCTAATCTTAGAAAATTTGCATCATCCCAAAAGATACCCTTTACCTATTTGAAAACACTGCCTTCTTCATTCCCCCAGTCCTTAAAACTATTAACTTTTTATTTCTATAGATTCACCTATTCTGGCCATTTCCCGTAAAAGAAATCATTTAGCATTTGACCTTTTGTGTTTGGCTTTTTTCACCTAGAATATTGCTTTCTGAGGTTCACCTATGTTGAAGGACAGATCAAACCTCTATTCCTTTGTAATGGATGGATAATACCCACTGCAGGACTATAGGACACTATTCACCCTTTGATCAGATGGTGGACATGTGGGTTGTTTCCACATTTTGGATAGTAGGAACAATGTTATTAATGTTCACTTATAAGTATTTGTGTGCCATGATTTTATTACTTTAGGATGCTTATCTAGGAACGGAACTGCTAGGTCATATGCTTAATTTTGGGGGGAACTGCCAAATTACTCTTCTTAGCAGCTGTACCTCTTTATGGTAGCACCAGCTATGTATACAAGTTCCACTTTATGTCCTGACCAGTATTTGTCACTGTCTTTTCTGTTCTATCCCGAAGTCTTTTTAATACAATTTAAATAAGTTAAAACTACTTTTTTTAGTACTAGGGATAGACCCTAGAGGCTTGGCACAGAGTTACATCCGATTTGTTTTTTGATTGTTATTTTGAGGCAGTGGCTCGCTAAACTGCCCTGCTGGAGCTTGATCTTGTGATCCTCGTTCCTTAGACACCCTGAATGCTTGAATTACAGTCATGCAGTTTCCCTCTCTATAAACAAATAGAGTTACCAATCTTACACAGCGTCCTACTTTTAGTAAACTGTGTGCAATTCGTGCCAGTAGTTATATTGAGCCTACTGATGTCATACTCTATCTGGGTATATTCAGACATTGTCACAATTCATTTTCGCTTTCCTCCCAGTGCCCCGTGATATATCTAGCACACTTGATTAATAATATCCTTCACCGCACCTCTTCAGCTTAGATTCCATTTCTTTGAAACGGAAGTATGGGACAGGGCCTTGGGCCCCAAACTACTATGACTGGTGGCAGCTCTGGTTTCAAATTCAGACACCCTGCCCAATTCCTACCAGTCCCTTAGTGCATCACCCAATACAGAAGCAGAGCTCGGGGGCTCCCCCCAGTGGCCGGCGAAGCGCAGGGCCAGCACCTCTGACGAAAACCTGTGTCTCCTCCCTGTGGCCTGCAGAACCCGAGCTCACCCCTGGCAGAGGTGCACCGACAGCGGCGCGACCTTCTCCGCCGCACTTGCAGCCGCCTCACGCGTCGGCAACACCTGCTGCGGCCCGAGGACTTGCGGCACGTGCTGGTGGACGACGCGCACGGCCTGCTTTACTGCTACGTGCCCAAGGTGGCCTGCACCAACTGGAAGCGCGTGCTGCTAGCGCTGAGCGGCCGCGGCCGTGGCGACCCCCGCGCCATTCCCGCGCACGAGGCGCACGCGCCAGGCAGCCTGCCCTCGCTGGCCGACTTCAGCCCCGCCGAGATCAACAGGCGTCTGCGCGCCTACCTGACCTTCCTGTTTGTGCGCGAGCCTTTTGAGCGCCTGGCGTCTGCCTACCGCAACAAATTCGCGAGGCCCTATAGCGAGGCCTTCCAGCGGCGCTATGGCACGCGCATAGTGCGGCGCCTGCGCCCCGGCGCACGCCCTGACGCCCTGGCACAGGGCCACGACGTCCACTTTGCAGAATTCCTGGGCTACCTGCTGGATCCACGCACTCGGCGCGAGGAGCCCTTCAATGAGCACTGGGAGCGCGCCCATACGCTCTGCCATCCGTGCCGCTTGCGCTACGACGTTGTGGGCAAGTTTGAGACACTGGCGGAGGACGCCGCCTTCGTGCTGGACTTGGTGGGTGAGTCGGGCCTGAGTTTTCCGGCGCCGCCACGGCCCAAAGCGGCTGCTGTACGAGACCAAGCTGCACGCCTCTTCCAGGACATCAGCCCTTTCTACCAGCGGCGCCTCTTTGACCTCTACAGGATGGACTTCCTGCTCTTCAATTACTCAGCCCCTTCCTACCTGAGGCTGCGTTAGTGGCAGGGGTGTTTTCCTAGAGTGTTGGAGATCTGAGGTAAAACAGGAGAATGTCCATTTTGGACAGGACATAAGATATACAGGTGCTCCTGCCCCAAAAACAGCTGTTTTGAGAACCTCTAAACACATATGTCAGTGGCAGCCCACTTGGGCACAGGTCATACCTCATTGGCCTTGGGGACAGCCCCTCTCAGTGACCATGCCTGCCTCTGCCTGTGGCTTGATGCCTGTTACTTTTATCTGCTCCAGGTGACGGGCACCCCTCAGCTCTTCTGGGTGGGCAAAGACTCTGCAAACCATTTTGGGAGGCTGTGAGAGATCAACCTTGTGGGCAGTGAGTGTGCCCCTGAGCATGTCAATGATGAACTCAGCAGAGGGTGACGTCTGGCTACATATGGTCTACGAGCATCACCTATCCTTCACCTATCCTGGAAAGGACAGACCTGGCCAAGGAGATAAGCCCCCCCTGCTCATCCCTCCCTACCTTGGGTTTCAGTCTTAAGGATGCTAGCTCTTCCTGTGTGCTCACAGAGCCCAGTATGCAGTATGATGCTAGGGTATTTTTTTTTAAGGACTTAGTCATGTTTTAAAAATAAACGTTTTGTTACTTTTTGACTTTTTGGTTTCTCCTTTATTGTGCCATTTGCTCTGAGGGCATGAAGCTGCCAACTCTTGGACAACTCTTTGAGTCTTTGGGCCTGTTTTCCCATGTGGCCAAATGGCCTAAGAATGCTAGATGGTTACGAAGATCAGAGGAGAGTGAGCACAAGACCTGGCAAACCTCCACAGAAGCCCACGGTGGTGAGGGGCTGTATATGTGGAGGCGTGGGTAAGGCTTGTGCTTGTGTGAATGGGGGAGGGAGGTCGTTAAATGACTTAGTGGTACAATGTAGTGCCAACCTGAAGAAAATGTAACCTTTCACTCTGATCTGGGCTAAGAATGCAAGACTAAAGTAGCTCAACCAAGTCCTGTGCCTTTCACTAGCCCCCACGTTCACATGAGTGTGTCTGTAGGTGTGAGTGTGAGTGTGTGTGTTGGGCTACTTGGCAATGAGGATCATCTGTTCTTTTAGCTTTGGAGAGACAAGGGGCCATGGGAATTCCTGGGGAGAAATCAAATATTCCTTTAGCAACATTCTGAATACAGTAAGTCCCTGATTTATAAGCAAGTTCTGCTCTGGGAGAACTCCCTAAGTTGGAATTCATTGGTAACTTGGACAAAGTGAGTCTTAGACAGATTTGACGTGCATATACAATGTATATTGCTTTGTGCTTCTTAGCAGCCCCCTTCATAGTACCACTGTTTTTTCCTCTAGCTTCCAGACATCCTGGGCTCCGATTGAGCACTATACTACTGTATACCATTGTACTGTACACAGCAGCACAACCCCAATGATGTAGACACATGTGCTACTTCCTCAATTTGCTTGCATCTGCCAATGTTTGTAATGTGAGGTCTGTATCTGTGCAAGTTGATGATTTGAAGGTTGGTAAATTGAGAACTTACTGTATATGGTGTGCTTTTTCAGTTTCTTTGGGCTTACTAGTCAGAATGCCAGGAGTTTGGCAAGAATAGGGCAGGGTGTGCTGGTGATTTTAAAAAACAGAGGTCAGAAATAACTGAGGAAGCTTGACTGATGAGGCCGGACCCTCACTCTAGAGGCTGGCATGACCAGAAGCAGCCACTCAGTCACATTACCAAGTTCTCCTGGCCTTTGCTTATCCTATCAGGGACTTGCCTGAGACCTTCAGTATGCCCTTCTGAACTGCCTCAGAAGTATATTTAGGGACTCTGCAACTGTGGGTCAGGAGTGCTTGACCCATGAAGTCACTGCTGCTCCACTAAATGAAGATTTCCTCCCACCTGGGGCCCTGTGGAGGGAAGCAGAAAGCCGAGACCCCTACACTATTATCAGGGATCTTTGGGGCACAGCCTTGTACCTTGAGCCTACCTGAGAAGGATGGAGCTGAAAACTTCCACACTGACAGGGGCCACTGTATTTGTTAGGAGCTCCTTGGTCCTCACAAGCTGTGCTGCAGGTCACTGTGTACTCTGTGGTTACACACCTATGTCAATGTCATGCATCCGTGTTCTCAGCTCTCAGCTCCCATATGGCCCCTAAGGAGGCCTGTGTGCTGAGGATGACACCAGCTATATGTTTCACAATTAGCTGTCTCCTTGTACTCTGCCATCTTCCCCGTGCTGATACTTTTCACACACACACACACACACACACACACACACACACACACACGCTCCCATGAGGTGACTACTTGACTTTACTCCCGTGAATGTCTCCCTCCACACAGACATTGCAGACATCATAACACGCACTTGGCTGTACCTGTCACCATCCAGCCCTGTAGCCTCTGGTGTATATGCAGGGGCCACATCCAGGCCTTCAAAGACAGAAAGGAGCTTGGGCAGTTCTGTAGGCTTTTCCTTCCACACCCTATTTTGTGAGTTCTGCCTACTCTGGCTGTCCTCTGTCCTGTTTCCTCTCTCACTGGTGCCAGAACTTCTGTGCCCTCACAGATTGCAAGCTGGCCATTGCCCTTGAACTGTACAGTACTCTGCTAGGGCTATGTGTGACCTGAGAAAGACAAGGTCACCTACACATGGACAAGTCAAGACAGTGGCCAAGTGGCTTTTAATCTAGCATCCCTTTCAGACTAGTGACTTTATTAAAACCATATTCCAGTTCCCAAAAGGGTGTCTAGCATGAACTGAAGAGTGCATGGCATTTTAAATTACTTAAAATAGTTTTTTTTTTAATTTCCCTGTTTTTCAATCTCTTAAAACTGGATACTGTTGGACAGCAACTTTCTTGGTTTTGAAGTGATGTTGGGAATGACCTTACAAAAAGTTGCATAAGATAAATTTAAGTATTGTTTTACTTTTCCAGGTTTCCATAGTTAGGAAAATGTTTTTTTTTTCTTTTTTCTCAGTTACAGTGTGAAGTAAATTTTGTTTTCAATCTGTTTTGGGGCTTTGTCATGCAGGCAGCTTCCTAGGAGATATTTTGCCAGGCTTTACATTTGCTTAAATTAAATCCTTAGTACATTGCTAACAGTGCTATTTCATGCATTATTCAGTTTGTGAATCTCAGCTGACTGCATCTGGGAGCCCTTAGCAACTTCCTAGGTGAAGGCAAGGCCAGAACTGCTCCCCACAGAACCCAGGGTGCTGATTTTTTCCAATGATGCTGTAGACTTTTTTTTTTTTTGGTTGTCAGAGGAATGACAGATGGTGGCACATTTGCTCCATGGGTGCAATGAGAGGGAACCCAGGTTCCTTCTCTCTTGTTGTTCTTCAATCTCCTCTTCCACACAGTCTATGAAAGGGAGCCATTCACTTGTTAGGCAGCCAAATATTGAAGGCAAACAATACAAATGGTTGTACTTTATGTTTCCAGTCCAGTCCCACTGGCTAGAACCTAACCTTCCTTGCATGCCTATCAGCAAGGGAAGCTGGGAACACTAGTTCTACCCCTAAGCTATAGCTGTCTACATTCCAATTCTGGGAAGGTATCCTGATGATTGTTTAAATTTCTGCCACCCTGCCAAGGCCTCCTGCTGACCACCAGGCCTCTGAATCAGCGTGGGTGAGCCAGGCATGCAGGGAGTCAGTGTTCCCAGGGTTATACCTCCTCCACGTCTGACAGAAGGTGAGGGGTGCACACCACCCTGACGTACTAATGTGCTTCTTCATTTCTATGTGCTCATGCATGTTTCTCTGTATATGGGCAAAGAGGATCCAGACTGTCTCACCTAGATGCTGGACAAACAGCCTGTGTTGCTGTCTGGGATCCTACTTGACCATGTTCAATATTTATGGAATAATTTTTCATAGAAAATATTGTTAAAGCATCCCTATTTGTCAAACATTTGATGATGCCACAATTTGTGATGTGGCAGTTATTGGCCCCTGTGACTCACATTTCAGCATGAAGCCCCTAGTGCAGAGAGTAGCTGTGAAAATTACAACAGGCCCAGGTCTGGTTGGCTCCCTGGGCCAGAGAAGTAACCTCAGAGGAGACTGTTTTCCTACTGGAAACCTCGATAATGGAGGAAGGCAGAAGGCATTGGTTGTACAATCTTCCTTACCCACCACTCTTCTTTGTGGGATGGTGCAGATACACTGTGTATTCCAGGGTTTGAACGTTGCATTTTCCAAAGGAGTGATTTGAGTTATCTACCCTGGGAGGATTCTGGGGAAAGTCCCTTCCGAGAGTTTGTCTTTGGGGTCAGTAATTGTCTTGAGCTCATTCATAGACACCAGAGCCCGCTTTAGTTACATCCACTGCCATGGCTCCCTAGAATCTGGGCAGAGGAAAAGTCATAAATTGGGAGGTAGGCCCTTGCTTGCACTCAGGCAACATCAGGAACCTCACTGTCAGCACCCTTAAATGGGGAAAATGGCACAGGTGACAACTGCCTCTAAGGCTGGCATGAGTCCACCTCAACTTCATCATTCTCAAAAAGGGTTTGGCACTATGTGGGGCCAGGAATCTATATTTTGACATTATTGTTATCGTGCAGTCTTACATATGGATAAATATTTTATTTTTACAGGCTAGATAGATGGGACAATAGACATGAACAAAGCCCTGCTTATATTTTCATAGGAAGCTGCTGTTCCAGTTGTCTAGTTCAAGTTCAGGCAGGAAACATAGGCATCTGAGCCAGTGGAATCATCTATGGCTATGTGTCCATTGCTGAATTTTTCTAAAGTACATTACCATTCATGTTACTTCCCTTCCCATGTTACTACCCTACCCTGGGGGTAAAGTCCTTTAAGAGCTGGCCTTTGCGGGTTTCTCCAATTCCATCTTCCCATCCTTTCGTGAAATTTTCAAGAAGTTACCCCTCCCAGTATATGCTTATACTCCATGTGGTTCTTCATTCTTCCATTGTTCAAAGTGCTGAGCTACTTACTAGACATTAGACAGTGCCAGAACTGTACCTTAGGCTTTTTATCATGGCTGCTGGAGTATTGGCCTACCAGTTCACTGGCTTGGTTATGAGAACTTTAAAAAAGTTCCTTAGTATTTGTTTTATAAATAGCTTATATTTTTGGTACAACTATCAGTGAATTGTGTGTGTGCAATTAATTTTACAGTTATAAAAAGGAAAACGATTATTATTACATTTTTTCTTTCCTGATTGTTTTAGTACCATCATCTAGTGAGAAAATAAGCTATGTGGTTTTATTCAAAAGCCAGGTAAAAGTCTGAATTCACTCATGGTTGCTTCCTAGAGATGTTTCTGGTAGAATGCTTTGGTGAATTTGACCCAAATTGGAGGTATTCCCTTCCCTAAGCTCTGATTTTCTTAACCCAAGAAGCAGAATTCAATCAAAAAGTTTTTTTTAAAGTTCTATTTATTTTCTATCCAAATTAGTATTAGATAAAGATGAGATATTCTGCTCTGGTTTCTTAGCAAAATTCAAACATGTGAGATTGTATATTCCTCAGCATCTTAGGAGAGGTCAAAAAATGGAATTGCATCCAGAATCAAAACAGTTTTCTCTATTGACAGGACATGAGGGGACACATCATCCTTTGTATGACTCTTTTACAAAGACACGGTGAGGAAAATATTGGATTCAAAAT